AGACAATATTTCATGTCCAATACATGTACAGGTAATATATTATTTGCTGTTTTTTATGCTTGAAGAACATCTGAAAGACCCTTATTTTGTACCAAAAAAAGAGAGAAAAGACATATAATAACCAATTTCGTAGGTAATATAAACATAATATACCAGCTATTGTTTTTATGATCGAATCCATTGTTTAGAAACGAAGATCAGATACTATAACCAAGGCCAAGGGCAAATGCCTTTTTTTTTATCGTTAAAGCTTCATTCTAAGTTATGTGCTATATGCTGTGATACATCTTTTCAGTAGAGTATAGCTCTAAATTTAACCACCGTGTCGCATCGCATAGAGTGCAGAGAATAAGTCATGATGGGAGTGATGTCATGTTTTCTTCAGATTTCCAGGTTCACATGATGGATTTGACCCTGTATGATGTTGCATGATCGAAGCATGTCTTGTATATTAGGGTATCATGTAGCAAGTACATGTCTAATGCTTGATTTCAGTCCTGTTTGGTTAAGTCACTGTGTACTAGCTTGCTGTCTCAGTCAGGATGCAAGCATCTACGCTAAATATCTCTAATCCTACTAACTTCCTGCTTCAGAAGTCTACAAACTTCAACGAGACTCAACAAGAGGATGCAATTAATAACATGTGAAAACACAATTGTGTTCTAGTCTCGTACAATGTACACCCATGCATGGTACAAACAATGTAGTAGGTTCATGGTACTACCAGCCACTGTGTTGTTGCTATTGTAATGTAGTGTTTGTCAGAATAGGAGGGTGGGGGATGGAAATACTCTACAAATTTGGGGTAAAACATTGTGCAACCTCAGGGTAGTCAAATTTGGACAAATGTTTGCAAACTTTGTTTGCTCAATAAAGGAAATGTTTTGCTAGTTTTGCAGTACTAGATTAAAAATTGGACTATTGAATTTTCACTAAAATTTGTAAGCTTTACGTGTTTAAAACGACAATTTGCTGTTTTAAATAGGGATGGAGAGTCAAAGTACTGTACTGTATATTAAAGTTTACTGTGAAGAATATTATAAAAACATGGAAACTCAAAATTGTAACACATTTACTGGAGGAGTATACATGTACATTGAATGTAATATAAGATCTCTTAAAGCTTATCAACACTAGTGTGGCTAGGAGGGATTAGACCACACAGCGAGGTCACTGACAGATGGCTACATGTACATGTATCTTATCAACTCAGCTCTCAAATAACAAATATCAAATGTTTTTTTAGTAAATCATCCAATGAATAGAAATTCTGAAACTAATAATTGAACACAATTCTTTTAAAAGAGAAACATGAGATGTTTATGCTGATATGATTTTTCTTTTCATTGCAATCGATAATAAATGTATGTTTAAGATCTGATTTAGTAGAGTTATTTATATAAAAGCAAACAAGTTGAAGTGGATGCTGCTATTATACATGTAGTTCCATATGGGAAATAGATCTCAAACGATTCTATCAAAGGCTAAAATTACACGGGGGCGATATGCGATTCGCCCCCGTAAGATCGCCCCCGGAATAATAAAATAAATTTATAATTTTCACACAATATTGAGTTTCAAACCTTAAATCAATGAAATGGAACTATGGAAGTAAGCAGGGAAAAAAATACTTTAAAAATTTCGGGGGCTACAGTTAGCATGCAGGATTTCTCGCTCGAATTTATCGGTGTCTGGAGGCCGCCGTATATTAAGAACAAATGTACGCTTATTCGCCGCAAGATAGCGCTATATCGCCCATCTCCACATCTCTATGAGTATTACCGAAACGCTCACAGAGCATTGCGGCCGTTGGCAGTGGCTATACCGCCCCGGTAGTATCGGTGTGCATGCTGCCGCGCTGTATCTGCTGGAGCTACATGTAGAGACGATCGCAAGGACTGAAACGTGAGAGCATATTCAGATGAGAGGAAGACCAAAGATGTTGTGGAAGGATATGGTAAAGACTAAAGAAAGAATGTAACAAAGTTGCTCTGAATGATGAGGTGGAATGTGCAGAACAGGAAGAAATGGAGAGAATGTCATCACGGGATGTCAGTGACCCAATGTAACTTGTAAAGTTGGAAGAGGGAAAATGCAGACTAATGTAAATAAATGATAATGATGAAATAGCAACGAATTTAGGAATATCATGGGTACCAATTCAATGGAAATATGTATTAAAAAAGAAACCCATCATTACTAAAGAGCCCCTGTGAGAAGGCTCATGGGGGCTCTTTTTTTTTGGAAGAGCCCCTGTGGAAAAAATTTAATTGGAGGCTTGATTCTGTCATTTGAGACTCAATCAAACTTTTATCTAAAGACAGCTCAAGAGAGAATTGAGCGCTACATGTTATCTCTATATACATACAGGTGTGTACAAGTAGTCCATGTAGGTCTATATTTGTCACTAATAAAGTTAGATGGTCTTTTTATACAGATGATAGTTTAAGAAGGTTAGACTTTATATTCCCTACATGTACATGTAAAACTGTAAGGAATTTGTCAACCATTGTTTGACAACCTTCAGCTCAAGCTCCATCAATTGCACAACACAGAAATCTCTATCCAATCAATCAAAACCTGCATTAATAAAATTTGATACTAAATGGTTACATTCTAATCTGATTGATGGTGTGTTAACTCTATATACACTTGACAGATTGGTTGAGTTTCTAAAAAGAAGGCACTTGGCTTGAAATTGAAAGAAGGTTTAGGTCAAATTATGAAGGGTCAAGTCACTTGTCATGCCTACTTGGTCTCAAACTCTTGATGGGACGGACGTAAGTGGCCCCAAAATAGGTCAGTTGGATTGAAATGATAAATATGTCACTAGATAATGCAAGTCAGAGCAGTTTCTTTAAGAGAATCCAAAAGTCTTTGGCAATTGACATACCGATACTGAAAATTCTAAATTAAGTCTTTGATTGAAATAATTTATTTTTTTTAAATTAAGAGTTTTGTTAACTTTCTTGAAAAAATAAGTTAAACAACAATACTGGTAGTTAAGTCTGGAATTAGTAGACTTTAAGTATTTTTACTCTGCTATCTGTATTGAAGGTTTGGCAGATTCAATGGGTGAGGGGGGGGGGGGGGCATACACATTCACATCTTTTGCCCCTTAGCACTGTTTATTCATCTTGATATCAGTAAACTAAACATAATTCAATGATGGTGATGATACCAACTCTGAAATATCTTTCTTTTTAAAGAATTTGATTTGATTTGACATTGTCTGTTTAACTAAAAAACTCTGCTATTTAAAGAATATATATATATATTTTCAATTTTTTACGTCAACTGAGGTTGAAAAAATATATATACAACACAAGAAGTAAACGTAGAAAAATACAATAAGGATACATAGTCATCATTAGATTGGACTGGTTTATATTAAGGAAGTAGAAATTAAAAATACAATATGAATGTCTATGGTCAAAGAATGAGTGACTATAGTCCTGTATTTGTATCAAAACTGTCGACCTGATTCAAGGTAGAATTAATAAGTAGGTACTTCATTATACGTTCCATGATTCATATTCCAAAGGAAAAAACCTAAGTAAAGAACAATGTAAGAATGAACAGTCTCCATTTAAAGAAAAAAATTATTTATTCATTTATTTCCATGTCAAGATAAAAGAACAATGTTATATGATATTCCAAACACAAACATATAATGAATATCTGAAATGGGAGCATCTTGAAAAGCATATAACTGGCTTGTTAACATTCTCATGAGTTAATGAAGAAAAATCAAACTGGGTTACTGGTAATCATCTTGAATTTCTATCAAGAAAGAGAATTTTTTTTGTAATCAGTAAACTTTGTAAGTGTATTGATACTCTCAGATCCAGGGGGGGGGGCACTAGGGGCATTTACCCCCCCCCCCCAAGCCGAAGTACTTATATATCTGCTATGCTATCAATTACAAAAAGTGAACACATTACTTCATTAAAAAAAAGGTAATTGTAATATAAGTTATAATGTATAAACAAGTTCCTTTAAAAAAAGAAGGATAATCGCTTGTATTTGTATACCTGTAGTGCTTGAATTATTTTGTCATAACATGTCTAAAAATAAAACTTGTTTACCTTGAAATGTATTTATTTTGTATTCATTTACAGGATTTGAGACTTTGTATTGATGCAAGTGAATTGTAGATTGAGAGAGGGAGAGAGAGAGGTAGAGAGAGTAAGAGAGAGAGAAAGAGAAAGAGAGAGAGAGAGAGAGAGAGAGAGGAGAGGGGTGTGGATCTCATGCAATCATGAGTTTAGGAAACAGAAGGGGAAGTCCCTTTTTCATTTTCTTTTTGCTCCAAAAGAAAATGGTAAATTGTGCAAGTCTTTTGAAATTTCACATTGCATTTCATTATCGGCTCACCTTTAGTTTACATTTCAAAGAGAAGATTATAGAGATCCCTAGGTATCTTTTAAGAATCTGAATACATGTATTTGTATGTATTATCTTTTCCGTTTTTTTTATCAACGACTTCTACTGTTGCTGTTTCTTTTCTCTTTTCCTTCAGATGGAAAATTAAAATTCAATTATATCAATATCAATGATGTTCCTTATGATTCACATTTACCATGCTAAAATCATGTATCATTTTTTATTTCCTTATAATATCTTGGTTTTGTACTGTTATGTATTGTTATATGCCTTTGTTTTTATTTGTAAAAAATGGGTACAATTCAACCTAGGCTGGAAGACAGATTTTGAATAAATATACCATTATGATAGAATGGAAAAAGTATTATTTTAAAATTCATTTTCTGGGGATTAAAAATGTGATCAGCTGTTTATGCCTTGTGGTACATGTAGGTGATGTATTTTATCTTTAGTTATATATCCTTAGTTTGTTTTCAGTTTGAAGCCAGATTGATGTTAACTCATATACTTGAATACAGAGTTAATGCTCTTCTTGCTCCAAAGAGACAATATTACATATATGGTGTTTACCCATTATTGACGAATTTTGTTTCTTGGTTTTACAATATTTACAGGGCTATGAGAAGAGATGGATGGTGTTGCTAGGCAACGAGATTCACATCTATACAACGAAGATACCCCAGAGAGATCAAGGGTCTGCTAAGGTAAAATGATTTGGAATTGTAGTCCAATAGTTTTTGATCATATTTGTAAACCCAGAAACTGCATAATATGAGCATAATAAGAGCATTTATACATGTAGGAGTTTGTGAACAGAACTGCAGTAAGAGGACTCCTTTTAAGAGGAGGCATCACATTTTTAGTTGTGCCATTAAGCGAGTGGTAGCAGCATCATCCTCGGATCTGAGTTTTAATAACACTTTTTAGCAGGGCTCCTACATGATCCAATCCTACTTGGGTCAAAGGTAGCTTGATTCTCTGCACCACTGCTACTGTAGAGTATTAAAAACATTACAAACAAATACTTGTCATTTCCATCTTGCATAAATAAAATCATATAAAGGTCTTATTTGATCACTCCAGTGGAATTCAGGATTTCTCACATTCTTCTGCTTAATAGTGTACATATGAACTTCATTTTATGTTTGAGATGTACATGTTCAGGGTGTATGGCACTCTTTATTACATTTTGATAAGGCTTGAAATTAACTCAATGACTGCATCATCGATATGATACTGTATCTTTGTAACTTAATCCCGGATTTCATTGTATGAATACACTTTGGTGAGACAATTGTTCTCAATATTAATACTAATGTTTAATAAATGACTCTTCATGCTGTTATCTATATGTACCAAGAGTTAGTTGGTAGATTTCAAGTTATATGATCCAGGACTACACACCCCCAAGAAAGATTACCGAGTCAGAGTCCTTTTCACAATCCTCTCTCTCTCTCTCTCTCTCACATGGTGCACCCGCAAGCCTACTGTATATGATCTATTATTGTTATTCATGTGTATTGTGACCAATCCCAGAATGTTCTTTTGTCTTGTTTTCAGCCCATCCAACATTACCCGCTGCACCCAAGCATATCTATCACCATCGACAGTGATTTCAAGATGCATATCAAATGTGAACTTTGGACCATCAGAGCTCAGGTAATGTGAGATTTATATTAAAATGAAAAGAAATTTTGCATCGAAAGATTTTCTTTTCAAAAGAAATACAAATAATGTTGCTTGTTCTTACAGTGGTATAGGAAGGAGTGTTATCAGACTATTTTGACTAGGGGGGGGGGGGGGGGGTGTCATATCGACCAAGATATAAAAAAAAAAGGTTGTTAGATTTTTTTCTCATTTTGGTGACAGAGGTTCCAAATATTTGTCTAGCAAGCAACCATAACTTTTAAGATGTCATCTGAGTTGTGGAGTTCAGGAGATGAAAAGACTTTAAAAGCTTCAATTTTGTTGTTGTAGTAACATTACCCCATGGTCAATAGTATGATGAAGTTATCATAGAGAAATTCTATACCTAAAAAGTAGATTCTTTCAGTCCCTTGATACTCAGAGTCTTATAGAATACATTATTACGAATAAAGCAAGTTATATATTTAGTAAAAGTGTATTTTCCCCATTTTCTCATTTGCAGATCAAGAGAGAGAAAAAACTGTCTGAAAGTAGAATAATTTCTCATTCTAATTTGAGAGAATTCATATCTGGATCTTGTATCAGTGCTTTCTTGTTGATAAGATCTGAAAATTAATGCATCTATTAAAAATAACTTTTAGAGCAAAACTGAAGATGTGATTTCTATTTGATTATAATCAGGTAAATAGTACCTTATGGGCATGAAGTATAATTGCAATATTTGTATTGATTTCTTTCATTTCTAGGCCACTTCTAATGAAGAAAGGGAGAACTGGAGAATACGAATTCATACCATTGCGAGGGTAAGATCACAAAAACAAAAGATTGAAAAAGTGTTAATTTCATCAATTTTGGCTCATTTGCTAGCATATTATTTCAGATATTGTGGAGATTTTTCAATTCTCAAGCAAATGTATCAAAAAGAAATTGAATGTTAATGGCTGGTATTAATGCGGCATATGATATATGTGTAGGTATTAATGTACTGTAGTTGTGTGATACACACTAAAGTATTGCATGTACAGAGAACGGACCTGGACAACCCTTCTAACTTTATGATCGATGGACAAAGTGCATTATACTTTCACCAGATGTTTTCATGTATGAAGGGATATGTGATGTTAGTTTGTAAATGAAATTCACAGAATGATCTAACTATAGCCAGGCAGGATTCTCAGTGGTAGATCCTGATAACTGGACAGGGGGGACTTCCTACAAATACAATTGAAGGCTAGTAGAATAATATCCTGGGGGAGAGGAAGGGGCACAATTGAAGAAGAAAAAGATCTGACAAGCAATCAAGCAAAAAATGTAAAGTTATGAAATTTTGCCAGGGGATGGGGTTGGTGGGGGGGGGGGCATGCCTCTTAGATCCACAAGCGATTAATATTTTTGTGTAAGAGAGAGAGAGAGAGAGAGAATATGCAGTGGCATGTGTTTATCTGATGGCTATAAATAAACCACATTACAAGTACAGGGAGAGGACACAGGCCTATGTGTTAGTATAAGTACTGGAAGTACTTCACAACAATGATTGTGGCACAGTGGTTGTGGTTTTCAGTCCCTGGGAATGTGTATGTGAAACATGGGAGAAGGAAACAAAGAGAGAGAGCGAGAGAGAGAGAGAGAGAGAGCAAACAGACAGCGGACAGGCAGATGAACGCAATGAGACAGAGATCGAGGCAGATGGCTGGACAAAGAGAAAAAATATATATATAGAGAGAGAGGAGGATTCAGAGAGACAAAAAGATACACCAAGAAAGAAAGAAAGAGAGATAGAGAGAGTGAACGAAAGAGATAGAGATGAGAGTGAACGAGAGAGAGAGATAGTGGTAATTTTGCTATACATGTATCATGTTTTGTGTAAGATACTAGTGATATAAAGTCCCTAGAAATCTGTTGCTACAGAATATGATAATCTGTATGTTGTTTGAAATATATGTAAGACCTACAGAGGTATCTAACAAAATCTCCCCTACGAGGCCCAAACGTAGGAGCAGCCAGTTTGAGCTTACCTTGATGGTTGTTTACCAGACAGTGATGTCCTCTACAGTGTAAACTCACGCCTTGTTCACCTTACATGATGTATCAGGTTTCAAACTCTGTCCTCATCCAGTCAGTAGATTGCCTTGATATAACCTTGTCATGTAGAGCGACCTGTAGGTGTTTGCACTGTTCCCCAATTTTTTTCAATTTTGGCTTGACTGTCTGTATATCCTGACTTGACCGTTTGTATATCCTGACTTGACCGTTTGTATATCCTGACAGTCTGTATATCCTGACTTCTACTCCCTGTGTAGGTTTATAATAACGGGGCAATCCGACCCTTGTAATAACTTCATTGGTATGGAAGCAGAAAAATAAGAGAAACAGAAAGGCGAAAGTTTGTAATAAATCAGGCCAATAATAAGGGTGTTATGAATGTTTGAAACATGATATCACTAAATCCATGTGAATCTCAAATAGGCAATTAGGTTTGTGGATTGTGGCAAAGTCATGGCACAACTCTCCTGTTTGTCGTTTACAAAAATATCATTAATTTCTCCTATGTGCCTTCTCCCTTGGGGCACTACTCAAAATTCATTATGGATAGCATATATATTATAGGTCTCTAAAAAGAAGAGACCCTCCTGAATTTTGTTGTGTTAAAACAAATAGGAAAGTAGTCTGGCACTTCGTCATAGTGACATTACCGATTCGGCCAATTTGAAGTGCACATACTTGCAACTTTCAAAAACTCATAGCCTTATCATTTTTTGTTCAATTTTTAATTCAAATTTTGACCAGGATTCTTCTCTGACTTGTCTGCTTTCTTCTAGAATAGTTTGCTATCAAGGTTGCATGTCTCTTTAATTGTAGTCACTGAGAGCTAATAGTAGTCCTCTAGACTTTTCCTTCTACTTGACCCCTTGTTGGTGACTCTCCTCTACACTGAGCCTCTATTTAACATCCTATCCGAGGTACAGATAGTTTTCCACTGTAACATAGCCTGTGTCTAAGAAACAGGAGGGGCACGTTAACGCATAACACGGGCTTCAGTCTTGTTGCTATCCACTATGCATGCCCCATCTGCTTGATTCCTCAACAAAGTTTCGTAATAATTTCCTATAGTCTGAACAAGCTGTTTGATTACCTTTGACTTTTGGTACATTGAAGGGTGCTAACCTTCTAATTCCACCCTGGTCCAGATACATTGCATGGAATACAACCCACCATGGGGGTTAGTAACAACATTAATGCTTCCTTCCACCACCCTTGTTGATGTTCTCTTTATATTTCTTTGGCATTTTGTCAACTCATGGAGAGGTTTACTCCAGGCTATTTTTCAAAACATAAGCTATGCCTGTAGGCCTACCTACTTTATTTTCATTAAAAAAAAATTGTTGTACTAGCTATACAATGCATGTTTTCATGATTGAATATGCAGATTACTTTTAGCGTGACATCTTTTGAATATTTTGTAGGCTTTGTTACCAAGGTTTTATTCTGGTAGAATAAATTTCCCTTGTGATGGCTTGCCAAAGTTGTAAATTGCATATTGTCCAAAGAGGTTAAAATAATACTCTGCAATTTGACAATCTCTGATTTTTTAATGCAGTATTTCTTTTGAAGGTGGGAAGAGTAAACGCTTTTGAAATCATGTGACATACAGCTGAATGTTAAAGAACATTGTAGAGGGAAGTTTAAGAGTCATGAGATTAATATAGCAGTAGTATACATTTTCATAAAAATACAAGGTTATTCATAATAAAGCCCCCAGATTAAACCTTGAATTGGTAGAATACAATAATTGAACCATGAAACATATTTGTACAAGTTGGACCGTGTACACATTTATTCATGAGAATTACCAGTTTCTTTCGATTTGGGACAAACCCTCCCAAACAAAAAAAATCATAAAAATAAATAAAGTAAGAACGAAAGCAACCAGGAAAATGAGGTAATTTAAATTGTCTATTGATCTGAAACTACACACTGAGTGCTTTACAGTAGGGCACTAGTACTATAATTTGTCATAAAATGGAATACAGTGAATCCTGCATGTAAAGACTTCAGAATGTTAGATTAGGGAAAGTGGTCTCTATAGGTAGGTGCCATGTGGTCTTTACTAGTATTTAAACTTTTTTAAACAGATGGTCTTTACTAGTATTTAAACTTTTTTAAACAGATGCTTCTTTGAAAAACATTGTTACAGAGAAACAAAGCATGTGGTTTTAGTAGACAGGTCGGTCTTTCTAAACAGGTGGTTGCTACATGTAAACAGCAGGTTTGACTAGATTCCTTTTCTAGCAAACTTCTGCCAAAAATGAAACAAAAGCAGAAATTTATATCTATATCCTGATATATTCGTAAGAGATTGAAAATGAACGAATCAGTTAATAGTTTTGACACTATGCATTGATATTTTGTTATGTATTCTTTGTTATGCTCTTGTACCGTTTGAGCCAAGCCTTTGATCGTTTCCAATTCAGCTTCCTGATTATAAGGTATGAGATATCAGTGTTGCAATGCTAAGAAATCGGTACTGAAAGCTTATTGATGAGATGAGACTTGCAACACTGATGTACAGTCAAACCTGTCTATAGCGACCGCCCAAGGGAAACGAAAAGGTAGTCTTTGTAGACAGGTTCCTTTAGTATATGTTCCAATGAGAAACCATTTTCAAGGAAAAAAAAAAGTGTTTGTTGTAGACAGGTGGTCTTTGAAGACAGGTGGTCACTAAAGCAGGTTTGACTGTATATACCTTTCCATTTTCCATTTGAGAAACCATTTTCAAGGGGAAAAAAAGTGTTTGTTGTAGACAGGTGGTCTTTGTAGACAGGTGGTCACTAAAGCAGGTTTGACTGTATATACCTTTCCATTTTCCATTTGAACTTCTGGAGACCTACGTTTTAGTTATAGAGCTCAATAACTATGTTTATCATTATTGGTTATCATTATTGATAAAATAGGACCAGCCCCGCCTACCTGTAAGTGAACCTGGAAGCAGTGTAGACCACACCATGCATTATTGACATGAATACTGTTAACAATACTTTGCACTCAGGCTGGTATTTATGAAAGCAGTGAAGTGTGAAAGAAGGAATGAAAAGAGAGGCATGCAGATTGTATGAAAGCAGTGATTTGAATGCAATATGACAATGCAGATATATGGGGAATATATTAACACAATAATGCGTTAGATCTGTGAGTGGGTGGGTGAGTGGTTATTACATGTACAGTGTATGTAGTTGGCACACAGACATAGTCACTAAAGAGCAATTTCTTCACTGTAATATGAATAGTAATACATGTAAATGAAGTCAGGATTTGATTTTAATACCTTATCTGCATTTGTATTGTAATTTGTATATTATGAAACTGATGAATGACAAAAGAATGATAATATAAGGCATTTTCTCAGGTATTAAGACTATAATTTAGTATGCTTCCAGGTTCACTTAGGTGAAGGGCAAGTCCTTTGATTTCTAAACTGATTTGTAATTAGATATGTCCAGTTATATTTGAATTGAAAGTCTATAACTTATTGATGCATGTGAGCTGTATGGGTATATCAAATTACAAGGGATGTTAGCTGTCACGCAAGGAATGAAAGTGAAACTCCATTTATGTTAAGTCATTACCTGCTCATTGTAATCAATGATACACTGTATTCAACATTACAGACAGACACAGGAAATCATAGAATTGATAAGGGGATATGAAACCTAATGATAAAGAAACATTAAAGGGATTACATTCATGTATATGCAAGTTTTATTCATAAATAACTTCTTTGCAGCATTACTTGACTACCTGTGATCATGTTTGTAAAACATGGTACAAGTGATGAAGAAATTTAGAATTTGAGACTGTCCTTCCAAATGATTATAATATTTATTAGTATGCTGTCTGTTTTTTTAAAAGACTATGAAATGGTATGTTTATATTTCCTTTATGTTAACTAAGGTGATAGAAATATAATTTTTCGAGCCTCTTGTACTTGTTTTATATTTCTTCTTCAAGTTTGTGCTCTTTCTCCATCCATGCTATTAATATAGTGCTTTGAACATATCACTGTCAGGTCTTTATAACAGTATCCATTACATTAAATCTTGAGGCAGCATGGTCATATGTTGTTATTTCCAAACAAAACTTCACATGTGGTATCGTAATTTGTGACACAATGCATGATGTCATCATCATGATAAGAAAGTAGTTCAACAAACTAAAGACAATAGGGTTGCATACGTACTTTGTACTGATTAGTCGCTCCTTTGCACTATAGTGAAAGTGACTATCTATACTTCTTAATATAATGTAATTCTACACAATTGGGATATACCTTTGATATAAATACATAATGTGCAATCATGCTGCAATTGTTCGGCACATCACTATCATTGCATGGTGACCATAAGTGGTTTTCTAATCAAATCAAATATCTTGTAATAACAGATGTGTACTTTGATTTATCATTATTTGCCAATTACACTAAATCAAACATTATAATCCAAGTTTCCACATTTTTTAATGCGCATCAGTTGAAATTTATAAATGTACATGTTATATATATATATATTTTTTAAAGCCAAAAAGACTGTAAGTCCTATACTTATAAGTAGGTATTACCCTTTTGGCTCTGAAGTTCTCTGAATAGATGGTTTAATGGATCATGATGTGTAATGTTTCATCTCCTATTCTCAATGAGAAAAGTTATGAAGGTACTATGTTGAGATTCCCAACCATGACCTATTTCATGATGATAATTTTTTCCTGTTATCATTTAAAGTACATGTAGGTTAGTATTAGGGTTGTAAGTCTTTAATATATCCAGACTTAGACATACAGTAATTACAGTAGTAACACTTGACAAAAGAGAGTTGTAGACAGATGCATTGGTTCAGTAAAATGTCATGAATCAATGCTTTTAGAAGTAGAGAAGTTTAGCTGTCATGATATGAACTGAAATACTAATTAGACATTAGTGAAATACATTGTTTTATTCAATCATTAGAAATAGTGCATAGAGAAGAAATCAGCTTTTACTTCCTTAATCATTATCTTACATATATTAAGATGAGAATCCAATCTTATGATCTTGGAGTTTATGTTTGTTTAAACATTGTTGTTTCATATGTCCACTATCATATAGCAGGACATGAGGTAATACAATGTCTGTTTAAGACCTGTTATATTCTATTTTCACCTCTGGCTGCATACATTTACTGCATTGTATTTGAAATATTTAGGGAAGTGTTAGCACTAATATACTTGTGTACATGTAGGAAAGATATGTACCAGTAAATGAATAAAATAAAAAATCAAAAGATAAGTTTATGAAAGGATAAATATAGAGCCAAATATGAAATGGAAATACAGAGGAAATTTAAATTTGATTTGTTTCCCCAAACATACATAATAGATGAATGTTATTCAATTCCAATTTCATTTCATAGGGTTTGAGCCCTGAACAGGGCAAGTTGTTTCAGCAGTAACAGGAGTTGCTCAAATGAGAAAAATAAATGTGAAATATCAATGTTTTTCAAGGGTATCTTTTTCTGATTTTGATTGATAGGGTGAGACCCCTGACCAGGGCAGGTTATTGCCTGGACAACAGGAGTTGCTTGCTGATATCTTACAGAAGGAGACGGTACGGAAGCTGAACCCTGGTAAACCAGTAGGACCGCCTAGAAGAGGAAGTCTTCCTGGTCTGCACTTACCACCCCATCAGCCAAGCCCGGGAAGAAGACGAGTCTCATCCTTCAATGATGGACAAGGTCAAGTTACAGATAACTCATATGTAAGTAATAACTTGCTTCCCATTCTACTCAATCATTGGCCATTCTGATTTCTTACGGCCTGTCTACAGCTTGAGTTTGCCGAATAACCCGCTATTTTAACTATCCCAATCTTCATCAGCCCGCAGTTGCAATTAGTGGGAAATTTGGTGTAGAAAATATACAGAGAAATATTGGTCTTGTTTCCAAAATATCCGGCTATTTGGAAAATAACGGGCTAATTTGCGCCCGTCCGAGCTAGTTTGTGATGAGCATATGGGTCTGGTGAGGACGCAATTTCAAGCTTCAAGATAATACAACAAGTCTGAAAATAGTAGGTTATTTGGCAAACTTGAGCTGATGAAGACCGGCCTATTGAGATCAAAGTTTTTGTTGTACCATTATGTTAACATTGTAATGTTATTGAGAATGAATAGATACTGTCTGTTTCTGCTTGTAACTTATTTGACATAATGTGAGTAGGAGAGGGAGTTGGTCCCCTTCTGTCATGCAGCTTGTCTGCTTCCATCTACTCTTTGCCAGACATCACGCTATATCCAGGAAATGCAAGAGACAGGAAGCTTGTACCCTGAATTAATGTTAACATTTAAAGAAGACAAATAATAGCGTGATAGCCAGAGAAATATGATTACACATGCCATATATGGTCATGATGCAAGAACTGTACTAGGAATTCCATAAATTGAATGTTCCCATAGTTTCACAGTCAAAAAGGTTGTTTTACCTGTGAGACCAAAACTATGAAAATTCAATTTACGGAATTACTACCAATCAGATGAACCTCTTCGAGGATGTAATAGGAAATGCATTTAAATCTGGCAATTGCCAATGACCAGCGTAATAATAATGACAATGTAAAGCACTTGTTATTAATACAAATGAGACTATAATTAATCTGTATAGCGAGTATTTCCCCTTTCTAAACATTATATCTTAGTGGGGGTGGGGGGGGGGGGCAACTACCCCTTGGCCTCCTTTAATAGATCTATACTGTCAAGATGGGTAGGTATATTAGGGTACCCTGGTAATCAAGGCACTGTCTGTATCCTAATCATTCACTCAGTTTAATACGACAAATGTAGCTTCGTCATGAGCAGATTAGTAATTCTAAGAATCACTTTAATAATTAGCCAATGATTTGCATCAAGTGCTCATTAATCAGGGGATAATCATACTTGAGGTCAATTCAGTCTATTAATCATAGCTTTCTTGAAGAACCAAGATTGCAAGCACTGCTTGATAACGGTGTGTATTGCATTAATGTGCTATGATTCTCTTATTAATTATTTATTCTGTAAGTTGATGTTTTATGTTTAACTTTTGTTCTTCTGTTCATTCTAATATATTTTTTACATTATTATTTAATTTCCAGTTTAAATTTGGAAAAAAAGATGAATAACTGAATAATTTATTCACTCTTAAAATATTACTGTCGCATGTATCATGATCAGGTGTATTACTTGAACATATAAAGAGAATGAAAATATTTTTGTTATCTCGATATCCCAGGCCTTTTCAGTAATATATTTATGGACATTGGGTACCAGCCAAAAACATAAAAAATTAATACAACAACAACAAAAAATACCCAGTAGTGATAATTTATTCAGTGGAATCTGGGGAGCATTGTAGTCCAGAAAATCCTTGACAGAGCTGACCAACACAGGTATTTTTGTAAATAGTAAGATAACAAATACTGCACAAAGCAGATAGTTTTCACAAATTCTTCTCATTCGTCTTCTAGCAATCCTGTAGAGTACAAAGCTGTATTTAAGTTTTGTTTTTTAAGCTCTATTAATATCATGTTCTGGTCCTATTATAGTGACACCTTGTACTAGGAGGTACTAAACAGGATGTGTCTTATAAAGAAAGCGTCATACTTGGCTTGCTGGAAAGAGCTGTTTTCTAAACAACTTGTTAACAGGGGCATTGATGCATGGCACTATCTCAAGAGCATACTAGAATACCAATGGAACAATTACTCCACAGTCAATATCATACACTAAAAAATGTCCTAAATTTAACTCTGGATCAACACTATTATACCTATTCCTAACCTAAAACCCTAACCCTATATTTCAAATTAAATGCATGTAAAGCTGAGAGCAATGGTCGTAGGGATGGGAGTGTTATAGGGTGCGTTTAAGCTCGATTTTGAAGGCACAATGAGCGATTTGAAACGCACATCGTAAACCCTCATCGTAATCGCAGTTCCATGGTGTACTGTTTATGCTCACTTCTCTGGCTCCTAAAAGGCAATTCTCGCTGGGTGGCCTTAATTGGCCTTGCAGCTGGATTCGCCAACCTGCACTGTGCAAGCTACGTAGATCCACTAGAGGTCAGTGCGTTGACCCCATTTAAACGCATTTACAAATTGTAAACGCACCTTTTTGTGAGTTTACGATCGGTGATCGTGATCGCCGTTTTTCGGTGATTCTACAAAAGAGAGAAAGGACGCAACCGCATTTTGAACTAAACAGGTAACAGATGCCTGATTCTGGCCAAAAAAAAGTTGAGCATAAACATACCCTTAGACCAAGCTGTGCTGAAGCGAAAGTTTAAAAAAAAGGTCTTTCATTTTTTTCTTCTATTGTAAAGACCTGGGCAAAAAGGTCCTGATATTACGTTATAAATTTCTGACACCAATAATGGATTTACAAATTTATAACCTCTCTTTAGTGACCCTCAGTTCCATTTCAACATGTATTAATTATAATCTTTACTTTGTTTTGTTTTGTTGATGTGACATGAACTCAATTTATTTGTTTGTTTGTTTTATGTATTTGAACAAATTCTTTGGTTAATGGTTATTAGGTTGTGAACTATTTCCTGCTTATTAGGATGTGGTGAAAGGGTGACAGTAAGTATCAACTGTCCTTCAATGTGACCCGGATTACTTGTCCAGCGTTAGAAGCTATTTATCAGAACTATCAGCATGTTTTGATGCAGGGTGGGAGATCTGTTTAGTAAGCACTTAATTTAAGAATGAAGTCTTATTATACCTCAAAGTTTCAGGTTTAATTCTTGAGGTAAAACCAGAACTTTTGAATGGACCTTTCCTATCCCAGATTTCAATAAGCATTTTTGGAAAAAATTGGAGTATATGCCTGTTAAATCCATATTCTCAATTATTATTTCATTTCACATGAGAGGAAAAACAAGAATTTGTTTTGGAATCAATTGACTAGTGTTATTCATCATGGGTTTATCCACAGTTCAGTTTACTGTACTCTATATTAACGGTTGTGACACCTGTTAAGTTGTTAAGTAGTACAACATATGGTCTGAAGTTGCTTCATTGTTGCATTGCATCAATATAATTCTGCTATCATAACTGTGGAATATAACACATATTGATTTGATATGATAGACTTGAATTAGTGGTAGAAAAATCTATTCAATTTGACTCTCGTTTTAATGAGATATCATTGTACGATGATGACGCCTGGGAAATTAGGTCAGGGTGAGTGTGGGAAGCTTGTGTGGTAGTGTAACCTATAATTGCCCCAAATATGAAATTGTATTTTAAATATAATCCAAAGAAAAACTTTAGCACATCTTTACTGGATAGTCCAAAGATACGCAATTGCAGTTAAAGGGTAAAATTGAATTAGCTGATAATAATGGAAATATTAAATTTTTAGTCTCAAACTATTCATAAACCTAATTGTTAATGCTACAAATAAATTGTTTCTACCAAACTAGTTTGATTGAAAATGCACAATAGCTGAGTTTTTAGCGAATGAAAATAAGAAGCTGGTTGCTCTGACATGGTTTAAAGGTATAGACCAGTTCTGGTCATGCGATTGCAATGTGAAAGAAACGTTGTCGAATCGATAAGAAAAGGTTGATCATCTAGTATATAAGTATTGGTGTGTACTGCAAGGTTCTGGAATCATCGAAATGATTAGAAATTTGGCCCAGTCTTGGTAAAGTTACAAGCACTACACAGAAAGATGAATATGGGGCTACAGGATTTCTATCCGGTCCGGATAGATATGATAATTTATCAAATATATCAATTAGTAGGCGGTTTCCCGCAAAATTTGTATCATCACATATTAGTCAAAACATATTCTTTCACATGATTGGTAATAAGAGCTTCCATTTCATTTTTTGAAAAGGGGGGGGGGGGCGTTTCCTAAACTGGTCTTTACCTTTAAGTGAGCATGATATCTAGCAAGACCAACAGGATGACTAATTAAGAGAATTATAAGAATTATGAGCCAATGATTCCTGAAATTCAGTTTCATCACCAGAACTCAAGCACAGAACTCAAGAATTTTCTTTACCATAAATATCTCTTAATGATATCACAGGAAACATAAAAATCACATTAACATTCCCTGTAAACATGTATCATTATTCTGTTAAGATAAGACTGGATTCCTTATGTAAAACCAAGCTGAATGAACAGCTTTTTAAAACAGAAAGTCCAATCAAATCTAAACTGTTGTTCATGATGAGCAGGTATTTAATGTCAAACAAGAAAAAGCATTATTTTTCGAACCTTTCATTGCTTGTAATTTACACCAATTCTTGGAAACAATTTCTTTTGTTAAAGAACCCTGAATTAAGTATAAAAATGTTTGCCATAACAAAACTCTTTTTGTAAACTTGTTATCATCTTGAACATACTGTATGGTAGCATCATGAGATCTTTCAATATTAGGTGTTCAAAGAAAGTAAACAATATACATTCTGAACAGTCCGTGGTCATTATTGTGTATGAATTTCGATACTTTGATGTTCTTTTCAGTTAACTGTAAATCTAAGATTATCAGGAGCTCTTGTAGCGCAGCAGAATATATACTTAATGTTGGATAGTTTCTGCGCTCTATAAATGTATTATTATTGTGCTAATTGCAGTTTATATTGTTTTGCTATTCCACAGTACAAGTTTCTTCCGGAAGACATAGCCTACAGTCAGATGCTTCCACCGGTATGGTTCTTTGGTAAGATCTCAAGAGCTAAAGCAGAAGAGATTCTCCACCTCTCTACATCCCATGGTGATCTACTCCTAAGAGAGAGTGAGGCCCATCCCGGACAGTACACTCTCTCAGTCAGGCAGGACACAGATAACAAGAGTCTCATCAGGCATTATATGTTCAAGAAAAACCCTTTTGGGTTTACCCTTCTCATTGAAGATAAGGTGAGTTGAGGGAGAAGTGGAAGGACAAGAAATGTTAGTGATGATGATTAGGATGATGATAGTTATGGCAGTGACAAGAAAGAAGGAGGAGGAGAAGAAGAAGGAGAAGAAAGAGAAGGAGGAAAAGAAGGAGAAGAGAGAAGAGCAGAAAAGAGCGGAAGAGAGGAGGAGGAGGAGGAGGAGGAGAAGGAGAAGGAGAAAAATGAGAAGAAAAAGAATAGGCAGGACAAGGAGAATTAGTATGAGGAGGAAGAGGAGAAGGAATTAGAGATGTTCAAGGTGTTCAGGGGTTGAAGAAAAAAAGTCAAGAAAAAATATGACAATTAAAAAAAAAAAGGAGGGCAGATAAGGGAAAAAGGAAATGATTAATGCAATAATCGAGATATTTTGTTTGAATCCTGAACTTTCTTTTCTCACCATGCAGCCTCCAGTTCTGGCTTCGATGTATGAGTTGATGTGGTTCTTCATCCAGGAGAGTGGAGGACATTTATTACCCATCCAGAAGGATCCAAACCTTCCCTCTACAATCTATGACATCAGGTTTCCTTCTGCACAATGTGAGTATATATAAACACTGTTCACACAGGATTAATGCATTGGCATATCCAGGATTTAGAAGAGGGAGGGTGGTATGGCCATGTCATCAAATTCAACACTGGAAAAGTGGAAAATGCATGTTTCCTCATAGAATTATAAAGTTAAACAAAAAATGAGGATGAGGTGGGTATGTACTTCTTTCGCTACCCCTATTCTAATGTGTCATTGCTTCCAAGTTTGTTTTTCATTCTTGTTTGTATTTTTGTTAGAATTATCCAAACAACGCATTTTACCGATCATTCAGATTCATTATATCAAACCGTTTCATCCAGACAATGAAAATTCGGGAAGACAATGGAAAAACGGAGATTCGTACGAAGCATTCGTATAAGCATAAGCTTTAACTGTATCATCACTTTGTTTTAAGCTCCATCTTTCTTGTCATCATAAAAATATGTTCTTTGTGTTTGGATTAAGATAAAGATCCAGCAAACGGAGAGACGTCATCCAAGCCGGATAGAGGTATGATGCGTAAATCAGCAAGCTTAGATGATAACACCATGTCACGTAACAGTGTGCTTGAGGAAGAAGAGAATGACTACCTGGTCCCAGACATTGTTAGTCCAAGAGGTGAGTCCATTCATCTACATTTCCCACTCTCCACCCAGGTGAAGTGAATGGGTACCTGATCATTCCTTTAATGCGAGCTAGAGCACCTAATCAGGTGTCTACCTTGGCTTCATCCAGGATGATGATAGTACAGGACAGATTAACATTAGTATAAAACATTGTATTAAATGTTTCTGTCGCGATCATTATCATCTATTAAATCATTAAGCAAATTTGGCACAAATCATGGTCATTCATAGTCTAAAATACAAACTGTTTGTAAAGACAAGTCTATAAAAGCCACGTACTGTAGTTGCTACCTTTTCAATGACTCTTTTTCCATCATGGGGGCTATTCTTTTTGATAATATCCATTACCATTAGCTCCCATTCACTTGTTCAATATATTTTCTATATGATGTGCTGCATGTCAGCATGGTGGCCATCATGTACGATACGTGTATTTATACACAAATTTTGACCAAATCCATATTTTTGTCCAGTCCAACCAAATCAGAGGCCAAAATACTACCCCAAGAAATGTGTTTATTTGGAAACCTTCGATACAGGGAGCCACATAACAACATCAAATTGAGGAATTCTTACATTGCTTAAGATGATTTGAGCTATAGTCTATGAGAATTATGTCTAATATGATAATATCACAATCGGATATGACGCTGTAAACAGTCACACAAAAAAGGTGCATTTTTCTTGTATGTGTAAATAATGACAACTACGCACAACAAAGGTCCTGTGCATATACACTGAGCTATGTGTTATAGGAAATGTGAAGAGTATTTCAGTCGACATTGTTATACAAAAAACATTGTGGTTTTTCCTCATCATATCTGAAGAGGCTTTTTAGCGAATCTAACGGGTTAATACATATAACATATAACTACACACCCCCAAGAAAGATTACCGAGAGTCCTTTTCAGGACTCCTCAATCCTCCCTCTCTCTCTCACATGGTGCAGCTGCAAGCCTACTGTATACATACAACTTGTATGACATTATAAGTGGGAGACCTAAATCATTTTTATTATTTGGCTGGCAGGACGACATCCATCATCGACCATCAACAGGTCTCCCTTGATGAGTGTGAGTGAATCGTTTGATGCCCCGGATGATACGTATTCCCCTGCTGATGATGATGTGCCACTCAGAGAAGCTCCTCGGCCTCCACAATTAGGTACGATCTTAGAACTAGTTGGATGATACATTCATCTTCTTGGTAATGGTCAACCGATTCTCGTTTGTTGTGGGTTAAAGATAAAGACTGGTAGTGGTAAAATTGCGGTTCAAGGGTTTTGGGTACAAAATATCCATTCAATATTTTTTTAATATTGCCTTCAGGGGTTAAGATGGCAATACTTCAACCTAAATTCGCAAAAAAGGAGAAATATATGCCCAAATGTTCAATGTTGAAGTGCATTCGCGAAAGGCTATCCAGGGCAGATCGATATGATAATTTACCAAATACATCAATACGTAGGCGGTTTCCCGGCAAAATTTGTATCATCATGTATTAGTCAAAACATATTCTTTCACATGATTGGTAATAAGAGCTTCCATTTCATTTTTTGAGAGGGGGGCGTTTCCAAAACTGGTCTATACCTTTAAATCTCCACATAGACGATTTAATGAAATTGGTATTAAAGAAAGTCCTGAAGAAAGTTGATGGTACATATTTCACAAAAGATTTTCTCTTGAACTCAAAACTATCACCAATGCTCTGCTTGGTATTTTATGTTTGTTGTCTTTAAACAGTAAGCGATGGCTGTATTCTGAAAACTATGTTATCTTTTTCGTGTTAGTAAAAAGTATGCTAATTGTCATAACAAATTTGAATTTAAACAGAATAGATAATTATTGATGCTAGCGCGGATGTCTCTCTTAACTGTACGTGCCTGCAGCTAGCTTTGCATAAAAATTAACCAATAACTTGTCCCAATGTGTTATGGCGTTGAAAATAATGCTACTTATAAAAGATAGCATAGCTTCTAAAATACCACTCCAGCTCCATATGTTGAATACCTCTTTGATTTATGGATTCATAAAAATGAGACATGGGAATCACAGTTAAATTTATTGAGTGTACAATGAGCATCTTGGCATGTTTAAATCTAGATAAGGATCCCTACACAGATTGATTTTGCTATTGATATGAATGAAGAGAACTCAAGTCAGGATAAGTTTTTGAATGTGACTTTGTTCTTTTGCCTGTTGAAGGTAGCATGGCATGCATTGCCATTTCTTCATTGACCTTGCCATCTTTGTTGTGTATGAATGCATAGTAAAAAAAATGTAGGTGGTTTGTAATGTCAATTGTGAGCAAGGCTTAAAGGATGTTCACACAACTAGTGCTCATGTTTCAGACAATCCGGTCTATAATTACAGGGTTTATATATTTGTCAATGTTTGAAACCTTATTATAACAGTACATCTAGTATTCATGTTGATCATGATAATAATATTCCACTTTTACATAATACTCATGGGTCAGGACGGGTCCATGAAGCTGATCTAGATACTAGCCATGTCATGTAGATTTAATGTAGATTTGGGTTATGGTTGTAGAAAACAAGAGGAAGTAAGAAATGAATTAAATTAAATTAAATAAAGTGTAGCTTATAAATAGATTGGCTGTCCATCTTGTTGTGGTTACCCTAGAAAGCTTGTATGTCTGTGCATTAGTTCAGCATAAATTGCATGATCATTGAATGGAAAACACCTTTCTGTTTTCCTTTCTGCCCCCTCCACTCCATCTGCATGTATCAACGGTACCCCCTCCCTTGCTTTACGCCAACCAATCCTCTTCCCTTCCCTCTGTCTGTCCGTCTCTCTGTCTCTCCCTCCCTTCCCCTGTCTTTGTCTGTCTGCCTATCTCTCTCTCTCTCTCTCTCTCTCTCTCTCTCTCTTTCTCATTCTCCCTCTGTCTCTATGACTCTCTCTCTCTCTTCCCTTTCACCCCTCCCACCCCCTCTCTCTCCTGTACCCTCCTTCCTGCATCTACTTCCCTTCCTAACCTCCAGCGGGTCAACACCACCCCTACTCAACCAACCCCAACCCCTCCCCCTCCCCATCTCATCACCACCGCCGGAGTGACGTGCCCCTTCCCTCTCCTCCTGGTGACAGCCTGAACCTTACCACCGGCTACGTCAAGATGAAAAGCTTCCATTCAGCTCCAGCTCTGCATCAAGTTCGTAGACACGATGATGTGGGTTATATCAACATGAAGAAACAATCTAGTCTGGATGAAGGTAGCCATGGTGATGGTGCTAGGGGTGATGGTGAGAAATCATCTCCTTTAATCCTTCCTCTCTGACCCAAACTACTAGCTATTTAATGTCCGTCGTAGAAAAGAATGTTTCAAATATGGCTTAATGCATCTGCCTGTGTGTTTGTTTTGATAAAGTCTTCTGCAGCTTGACTCCCACTACTGCTTTGCCTTTCTTTCAAAGTTTAAAGGATGAAGAAAGAATTAATTTATTTTTGTATTCTTACAAAAGAGTGTGTAAATTACAAACATTTAGAATTTATTATTATATAGAAGCAAATTATAATTTTTGTCTCAACTTTTAGTTTTGGTATCATGGTTGTTTTCAGTGCATGCTGCATTTTTGCATTTAATTTTTGTGCATGATTCTGATACATTTTATGCAATTTGTTTGTAATAATGCTAGTCTAGTAGCATTTCAATTGAGAATCATGTGTGATTTTAAAGTTCATTTTTAGTTCAACATATCATACAGATAGACAGTCTTAGAGTAAAAACAAATCAGTTTGTTTCTTTGAAATGCTGATCCACTTTTGTAGTCTCGACGAGAGAATACAGAGAAACTGCTAGAAATTAGATTGTATGTTTCTCTTCAACAGGTCACTAGTTTTAGTGCAGTAACCATAAATTTGCTTCAATTCATCTTCGCAGGCACCGGCTTTCATGATACTAATGATGTAATGTGCTTTGCTTCAAACCAGTATGCTATATAACACAATGATGCAAGTCATCTTGCTTTAATACACTGGTTAAATTCATAGAATAATGCTAGTGTTATGCTTGGTGTCGGTAATCATTTAAATAACCTGAGATATAATTGTCAATTTTTAATTTATAGACCCTCTTACAGTTCCAGAATTACACCACAAGTTTATTATTCTGATGGATGTCAAGCTCAGTTGTAGTAGAAAGAAAATCTACAATATTTTCAGTCTCGGTTAATTTGAGGGCTTGAAACTTCCAAATTACACAAAAGTTGCACAAATCTTGGTGTAAGTCTCCAAACTATAAAAAAGAGTGAAAATATTGGCATTTTCAGATATAGCGTGTGAAATTTTACAGATATAGGTTCTGAAACTTCTTTGTAAGAAATGAAAATTTAGCGCTGTGTCCATATTGCTGAAAAGGGAGCTATTCTCAAATCAACAGATATAATGGTGGAATTAATTTTGAAATACGTACAAATAATTTTTGAGTGTTTAAAAGAAATATCTGGAATTAACCATCGATATATATTTGTTAAAAAAGCCAGTTTCCATTTGTCTTCATTTGGTGGGAGGTTTCTAAGAATACACCTCTTCAATATACCACTGGGTTCATGGAACTTCAGGTTTTAAGGTCTGCAAACGGGACAAACCATCTTTAAGCATATGACACTGAAAAGAAAAAAAATCAACACCCGGCTATAACACTCCTACTGATAAAGCTCATATTTCCAAATAGAAAAAGTAGACTTTTTCTTTGGTGTTATATAGAGTTAATTTGCTGACATTGAGAAATTTTGTTTTTAAAGTATGTATTTCTTCATTTTGGTTTCCTTCTGGAATTATTTTCTTAAAATAATGCTGAAGATAAAGGGCAAGGAAACTAAGAGGTGTGTATATCTCTCTTTATGAAATATTCTGGTTTGTTTCTGTGAGTTTAATTTCATATGTTTCCTGGAATTCTGGTATAATCTATGGAACATGGACATGTACTCTACATCCCTGTAATTTAAGAACGGTAACTAAAAAGCACAAGGGCTGTACTAATTAAAAAAGCAGCTGTTATGAAAAACAAAAGAAAACTATTTGAAAGTTTTACTAATACATACTCATGAATATATTCCTCCCACTTTCAGGTGTGTTTAAAATACGATATGCTGGAAATTATGCATATTAATCTGGTGTGGTAAAAGATCTTCATATGAAAGCTGAAGTGTTTGAAGTGATATTAATATCAAATTCGTCTGTTTTTCTGTTTTCCCTATGTTTCTTGGTTTGTTCCTTTCCCTGTGTCCCCTTGAAAATACCTGCCTCAAATCTTATTCCTCATTTCTGTTTTTCCCCCTTCTTTTTATATTTTTATTTGTTCTTTGGATTGTCCTCATCTACCTTGTCAATTGCATGAATTGACATTTACTTTGTATTTCTCAATATCCTCTTCTCAATTTCATTTTTTTTCTTGTTTCAATATCATCTGCTCTTTTTTTCTTTCCCCTTTCTTTCTCTTTATTATGTGTTTATTGTCCATCTCTTACAATCTGCCACCACTCCATTTTCTCCTCTCTCTCCCTCTTCCTTCTCTCCCTCTTCCTTCTCTCCCTGGCTGTATTTCATTTTTGGTGATTTTAATCACTATTCATCCTCTCTAATTCAATGTGATTATTATTACATTTTATTCTATCATGTTCATGTTATTCTTGCTATGTACTAATGATTTTATTGTGTACTGTTTTCTTCCATATTCATTAAATCATTCTCTCACCCCACTATCTCTCTCTCACTCACTCTCTCTCACTCACTCACTCTCTCTCTCTCTCTCTCTCTCTCTCTCTCCCTCTCCAATCATGATATAAATGGTAAAACATTTATTGTTTACTCACTCTTCCTTCATTTTTCTTTGATCTCTTTCTTTTACTTTTTAACAATTCTTCATGAAATTCATGCTCATTGTATCTAACATTCTTTCCTTAATCTCTTACTCCTTTATTTTCTCTTTCTCCTTTCTGTCCATTGTTCTGTTCATCTATTTATCTATCTCTTCCTTCTCAATTGTTCTTCTTTTCCTCTTTCTGTCTCTCTAACTGTCTCTCTCCCTCTTCCCCTCTCCCTCTCTCCTCTCTCCTCACTCCAATCACCCTCTCCCCTCACTCTCTCTCTTGCTATTGCCCCCTAAAAGGTAAAAGCCTGACCCCGCCTCCTCTTCCCCGCAAGTCCCGTAGTCACCATGGTTACTGTACCCATTTAAAGTCCGTACCAGAAGAGCTTGCAGAGGCTGGATTCACCTCTCCTGTAGTGCAGCATTTGAAGTGTGAGTTAGATAGAACACTTCCATGGCATGACTTTCCTTGTCTCAAACACTTTCTTGCATGAAATTGTAGACAAACTGGATTTCATTTCAGTGTTCTTCATCCACCTGATGTTGTCCTGCTAATCCTTCAATGTCTCTGTTTTGTTTGTTTGTTATGTACTTGTTTATGTTCTAAAGATCGTCATTTAGAAAGTACAATTTTGTTTTTCTTCATATTCAGATAGATGTGAACCTTTAATATTGACATTGCACTTAACATTTTTAACATTAACATCAGTTTTTTTATAACTTTTTTTTTAAAACATTTAATCCCATGCATGCATTAATGATTTCATTCTACTAAAGCTCCATTTCACTGAAAATTATCTTTTGCTCTAATCTAAACTGCATGAAAACTTCAATTGCATCATTTTACACTTATTTTACCACTTTTGTGTTGAATTGGTGATTGTTCAGTTTAACATGAAAACTAATTTGCAGTGTGCATTAGCTAGGGAATGGATAATTAACGGTTTCCAAATTTAATCTTCCATAACAATATAAGTTTTTTTCACACCCTTTCCACTTTTGTGTACCAGAAGCACAATGCAGTTTCTAAATCACATATATTACTTGTATGTGTACCAACTTGAACATAAAATATTCATTGTGTGGAATACGTAGTGAAATAATCATTTTAGGTATCTATCAACTGTGCTGTTTATATCATGGGTTAGTTTGTGTAATGATTTGTGTAGTATAAGTGGAAATGATCTTCGACTTTAAAAGAAGTACATGTAATAATAATAAAAAGAGGTTTTTACAGAATTCAACAAAATTCACTCTGATGGTCAAAGATCTACCAAATAAATGGATGCCCAATAAGCCGTAGAGTCCTGTAGGTGGCTATGCATGTTGGGATTTTTAGTGCATTTGATTTCTTGCAACTTTTTGTAAGCTTTGTGGCAATTTTAAATCTAAATAATTGATTAACTGCTTAGATTTTTAGCCAGTCTTTCATGGAATAAAGTTCCTTTAAATACCAGAAATAGGAATCTCTTGTAACAAGATTTATCAGTGAAGTTTATCAGGATGTCAAAGCTCATTTAAGTATGCTATCAATTCCACAGGTCATCAAGTGTTTTGTCGAGAGCAGGTCCATATCGAGTGCCACATTTCATAATGCAAGCCAAGATCTATTGAAAAACATAATAACTAACCAAACAGTTGAAATACTGCATTGTAAGCATTTAGCAAATAAACAGCTCCAAATGAGGCAATACTACTTAAAAGGTATGGTACTCAAATCTGGACACTGTCTTATAAACCCTTTCCATTGATTCGAATTGATTACAACTTGCCACTAATCACAGTTTTGTACTAAAGACATAGGATCAAGGACAATGTGTTGAAAGACAAGTCCCTGGTATTTTCCTAAAATCTGCAATAAAAAGACATTTACCAATAGCCTTTTTTTGGGGGGGGGGGGGGGGGAGGAGAGGAAGTGGTTGTAAATGGGTTTTATTATCATTTATTTTTATTCCCTCCAATTTCATGAATCAGAACCACTCAGAACTGCAAAAGCTTCATGCAAACGAAAAGTTCTAGTTTAAAAGTAGCTTTGCATTGAATGTTATGGCAAAATACTGCTTATTAAGAAATGTTCATATTTGAATATTTCTATATTAGTTTTAACCAGTGCTAATGTCTTTATCTATCTCTTTTGACAATAAGAATATAGTTTCCTTGGTAGAAATATTTGTGAAGAAAGGGATATACAAACAAATCAAGACATTGGAAATGACAGATATTTAGATATTTGTGATCTGGGAAGCAGCAGAGTTTGTTTCAACACATTAAATTGCACCATCTTCATTTATTTGCAATCACCAGCACTGCCATCAATTCAAAATATTTCATACTTCATAGTATATCAAGCACTATGTACAGTTTTTTTCTATGGAAAGGGGGTGGTGTGAGAGATGAGATGGGAGACAATTATTGTCCATCTCTAGTCATCAGCTTATCACATCAGCAGCTACATACAAGCAACCAGAGCATATCATTTGTTTTTACAGATTTCATTGAGTTTTGAATTGTAAAGATGTCTTTATAATGTATTATTTAATAAATCATCATTGAATTTGATTGTAGTACCTGCCTAGGATGTTTGGACCCATATTATCTAAAGTTATTCATCAAAAAAATGTATTTAGAACAGTCATTATAAACAGTTTCTTTCATTTTGAATTCAATGAAAAAGTAATGAAAATATTTTAATTTGCTGCATGATGAAGAATTAGAAACCTTAATATATCCATGTGTTTTGAGCCCCGTTGGACTATGCAAAGAAGTAATGATTTTCACTTCTTCTGACTAAAATTTGAGGTTTCATACAAAATACTAATTTTCAAAAATTGTGCATTTTTATCATTCTATGATATTTATAAAAAAGAGACTGATTTCGTTATTCAAAGTAATGTTTTCATGCCATTAATGTAGTGTTGAAATATCATGACAGTTGAGAGTTCTATATGTGCTGTATCAGCTACCCCTAATTAGTCCAGGATTTCTGACTTTATATTATGAATGCCAGTGATTTTATGAGAGACATAAATACATCTTTCATTGCCTTCTTCAATTTACTCAAGGGCTGGTGATCATCAACAATAGTAGAAGCTAGGTATAGGAAAGTCATCTTGGCTTTTCAAAATAAACCATGTGCTACTAGCAGATCAGAGCGTTACATTGAAAACATTGCATGCAGGGAAATTGACTACAATTCAAGAGCTATGTGAAAATTAAGGGCAGAAAACCTTATGGTTCATTAAAAGCACCACTCATCGCACAGTCTATCCATTTATCATCATCACTGTACACATGGTAAATTATGAATTAAAACTATGAATTATTTGATATGTTTTGTGAACAGCAGGTGACAGGTAATTTGCATTGTGGTTTGGTCTGGTCTGTTACTGATATATATGCACATAAACATGCGCATCGTATAATATGCATTGTATTTAGCTTGGAAAAAAAATATGGTAATGCAATGGCAAAAGCAAAACAAATCCTTGACGATCGGCTCGATATGAACTTTGACCTTGAACTGAATAAAGTTTTGCTTGTTCATGCACACAGGTTCTTCCCTACCTAGAGACAGTGATGTCTGACTGGCCGGGGTAAGAAAGCGGCTTTTGATATCAATCTCAACGCACCTTTCACTTTGCAATTGAAATAGGCAGACTAGGTGTAGACAATGCAAGAACAAGTAGTGCTTTACATAAACCTTTAATACCTCAACCCTTCGCAGAAGATATCAGTGGCAATAATGTACCTGTAGAAAATAGATGCACCTGATGGTAGAACCGAGCGCCGTCCATGCTAGCCTATGCTTTTAAAAGTGGTTTATTCATGAAGAACATATAATACCTACTACAAACATATAGTTTTACAAGCAAGTCAGCCAAATTTAAATTCCCATATTTATATTAATTGCAAGTTTGAAAAAATTAATAACTCTCTTATTGTGTTTTCAATTTTAAGTATGCTTTTCTTATTTTTTCTGCTTTCCTTCAGAGAAACTTGCTATTAAGGTTAGACTTCCCTTTAACCACATAACATTCTATTTCACAATTAGTAAGGGGAAATGAAAACAATTAGATTTCAGTGCAACAAGATAGTGCTTACCATAAATACCTGGAGTTCTTTAGTTGTGTGTGGAAGTGTGCACTGGCAACAACAACAATCTCTTGCTTAATTTTTCATAGATGTTATAGAAATTATTAACCCTTATGATAAGATTGGAATAAGTATTATTAAACAGTTCTGAATGTAAAAGAATAATGAAATAACTGAGTAAGCAATTAGCCACATTGTCAGCTGAGAAGTGAAAAATAATATAGTTGCACCTTGAAAGTAATAGAGGGTATACCGGAGCCTACGTGATGGAAAACGAAAGTAATACTTTGAAAAGTAAATGAGGAATTCCCCCAAATGCCTCCACTTGAAAGATATTTCCTCTTGGAGCAAGTGATAATATGAATTGGTTTGAATGTTTTTGCCTATATTGTGAAAGCAAACAAAATAAGTCAAACTATGTGGAAGTTGTGCAATCAATGCACTTCATGTGGTATGATTTTATATCAATATTTAACACATTAGGAAACAAGGTTAGGGGGACCCCCAAAGATTTCCATACACAAAAAGAAAGTGATGCACTAAGGAACACCAATGTCATGATTATGACGCTACAGTATTTGTAAAGGAAATAGTTACTTCAATTTTAGAAGTGTGATTACAGAAAAACAAAAAAACAATTCACCCCTAATTTTATAAACTCACAGTCTCACAGTCCAATGTCATCAGCAAATAAATTCTAAACACTACTAAAGTTCTATGACATTTTTTTAAAGTTCTCATTTCTGGCTCTTAACAATTAAAGTCATTAGATGTGATTGATTGATTGATTGATTGATTGATGTGACATTGGAACAAGGAAGCTGTAGAAGCAATCTAACGGGGAAAGCCAATTATGACTTCAAACTCATGTTTTTCATTGACATTTTTTATTTTCTATGAACTCCAGTGCTACTCAAATTTGAATCTGAAATTGGGATAGTTCAATAAAATCTGTGACCGCCACAAGCCTATCATTCATAATTCAAGATGTAGACAGTTTTAGTGTTTTTTCTCAATTTCTGTTATTGGTTTCCCTCTCAAAAGTACAGTATTTAACTAGACAAGAGACTGGTCATCTGGGTGGATGCTTGGGTATAATAGTTTAGTCTGTTTACCTTAAATCTGGTTACAGCACGAATGAACAAATCATAAATCTGGTGTACACTCCAAAACTTGAGTATACCCTGTCGTGATCACAATCAATCATTTATTGAATAAAAATACATCATCTGCATGTCCATGTACTCATTTTCATTTGATTAATATTTTAACATTAAAGCATGAATAATTAATGTTTCTAATGTTGCATGTCATACATGGTACTAGTTTTTCCATATCTCTTAAAGAGAACACATTATCAAACTAAACACATTTAATGTGAACTGATTGACAAGGCTTCGATATTTTGAATTCCTTATTTTTTCAAAAGATTTTACAATTTACCATTTTACTTTTGGTTTTCATACCTAGCAACTGTAATACCTAGATAATGACAATCTTAATGACTTTAGAAAGTATATCTGGAGTTAAATTACTAAATTACTTTCTTATGTTAAGAATGGAAACCTTGAATTAAGGTACGATTAGAATTTAAGTTAGTGACTTCCCTATACATGCATAATGTCCTGAAACTGAATAGAGAAGCAACTAAAGATATAGATATTAAATAGGCAACTTATTTGGGAGTTCCACAACGTAATTGTCAGAATAGACTAGATATGTAGATTATATTACTTTAAATGAATATTTTATTTATTCCTGTTATTTGTAGTGTAGATTCTGTCAATTTAATAATGTATTTTAGTACTGTCTTTATAGGATATATATATATTAATATGGTTTAAAAATGTTAAGGTCATTGAAAAATATATTTTCTTAGCCCAGTTATTTGAACTCTACTCTATTTATGCTAGTGATACTTTACCCAATCACCCAATGTTTCATTATAGTTGTGGGTGTAATGATTTAAGTGCAACTACACAGGAAACAGCAAGGAAATTATCATTGTTATGAGTGGGGAGGTTAATCAAAGAAACATAAAGATTGGATACCAGGATCTTGGCTATGTTTATCAGAAAGTAAAACAAAACCAGACTTTAGAATATATACAGTCATCATGTGTCCGCCTCACCCTCTTTTTCTAGCTTGTCATTATATACTGTCCGGGATACATGTATGTCATTAACAAAACCACTGAATATTCTGAGGATTTGATGAAGAATCCATCATGTCCCTAGTATTTTGTTATGAAGATTACCAATAAAGACAAACATTGCCTGAGGTACATGTTTAAGCGTATATTGAAATTGTTCTCAGGTGCATTCAGAAAAAAGAATACACTGAAAACAAAGTAATTAATAATGATATATTTTTTCCCTTTTGACACACCAAACAATGATGATGAGTTCTCATTAGCTTATGTTTCTTGGAGGTCTGTGTGCAGCAGACTGTCATTAATATCTTGAAAATTTAGGGATTTGGGGTGAATTATTTGGTCAATGTATACCAGACCCTTATTAGTTTTGAGTCCTGCAATAATTCCTTTGTCTGAAACTTCATGAAATCTTAATTAATCTTTTAAAGATTGATTTATGTAGACTTCAACCAATTACATTTTGTTTGCTCATAAATGTTTAATAGGAAAACCACAGGGTAATAACAGTGCTATGAACTTTAGTGAAGTGGGGCCTTTTGGTCAAACTTTGTATAAAGGTCATCCAGGGGAATCATTGAAAGTGACCATTTGGACAGATGGCCTTTCCAGACAGGTTCTGCAACATAGTGATATTTCTTCCTTATCAGAGACATATGACCACTGGAGAGGTGGCTATAGTTTGATTGTAATTTATTCTAACAAACATTTAGTTTGATTGTATTTGTTCTAACAAACATTTAGTTTGATTGTATTTGTTCTAACAAACATTTAGCGTGAAGATCTTCCATTATAATTAATTGTACTGTTTTGGTTTAATCATTAGGTTTATTCAACAACATCCTTTGTTTAGACTTCCTAATATTATCTGATTTTCTTTGATTTTTTAATATGATCGTGAAATGAAAGTCCTCAGCTTATGAATACATTCTAGTGAAAGAAAGAAAGAAAAAAAAAGTTTAGGAAAAGGTAGAAGGGCTGCAACTCTTTGTTCAAGGATATTGGTTTACAAACCTCAACAGACAACATGTTTCTATATTACACTATATTTCATTGAACATATTACACTATATTACATTATATTGAACAATATTACATTATATTGAACAATATTACATTATATTGAACAATATTACATTATATTGAACAATATTACATTATATTGAACAATATTACATTATATTGAACAATATTACATTATATTGAACAATATTACATTATATTGAACAATATTACACTATATTACACAATTTTAAAGAATATTCATATATTCTTATATCACACAAAAACAAAGCCATACAATATTATTATTGTTATCTATATCAGGCTGACTACTTGACTAGCGATGTAACAAAATTTGACTTGCCTCCGGCCCTCCGTAAATATGACTTTGTTTTCGTGTGAAATCGATATCGATAATTGAAGTTCCCGGATGACTGAGCAATACGAAGGTGATATTGATCAGTCATCCGGGTACTGTGCTAAAGATATTAAATATATTGATTTATTGTATCACTTGGAAGCCTTCTTTAGATTATATTTTTACTATCTTACACAACATTGCACAATACTACACTAGTATCACACTGTGTTGCACTATATTTTAATGTATAGCAACATGTTGTCTTAAAGACTTTTTTTATTTTTATTTTCCTAAACAGCTCCTTTAAGACCAACCAACTCCTGCCCTGCTAGTAATGTGGGAGAACTCCAAAAAGCTTTCAAGAGATTTGGACTGCGAGAAGAATCAAGCACATAACCAATGGACAATGCGCATGAAAGAGGAACAAAGAGAATGTCAGACGATTAAAACTCAAATAAAGAATCGTGATATAATTGTCATATGAAAGGACCACTGGGCCAGTGCTGTGTACATGAATGGGGTGTTTCTCCTGAAGAATTTTGCAATATGGAAATGGAAAAGTGGCCAATGAAATTGATTCGATAGCCGAGATGGAATACCGTATACCAAGATGGAGTTTTGCTGCAAAGGGTGGAAATATTTTTAGCAGAGTGGAATTGATTTGGTTGAAACCACCGAGGATCAGGGAATGGATAATTTGACAGGAATGTGATGGGTAGACATGATGGGGGAGGAGCCATTATACATGAGATGGGAGGAGCCAATGGCCATTATTCATGAGTTGGGAGGAGCCATTATACATGAGATGCTATTCACCTACATCATGGAGATTAATTTTAGTGATATCACACGAGAAGAAAATAGTGTCAGATAAGTGAAAAGCTGGATGATTATAAAGTACAATGTATTACGATCTATTGTGGGAGATTGATGGAAGGAAAAAAGTACCGGTAGAGAGACAACAATTCAAAATAGTTGGTTTATTGTGCATAAGATAGAAGATATATACATGTAGTATCATGTAAGAAGAATTGATAGTCCAGGTAGTTTTTGAGCTGACTCACCAGCCCTAATAATCATACTTGACATTTCTTTTTTTTAAAAGAGAGATGATGGAAAGTTTGCTAGAATGGATTCTTTGCCTATGCAATGACTCGGAAGTTTGGTGAAAACTTGAAAGAGATTTGGAAGAGTGTACATACATTTGTATCTCATAGTTCATCTGCAGTAAAACAGGTTTTGACAGTCTCTCATTCATTTTTTGAGCTGTGATTTTGTTTTTATTTATGAATTTGAATTGATTTTTTTATAAAAATGGTTGTTTTAAAGATATTTGCTACTGGGCTAGAAAGTAAAATGTCATATTCCAAACTCCATTTTGTTTCTTTATGCTGGAATCATATTTGTTGGAACAAGAACTGGGTCATCTCTTTTTTTATGGTTAAGAATACTAGACATAAGCTCTCAAAACCTGTTTTCCCTTTCAGGCAGCTGTATTGCTCTACCACAAATCTCATGTGTTTCTGACAAAAGGCACTTCTGGGAGGTGAATACCAGAAAGTGTCTTGATATAAGATAATTGCAAATAACAAGCACTTTTGTGGCAAGAAACTTTTTTACGGTGGACAAATTCAATGGTGCTTCAAATATTACACAACATGAAAACTTCCCAAATCTGACGAACTCGAATATTTGTGAACGTTTCCATGCACACAATATATTTCTTGTCTTTTGAAAATGTCATTGAATGACTGGGTAACAAGCTCGTGTGATGGCAAGGAGGCTTCTTGGTGTTTCTACAGGGTTACTATAGCGACGCTTAAAGAGAGAGAGTATCCTTATTTCTTTACCTCGGCTAACTCGCTTCATTCTTACATTGTGTGAATAGGTTTAAAAGTACATGGATTTAGAATTATCAGTGTCTTGTATTCAAAATGTATATTAATAAACAGATGTGAAAACTAAGGAATTGCTTACAAAATTGAATTCCTGTTATCAAATTCAATGAATTGGCAAAATGCTTGTTTCAGAATTTTGCAGGAATATTTGTAAACTTTAAGATAGTAAATTGCATTTTTACTTCTTAAAAAAAAAATTATTGTTGAAAGTGTTAAATGTACACTCACAGAATAGTATATACAATTCGGGTAAGAGTAATAGTCTATGGATGTGTTGATATAATCATTGATTCATCATAGATGGGGGGGGGTGGTATATAAAAAACTGAAATGCGCATTCTAGTACATTTAGGGCAATTCCACCCACCGGTCATTTAAAAAAAGAGACAATTTTATACACAAAGATTTGATGAACCAACCAATGTACAAGTAGAGCGCCAGGAGTGGCAATGTGCCAGACACAAGCGCTATATAAGACTCAACTATTATTATTATTATTAACATATGCTTCCACTACAAGGTACAATACATCATGAACTTCTTTTTGCTAGTATTTAGTTCAAGGATACAATATGCCACATTCTCTGATAGGGTTCTGTTCTTGATATCTTTTATCATTTAATCTTCTTTGAACAGGGTTTAGAAATTGATATGATACCTTGTCCTTCCTCTAATAAATCTGTGTCCCCTCCCACTGTAGTGCATGGCACTGCCCCCTTCATGAATGGAGAGGGGACCAATTATCCCCTGCCCCTTACCCTGGCAATTCCCTGTCTTCTATCCCTGTATTTATAGGTGCTACGTATCCTTGAATGAATAGAAGGTTATCTGGAATTCCATCATTTTATCAACTGAAGGTTGTCTATGTTTATACCAGATACTCTATGAAACATACCCCGTGATAGTTTATTTCTAGCTTAGAATTCAATACAAACAATAGCAGTCCTTCTCCACTGTGAACAATGGACATACATGTACATGTAGCAATCATGCAAGTGATATGTAAACTATTATGATTAAAACAAGATGATGAAAGGTGTACAATCATAGTTTTTCCCAATTTTCCCTAAAATATGTATTTTTATTTTGTGTATATATGTTGCATACATGCACGTACATGTAAGGGGAGGCCATGCTATATGTATTTTATCAGTGAGCCATTTATTATCATAACAAGTATTATGTCATGACTCGAATATAGTTACTTTATAAAACTATGCAAATTACTCCATTTACCAATCTATATTACATGAAATTAGACCATCTTTGATACTGCTTTATCTGGTTCCAGTAAAGTCTTGCCTTCAAAAAAAATTATTTGTGCCTTCATTTTTATATCATGACTTATTTTTGATAATGCGATGACATATCCCAATGTATAAAGACAACTGTATAGTGATATTGCAATAATTTGTATGTTTGTATGGAGATATGTATTCAATTATATGTATATGGGATCCTGAGGTTAACAAGCAATTTGAATTATATGTAGATAGATCTTGTGTGAATACAGAAAAACCAGTCAATGAATTTCATCATAATTCCTATGGTTTTAGTTTTAGTTTATGATTATATTACTTTGACTAAGTTTGGGATTTTTTTTCATCGTCTTGCCAAGATTATGGAGTTATAAGATTATTAATGATAAAAGGTCTCTATGGAATATTGTTATTATTATTACCAATTGTATGGGTTTTATATTTGATAGGGAGTCGCATTTAGAAGCAATCTGCACATCTGTATGTAATGGTTTTCCACACCATAGTATACCTAATTGTGTTTTTTATTTTTTTTTAATGTGGAATTAGGCTCTAAGAATTAATTTGGTCTTTTCAGTCTATTTTTAAAAGGTTTTCTTCATTGCTATCTTTTTGTTGCTGAATCTTTATCATTGGTGGATCTGGAGGGGGTAGAGCCGAGGAGGGGGGGGGGGGGGGGGGGGGGAGGGGGGGGGGAGGGAGGGGTGCATACATTTGAGGGCACATTCCTCCTCCCCACTGCAAATTAGATATATGAACATGTAACTGTTGTTTTTTTTATTTTAAAGAGGGCTGTTGTTTCATTTTTTAGACGGCCTTTCAATGATCCCCCACAGTAAAAATTCCTGGATCTGCCACTCATTATTAGTTTTTAATTCATTGAAAAGCGATATTGTATTCAGATCGGATCGGACATGATCTTGGCACTGTACTATGTCCACATTGTATACAGTTATACATGTATCTGAATTTGTCATTAATCTTGTAGCTGTTAGAGCATTGGACAAATTCAAACCAAGAGGTATCAGAAGGGGCTGTATAAGGCCACTTGTAAACAAACATACAATAGACCTATAGCTGAGTTGAGTTAACACACTTGTACAATAAACTTTAAAGTGATTTTAAAGTATAATTCTGTCTACTAAATCATTGGATAACAATACAGTATGTTATCATCCATGAACTTCAGGTGTCAGATTCAAGATTTTTACTTTTATTGTAAATTTGGTTTAAAAATATATTCTGTGGAACAACCTGCAGATTGTTTGTACCTGTTTACGGTGTCACTCAAATTAAATCATTTGAAGTACTGTACATGTATTTTCCAGTAAACATTGGATGCATTTCAATTGCTCTTCTTCAATTTAATTGCTCTTCTTCAATTTAATTCTTCTTATATTCATGTACAGTCCGCACAAAAGTTTTAATAATTTCAGAAAGTAACTCTTTATTTACAATGCATTGTAAATCTGCATTACTAACTTTAATCACTTGTCATCTCAACTAATTGCTTTATTGATTGTATGAGCATCTCCTAATGACGTTTAATGACCCAGGAAGAGATCAAGAGATCCTGGTCGCCTCTGAGGTGTGATAAATTACACCCCTATAGCCTAATAAACTCCTGATTGATAATGTGTTGTAATAATGTATCGTAAGTACAGTACTTATATTCAGAGTATATGATGTAGAGCAAATGGGAAGAAAGAAGGCAACATCAAAGTATCCATAAAATCACTTCTATGTATTAAATGGTTGGAATATTTTGTTGTATATCAAATTTCAATCTGTTTTCTGTGTGTGATTTTTGTCTTGTTTACAGGTACATGGAGTGTGTTAGATTAAGTTCAGACCGTATACATACGTGGTGTAATGAAGATATGTCACAGTCATTTTATATGAGAATTTAAAGATATACTCCTTAATGAGGTTCTGTGCAAAGGAAAGGAAAAGTGATACTGACATGTAAACCTATCAGTTGAGGCCCAAAAGATTGATCTGCCCCCCCCCCCCCTAATCAGAACAAATTTACCTCTTTGATTTTCCTCTATTATTGCAGTTTATCAAAAAAAAAAAAAAAAAATATATACATATATATAGCAATTGAAACTTACTGGCTCAAATACACAAAGGAGGTTTGTCAACAAACCTAGGTTTAAGTGCATTATATTAGACCAAGGTTTGTCTGAACCTTGGTCTGAAACGCGTCATATGACGTACATAAACCTAGATTTGTCGACTAGGAGCCTCCTCTGTGAATTCGGGCCACTGTGTTCAAGGGGACTAACTACAGTAGAAAGTTAAATATTTATATGGTTCACGAGACCTTCCTAAAATACTCCTCTCCCCACCCCCCCCCCCCCCCCCCCCCCCGAACAAACGAGAAATTCAAGTGATATGTTGCTTTGACTTTTATCTAATGTAATTCTGGTGTCTAATAAAAAGGCTGGTGAATTCAGAAGCACTATTTCAAGCTGATATTTTGAAATCAAAACCACAAACTTGCTAAGCAAAACAATCATCTGTAATTGGTCCATTTTTAACCGTAAATCTGTCAAATAGGAATGAAAATGAAACTATTGTGTGAAAGATCCTTGTCTTAATTAGGTCATAAATGTACAATTATAGAAGTCAATCATTTCAATGCAGACCATTCTTGTTAAAATATCATATACCACTTCACTTACCTTACAATTTCATAAGAAAAGAAAAAAATGGACATGCAAGTATTACAAATTCTTAATACAACTTTTGGTGATTTTATTTCAAAGATTTCAATAATTTAGGCAACGGATCAGTACAAAAATATGTAATTTCAATTTTCAAAAATTTAATTGGCAAAGTACAGATTTATTTCAACTTGATCTTTATTTCCAATGATTTCAGTACTTCGTAATTTTCCATTGGTCTTCAAAACATTAAAATATGGAACCATTTGTGCTATATCTATATTTCTATTGATTTCCATCATAACAGCTACTAAAGGAAGCAAAGTATCAATATGGAAAAAAAATATGTAATTTTTGACACACCTGTACAAATTATATGGGCTATATAAATGGTGCTAGCAAAATCAGCACTTCATAAGCTACTTTCTCATGTAAAGATATCTCTCATCATTTCTTTTACTACAGGCAACCCCCCCCAAAAAAAAAAAAAAAAAAAAATAAAATAAAAAAATAAAATAAATAAATAAAAAATAAAAAAAAAAAAAAAAAAAAAAAAAAAAATAAAATAAAAAAAAATAAAAAAATAATAATAATAACAATAAAAAATAAAAATAAAAAATAGATAAATAAATACAAAATTATTACAGACAAAATTATACAGGAATGAACATCAATTAAACATTGCGTGATTTGAGATCCCGCACTCAACACATGAAAATACAGGGTGAGATCATGTAATAGATTACAATTTAATAATTAAAATATTCAAACAAAATTATCAAACTAATCACAAGCTTTATTGGCTGTTAATTTTTCAACATTCGTCTTTGAAAAAGATGAGAATACTTTCCAACTTCATGTCATTTAGTCTCATAATTTAGTCTTGGAATATAATTAATCTTCTAAGGATCATTCACAGCAGTTAACGTAAAGGAAAGATATATTTACCCTGCAAGGAAAGTCAAATTGCACAATGAATGCATTGGCAATATGTTTACATACACATATAACAAAAACTTGTGCTTTATTCCTCAATATATTAGGAGTGGGTACCTTGGCAAGGAAAATGGGCTAAATTTTGTTGAAATATAAGACTTCTTCTTCATCAAACTCCAATAAATATCAACATTCTTGAATAAACAGACTTTGGGAATAGTGATTGCTTCTGCTAAGGAAGAATATGATAATTCTTGTTGGTAAAATTCTTATCTGAGTCATCTTAAATTAAAAGAATACAAATTATTCTAATGATACAGCTATAAACATAGTAGTTACGAACTGATCAATTTCCAATGACAATGATGTAAAACAAAGATGGAGATTGAACTAGTTTCTTATGATACAGCCATGAACATAGCCATCATAAATGAAGGTAGAACTAGGTTATCAATCTGTGATGTGAAGGCTTCTAATAGAGATGTGAGAATGATAACCCATGTAATTGAGATCCAAGCACTACTGAATGATGGTTCTACACCCAGGAAGATTGATAACAAGACACACGCTATGAGCTGAGATACCACAGCTCCTAGGGTTCCTTCTATCGTCTTTTTAGAACCTGCAAAACGAGAGAGAGAGAGAGATGAAGAGTATGTTATTGTAGAAGTACAGAATGACTTGGGTTTGTAGTAGGGGATATCACAGAGCTCTGTAATTCCTGCTTGTTTGGTATAATATCTCTGTGTTGTACCATGAATACTTGCGACTTATCTGAGGTGAAAGGTCTTCAGGTCTTCCAAGGGGGTGGGGGGGGGGGGGTGGAGAGAAGGATCCAAGGTGGGTAAATTAAGTAGACCTGTAAGGGTGTTGCAGTTGAATTGGTTAAACCACTCACTGGATATCCAAATGTGGGTACAAGTTCCAGCATGGCACTAAATTCTTTCTTTGGCAAGAAATTAACCTTCACTTGTCACTCGATCTTGACCCAGATGTAATTTGTGGATACTTCTAGTACTTGTTTGTTTATTTTACCTGACTGCTTAGAAAGCATGTGTATGCTTGTAAGTAAGCAGCCGGGGGACCAATGGCTGAAGTCCTCTCCAAGGGACTTGGTTATTGAGGATTAATGCCTTAACAAAGGAGCCTAAACTTAGTTTCGAACCTGTGACCTCCTAGTTACGAGACCACTGCTCTACTACTGAGCCATCAGGCATAGGCTTCATTCCTATAAATTCATTGTGCCTGCTAATGGTTGCTGGAGCTGAACGTGGCTATAATGATTTCCAATGCACTTTGGAAGCTCATTGAGACTTTGTATCATTATGTGATATGCATTTTACAAGTCATATATCAAGTGTTATATCAGTATTTTCATTGTGACTAGAATTACTAGAGAGATTGATAATTTCTGGCGGTCTTACCAGGCCATCTCATTGTCCCATATCTAGATCCTATGATAGATGCTGCAGTATCACCTATGCCTGTCGATAATACACCACTGTACAGAAATAACTTGGATTCTGAAAATAAACAAAATGACAGTTTCTTGATGGATTTTTCATGAATGCACTAACTAGAAGGCAATCCTGAGAATAGAATACACAGGAAAATTATCCCAATCATTTAAATATATGTCAAAAGACTACAGACTCAGCCTAGAGTAATTGGATTATTCTCCTTTCTTTCTTTTTTAATTATTTCATTTTTTTTTTACTGAATATAATTCCTGCACACCATGTTCCTTTTTTATTACTTCACATATGACGATTGACACAAGGAATTTAAAATGGAAATTATTGATAAAGTTGTTCCCTTAGCAACTTGTTGAAAAGTTCTAATTCCCCCATTTTCACACAAATTGTAAATTGTCTAACTTTCAGACATATTATCCGTCCACCTACATTGTTTCTACACGCATGCCTTTTTTAATTAAAAAAAAAACAAGTGTTGCTAATTTGAAGACGACAGAAAAACTTACGGAACTCTGATAATGAGGCATCGTTGGAGTAATGTAAAGGTTGATAGAGACCAATCAGAAGACACATTGGGGTTAATATAGCTATCCCAGAATCCTGTTCATTGGTGAAGGCAGACAAAGCATCGTGGATTAGATCACCATAAGGCTGCACTCGGAAGATCCTGATATACTGTACAGAGAATAAAGGATGAGAAATAATGAAGTAAAAGTGTAAACAATATTTATAACAGGGATATTTTTGGTATATATTCTGCAATTTCACACAAAAGCCTATTCAGGTATTTACAAATATTGCTTACAGCTGGTTGTACTAGCAGTCCATCTAAGAAGAATCTAAAAATACGGTTAGCCAATCAAAGTGATTTGTTAACTTTTCTATTTTTCTATCTTAAAATAAAAATAAAAAGCATTTTCGATAAACCAAAAGAAACATAAACGTATAAATATAAGATTTATACCTACATCAGAAAAGTAAAACATATTTAAAATATTCAACAAGCAGAGTAAGTTACCTTAGTTTGAAATATGTAAAATATCATAATCCAATATTCTTAGAACTCAAGATGAATTCTAAAAGTGGTAACGTGAAGAACTAGTCATCTACACAAAACACCCTTCTCCCACTTATCATAATAATCTGCTTTTTTGAATAGCGCTCAATACACCGATCCAACAATGTGCCTAAGCGCTTTACAGATACATTATTACCCCGGTCATCGGATTCAGGCTTACCCGCACACAATGTGTGCACATTTTCCACTCCCTGGGGAGTATTCCAGCCAGTCGCCATTTTACAAGTGCACACTTGCTCGTCAAACCACATGAACGTTCGCATCCTACCGGGTACCCATTTAACAACTGGGTGGAAAGTAGCAAGTGCAGGTAAATATCTTGCCAAAGGATATTAGTGCTGTGTCGGGATTGTCTACTACTCTCAGAAGACTAAATGCTACTGACCTCAGTCAATATGAAGATGCATGTGAGTCCGGTGGCGGCTAGAAGCAACAGCTGTAGGTCAAGGTACAGTCCCGGGATAAACACAGCTACGGCTAAAATATGAAAGATCTTCCTGACTTGTGTTGAAGAGGTTTGGTTGAATATCACCACCCCGATACCAAGAGTCATGAGTATTAACCAGATGTTGATCAGAATAATCTGCAGATCAAGTAACAAGGAGGAGAGGGAGACAATCAGTCAGACAATATGAAGCAAGGAAGTAGAAAAAAGGGGCGAGAAAGGGAGAGAATATTCAAACAAAAACTCAATTGCATATTGATTGAAATGTGCACAATCAGATATACACACAACTGATACAAATATTTTTTTAAACACCTCCCAAATTTACAATGTATCATTCTAAATCAATATTCGGATTCGCTGCAATATTACAATCTCACCAAACTGCCATGATGAAACTTAATGTTTATGAATGGCATGAGGCATGTTGCGTAAAGAAGTTATGCACAATGGTGACTTCTATGAGTATTTACTGGTCTTGATATAAAAAACAGAAATGAGAAGGGAACTTCCGTTACTCAATTTCAACTTGCTTGCTGCTTTTTAAAGTGGTTTACCATACAAGGAAATGGTTTACAATGCAAGGAAGTAGAAAAAGGGATGAGATACAGAGAGAATATTTAAACAAAAAATTTATGTCATATTAACTTAAATATCACTTTAGTCCCCTTTTCTTCCCTTTTTCTACTTCCTTGCATGGTAAACCACAAGTTGAAATTAAGTATTAAAGGGTAGTTCCCTTTATTTTTCTATTTTTTTTATCAGAGTCAGACCAGTAAATACTCGTAGAAGTCATCGTTGTGCAGAACTTTTTCAAGTGGTTTGCCATGTGATATCTAAATGATCTGCTTTCTGAGTTCAAAGAAGCAGACAATACGGCATCAGTATTTAAAACAAATGAAAAAGAAATAACATAGCTTCGAAGCAATTGATCTGATTTGCTTACTCTTTTTCTGTCTGTGAGAATAAAATCTAGAAGCCAGAGAAAAGGGTTTTCCCCTATTCTTATATACAGCCTTGGTAGCTCAAAGAGAAAGATTTCTGCTGCAACTCCTAAGTAGAAATATAAGCTCCACTTCCATCTTTTCTTATCTGCTGTACTGTGAATGAAAGACAAAAAGACACAAGTTTAGAGGCCCTGTAGAGAAATGGTTGAGAAAACTTGAGAAATAGGTTAAACTATGCTTGCTTTTTGTAAGTAAAGTTGCTTCGGAACAATTTAAATACAACACTGTTGCAATTAAGTTGTTAGAACACATTACATTACTAGTTTTTCTCAAAATGTAATTCCATTACCCAAGCTCTAGGTCAGCTCTAAATGGTACAGATATAATTGCAGAAATAATAAAAGATAAAATAAAAGTACACAGTACACTGCGGCAAAGATAATGTGTATACATTGTGTGCGGTTAAGCCTGAATCCAATGACCGAGGTAATAATATATATATATCTGTAAAGCACTTTGAGAGGGCATTCGGTTCTAAAAAGCACTATATAAGAACTAGCTATTATTATTATTATTATTATAAACTAAAGTGATATCAAAATAAATGTATATCAAATCTAGTAAATCTCCTTAAGTGATTGTGCATGGTAACTGAATGCTCTCCCACCAATATCATCACACCCTTCAGCAAAAGATGGTTCCAGTTGAAACCTGTGATAGGCCTTTATGCAATCAAACATACCTCTTATCAATGCTGCCTCTGGAGTGTGCTATGTTGATCTCATGAAGCTTGGACAATACATATTTCACCACAATGGCTATGTGTATACAGGACGTCAAACATACCTGAAATGTAAAATGATCAATGTAAAAATTTAGCTAATATTTGGCTATTATTACAATCTAATAGGACTTGATGTTGAACAATACATTGAATAAACTGGAGATATAAAACTTCAAAGATGTAAATTCTTCTTGATTGAGAAAGGTTTTAGATGTACTCTAGTCAATGCAGTCAACATCTGAGTGGTTTTACCTTTTTAATGTAAGACAGGTATCTATCTGGTGTATCGGTGTAGACTGGTTCTACTGGTACCCTAGTCAAAGCAGTCAATATCTCAGTGGTGTTACCTTTCTGATATAAGACAGGTGTCTATCTGGTGTATCGTTATAGACTGGTTCTACTGGTACCCTAGTCAAAGCAGTCAATATCTGAGAAGTGTTCCCTTTCTGATATAAGACAGGTGTCTATCTGGTGTAGACTGGTTCTACTGGTACCCTAGTCAAAGCAGTCAATATCTCAGAGGTGTTACCTTTCTGATATAAGACAGGTATCTATCTGGTGTATCGGTGTAGACTGGTTCTACTGGTACCCTAGTCAAAGCAGTCAATATCTTAGTGGTGTTACCTTTCTATATAAGACAGGTGTCCATCTGGTGTATCAGTGTAGACTGATTCTACTGGTACCCTAGTCAAAGCAGTCAATATCTGAGTGGTGTTACCTTTCTATATAAGACAGGTGTCTATCTGGTGTATCGGTGTAGACTGGTTCTACTAGTATCCTAGTCAAAGCAGTCAATATCTGAGTGGTGTTACCTTTCTGATATAAGACAGGTGTCTATCTGGTGTATCGTTGTAGACTGGTTCTACTGGTACCCTAGTCAAAGCAGTCAATATCTCAGTGGTGTTACCTTTCTGATATAAGACAGGTGTCTATCTGGTGTATCGGTGTAGACTGGTTCTACTAGTACCCTAGTCAAAGTAGTCAATATCTGAGAAGTGTTACCTTTCTGATATAAGACAGGTGTCTTTCTGTTGTAGACTGGTTCTACTGGTACCCTAGTCAAAGCAGTCAATATCTGAGTGGTGTTACCTTTCTAATATAAGACAGGTGTCTATCTGGTGTAGACTGGTTCTACTGGTACCCTAGTCAAAGCAGTCAATATCTGAGTGGTGTCACCTTTCTGATATAAGACAGGTGTCTATCTGGTGTATCGTTGTAGACTGGTTCTACTGGAACCCTAGTCAAAGCAGTCAATATCTCAGTGGTGTTACCTTTCTGATATAAGACAGGTGTCTATCTGGTGTATCGGTGTAGACTGGTTCTACTGGTACCCTAGTCAAAGCAGTCAGTATCTGGGTGATGAAGAGAGCCTCACCTGCTGTCAGGCTGCCAGGTAAGAAACTCAACAGAGCACTGAAGAACATCAAGGCTGAAAAGATAAAATCATTGGGGAGTTTCAAGATTCATCCCTAAATATGACATATGTGAATATACGAGGATAATGTCTAAATGCGGGAAGTCTGAATGAAGGTTTCTACATAAGATGCCTTAATGAACGAAAGAACCTATTTTATCGGTATTTCAGTAAATGAAATTAATGTACTAAAAACAAATATGACAGGAAAGCCCTTTCTGGCAGATACCTATCCACTAAATATAGGAAATAACATGTCCTGTCCAGGGTATAAGGGTTTGAACAAATAAATATTCAATTGCGAATCAAAAAAAAAAAATGTAAACCAATACTATTCTGCGTAAAAATTATATTTAGCTGAAACAATGAATATAAGATTGTGGATATTTCTGTAACCTACAAACCAAACATAACGAAAATAAAAATCTCTCAATGACAGGGTAAATGCACTCACTCATGGTTGGATAAAAGATAAACATATCCATGATGTTGGTGACAGACGGAGGCATGCCCTGTAGACCGCTCCTAACAAACATGAACCCTCCTAGAGCATAGACCGTCTGACCCATGATGATCCAAGGCTTGCCTAGGTTAGGAACAGAACATACTAGAAGGACCAATAGATTGAGGAACATGAGCTGGACCACTGAGCAGTCCAGGACTGACTGGAAACCTTGACAGGTGTCCCCTTGAAGGCCGTGGGATACCAACATGAAGAGAAGAGACCCGACCACAACCCCATTCGTCGAATTCTTCCTGAAAGAAAGAATATTATATCAGTTAATAACAAACTTTTTAAAGTCCAGCCGAGTGAAACTATTGGCAGAGAGTAACAGCACTGACAAATGCATCCTGGTCTATTATCAAGAGTAGATTTAGGGAAATTTGGCATTTTTAATTGATCTGTTTGCAATTACACTTTTCTACATGGTATATAGATTTTCATAATTTCTAGAGGCAAGGAAACCTTAGCTTGAATCTTAACTAATGTTACAAAAATGTTAGATTCATATAAATACAAACAAGCGCGTAGCTAGGATTTTATTTTAGGAGGGGGGGCGGTAGTGACACGCAAATAACTTACAGAGCATGCAAAGCGCGCAGCTTTGACGTTTCATTAAATTATTAGAGAAAGAAGACGATTCGTTGAATCTTTCTTGACTCTTAATCCTTGTCTGAATTTCAAAAACAGCTATTGGTTGATGTACTGATTACAAAACAGCAACCTTAATTCCACCACCCCCCTCCCCTTCTCCTAATACCGGCTTCTTTAGTTGACACAACACTATGCCAATGTCTCACAGAGTATTTGCTCTATGAGGATGTCATTTATGAGCAAGGCTTTGTCATTCACTCATAAATCTTTTTTTTTTTATTACTATGAACATGACTCATACCTGAACGTCCATCCTTCCTGAGCAGCTAAATGTTCTGGTCTCCTTGAGAATTGTGTGATTAATGCAACAATATACACTGGCAACAAAGAACAAACAAGCAAAATATCAAATGTATACATCTATGAACATACGTTTTAAGTGTTTTCTTCACAAATCATGCATTTATTTTGAATTTCATGAGGAAGTGAACTTTATACATCACTTTTTAGGTATGACTTTAAAAGTTAGGTGGTATGGCCCGCCTTTGGTACTGAGTTAACTGACCTCAATGGAAACCTTCAATTTGTCATCATTTCATCGCAGCCAGTGGCTGAATTGTGGAAGATTTACCACTTTGATAAAAATAAAAACATTGAAAACTAAAATTATTAAACTGAAAAAACAGTTAAAGTAAACTATAGGTTTACATATTAATTAGTTTACAAATCTAAAAACAAAAGAAAGAGATGTCCTCACCAATGATAATACTGAGCTTCGATGCAGACATGGGTCCAGTGAGGGTAACCGTGGCAACACCCAACCCTATCACTCCTACCTCCAGTACTTCAGAAGGAGTAACCTCAGGGAACTCTGCATCTTCCTTTGTTCTACTCTTCATCTTCATCTAGAGATCAGAGATCAGCTCCCTGATGGGTGATGAAATACAAACTTACCGTAGGTTGTAGAGCTGTAAAACTCACAACATTCAACATTGCAAATCTCTCATTACATTTCATAAAATTCTTTAAAATAACATATTTTCTACTTTCTAGAGTCTACTGTCCTTTTCTTTGCACAAAATGGAATGTGACTTTCATTGTTATGCTAATGTGCTTTGTACCTCTTTAGAACATGCTTTATTAATGAAATATATTGTTAATGTTAACAATGAAATGCAATTAACATGACGTCTCCATCACAATGACATTTCTTCCAAATTTCTACCATAATGTGTGTGTTCATTATCATCATCATCAATTATCCTCCTCCTCCTCATCATCACCATCATTATTAATTTGTATTCTATCATTAATATCATTTGTATTATTATTATTGTAGTTATTATCATTATTATTATTATCATTTGTATCATTATTATCTGTATCTGTATCTGTATGATTTGGTCAGCAAAATGTCCTTTCCAGACACATCCACGCTAACGTATTTGTAGACAGAGCACGCTGTGTGTGGGTTGACTCTAATCAAATTATTGGGTATGTTTAAGTAAATTGTTCTTAAAAGTGGTTAATGATGGGCTGTTTACTATGGAAGTTGGGAGGTTATTCCAGTCCTTGATGGTTGACACAAAAAAGGAGTCCTGGTAGGCTCTAGCTTTGTGGCGAAGTTGTAGGAACTTCTGGTTGTTCCCCCTGGTTTCCCTGGGATTCAGTTGTACATAGTCATACAAAGGAATGTCGACCAGTCCATTCTTCATTTTGTATAACATGCTGAGTCTCTGGTTTCTCCTTCTAGTTTGAAGCGATTCCCATCCTAGGTCTTTTAGCGCCTTGGTGACTGTGCCTTCTTCTCTACTGTAGTTGCTAGTACAGAATCTGGCTGCTTGTCGTTGGACACGTTCTAGGGACTTGATATTCTGCTTGGTAGAGGGATCCCAAGCTGACGATGCATACTCAAGAAGCGGTCTTACTAACGCCAGGTACGCAGTTGATTTCACCTTCTTGTTGCAACTCCACAAGTTCCTGCGGACTACATTCTGTATTCTCTGGGCTTTCTTGGTAGCTGCCTGAGTATGAGTATTCCAGCTCAATGTATTCGATATGTGAACACCCAGGTATGGATGAGAAGACACACTCTCGAGACTATGGTTACAAAAGTTATACTTGTGATGAGGGGGGTTTCTCTTACCAATGGTCATGGTACAGCACTTGGTTGGGTTGAAGTTCATCAGCCATGTGTCTTGCCAGCTTTCCAGTTGTCTAAGATCTTTCTGCAGTACGCTGGTATCTTGATCAGCTGATACGGCTGTATACAGCAAACAGTCGTCTGCGAACAATCTGGTTGTGCAGGCCATGTTGTTTGGTAGATCGTTAATATACAACAAGAACCATAGTGGGCCGGTCACTGTACCCTGCGGTACGCCAGATGTAACAGATGCAGGTAGAGATGAATGACCATTGATGACAACTCGTTGTGTGCGGCCCATCAGAAAACTTCTCACCCAAGAAGTGATTTCTCCCTCAAGACCATAATATTGTAGTTTAGAGATTAGGCGACGATGAGGGACCTTGTCGAAAGCTTTTGTAACATTATAGTTATTATCATTATTATTATTATCATTTGTATTATTATTGTACTCATTTATAATACTAATAATTGTAGATCTATTATAGGTCTAATTAGACTAGACTATTAATTATGTCTTCAAGATGATATATTAGATCTATTAATATTATTATAAATCTAGATCTAGCAGTTATTAACAATAACAGTTAGTAAGTGTGTATGGAGTAAATGTATCAAACACCGTCTTCACACTTTAACATACAGCATAGTCGTCAAAGAGAGACTGATTTGACAGCAATAAACTATTACAACGGACAAAACACGAAAGCACAATAGTGCCATAACCATTTCATATCGGTCTTATACGTTGCCCCACATACTTATTATTATGCTGGAATTATTTTGGAATACAAATGTTGACTCTTCTCCAAGCTAGTAATTAACGTTATCTAGACATTAGACATCTCATAATGTATCCACACTCCTTTCCAAAATAATTACAACATGGATAATACAAATAACATGTCAAAAATTGAGTCAATATTTGATATTCTTTCATTTATATCGAGACATACATACCCATCCACTACCACAGCAGCCAAACAGTATGATTGATGAATATTCATGTCGCGCGCGAGAAGCGGGCGTGCGAGCTCTTTATTCTTTTGAATGAAAACTTTAATTGTCGATGTCATTTTAATTCTCATTTTAATTGTCGAGAAGAGGTCCAGACGTTGTCTCTGGATTGGGGGAGGGGGGGGGGGGGCAATGCTTGAGACGCGCATCGCCCCAAAGCCTAGATTAGAGACAGAACAGTGTGGATGAAGAAAAAAAAGGTCAGAAACTCATCCCCTTCATCGTGTATATAGACATGTAATTGCTGACGTGGAGTGGAAACATTATCATCCCTCCCCTAGAATTATGGATCAATATCTTTATATATGCATCATGCATGTGCTCGTCGGGTAGAATGATGCATGGAAGTGCAGTTCCCTTTTATATCAGGTTAATTAACACTTCCTTCAAAAATAACGTTAACATAATTATATGTACAATTTATTTTACTTCTTCTTTTTCTTAATTTCTCCTTTTCTTAATTATTATTCCTCTTCTCCTTCCAACCTGTCTCCTTCTCCGACTCCTTTTCCTTCTCCTCCTTCTCCTCCTCCTCCTACTCATCCTACGTACTCCTTCAATTCTTCTTCTTCTTCTTCTTCTTCTTCTTCTTCTTCTTCTTCTTCTTCTTCTTCTTCTTCTTCTTCTTCTTCTTCTTCTTCTTCTTCTTCTTCTTCTTCTTCTTCTTCTTCTTCTTCTTCTTTATATTCAAATAAAACTTTTACCGTATTTCATCCATTTTTATTTTCATTAGAGTGTTAGACTTGTTATTTTGTATAGGCTGAAACTTCACTCTAAATGTTATAACAATGTCGTGGGTGTGAATTGCGTTGCCGTGTATACTATGTCCATCAAAGTGAAACCATACAATAAGAAACTGATTTTCAGTATGACTCGACTGGACAAAGATGAGTTGTAACACAATGTTGCGTCATTATACTCGTACTACTTTAATGGCCTATTTCCGTGAAGAGAGGTTTAATTGATAAACTGGTAAAAATATACGTATATGCTTAAATTTAGTATTTTTAATGCGTGGTTTTCTTTTAGTTATACACGTATATAGTGATTTCGATATACTTATGTGGTTTAATCTTGACAGATCATTTTAGATCTTCTCAGAACTTTAATCTATTGACCCTTTATAGCTAGATTGGACAATGCAGTTCTGGGAAAATAAATACACCCTCATATGTTTTCTTTTAAATCTCTCATGAATAAATCATATTGTTACTTTAATTATGGGTATAACAGCGTCTGGATCATATTGTAATTTGTTTACTTTGACCATGCAGTCAACAAACACAATCTTCATAGAACCCGGTATGTGTGCAGTATATCAGGTTACATCCAATGGCGTTATGGAAGAAGAGGATTTTTTTTTAAACCGTTGGATAGATACTAGGTACAAGGATGTGATTATAATCCATCTCAAATCATGATTGAGGAAACTCGTCGTTCGATCCTAGTGGCATATATCTCCATGTTTACGAAAGGAAATAGCATAAGTTTGGTGACCCATTTGAGAGACGTAACTGAAAAGGAAAGGAAGAAACAGTGCTCATTCTGTGGACTGAACCATCCACCGAGGAAGTGCCCTGCTTATGGCACCAAATGCAGAAACTGTGATAAAATGAATCACTGGGAGAAATGCTGCCGACTGAAGAAACAGGAACAAGAATCTAAACAGCAGTGGCAAAGGAAACAAGAAGCTACAAAGACATATCCGAAAAGGTCGCAAGCACAGAGATCAAAGAGACTCCATGAGATGAAAGAAGAGGAAGAAACAGAAGAAACTGACGACATGCGGTTTGAGACCATCTGTGTAGACCAGATCAGAAAGAACGAAGCCTTCGCTGTGATCGGAGTTGAGATCGGAAGAGGACCAGCGACTCTAAAAGCCAAAGTTGACACAGGATCTGAAGGGAACATTCTTCCATTACGCATTTATCAGAAGATGTACCCTGATCGCGTGGACTCTAATGGGGAACCTATCACAGGAAAGCTAAGAAAGTCACCGATAACGATAACAGGCTATGGTGAAAAGAGTGTTATTCCACAAGTAGGCCTACATACGCTGAGCTGTAACCACCAGGACAGACAAGCAAATGTAGAATTCTTTGTGGTGAAGACTCAAAGACCGGCCATCCTTGGACTTGAGTTGTGCCTGGATCTAGGATTAGTAGTCTTGAATTGCAGTCTGATGGAGAGCCATGATAGTCCCATCAAAGATAGAGAGCATTTGAAGACTTTGTATCCCGATAGATTTGATGGAATCGGAAAATTTGATGGGAAATACCACATAGTGATCGACAAAGATGCGGCTCCTGTGATACATGCAGTTCGACGATGCCCGATAGGCATAAAGGATGACATCAAGAAAGAACTTGATGAGATGGAGAGTCTTGAAGTGATAGAAAGTGTCACTAAGCCAACAGACTGGGTATCAAGCTTGGCATACACCCAGAAGCCCAATGGAAGATGGAGAATTTGCCTTGACCCAAAAGACTTAAATAAGGCAATCAAGAGAAGCCATATGCCGATGCCAACCATTGAAGAAGTCCGACACCAGTTTGAAGGAGCAACAGTGTTCAGTACCCTGGATGCCAGACATGGATATTGGGCTATACAGCTAGATGAAGAATCAAGCCATTTGACGACCTTCAATAGTCCCTTTGGTCGTTACCGTTTCAAAAGACTACCTTTTGGCTTGTGTGTTTCTCAGGACGTGTTCCAGCAACGAATGAATCAAATACTAGAGAAATGTCCTGGAGTCATAGGAATGGCCGATGACATAGCAGTCGTAGGAAAGACGGCAGTGGAACATGACGCCAACTTACACAATCTGATGCGCGTCGCAAAGGAGCATGGACTCGTCCTGAACTGGAACAAATGCCACATCAAGCAAGACCGAGTGAGATTCTATGGCCTTGTCTTCAGCAAAGATGGAGTGCAACCAGACCCACAGAAGACAGCAGCCATATCAGCCCTGAACGCACCACAGAACGTGACAGAACTCCGAGAGTTCCTAGGCATTGTGACCTACATGTCACCATTCATTCCAAGGCTTGCCTCACTGACTGCACCACTTCGGGAACTTGTGAAGAAAGATGTGATATATAGCTGGACTGAATCACATCAGAAGGTGTTTGAGACCATCAAAGATATGATCCGCAAGGAGACCACACTTGCTTACTTTGATCCAAAGAAACCTGTTGTCCTAGAAGTAGATGCATCGATGAAAGGCGTTGGAGCAGCCCTCACACAGGAAGGGAGACCAATAGCGTTTGCCTCAAAGTCCCTCACAGACACCGAGCAGCGATACGCTAACATTGAGAGAGAGATGCTAGCAGTTGTCTACGCATGTGAAAAGTTTCACACGTTCGTCTTCGGCAGAAGTTTCACTATCCTCTCAGATCACAAACCACTAGAGATGATCACTCTCAAGAACCTTGGAGCTGCACCCCCAAGACTACAAAGACTACTGCTCAGACTCCAAGGGTATGACATGACAGTGAAATATAAACCTGGAAAGGAGATGCTTCTGTCTGATGCCATGTCAAGACTCAATCCTCTGCCTCCTGAGTCTCCTGAAATGCACATGAAAGTTGACTTTGTTATGTTCTCAGACAAGAAGCTACTGGAGATCCGCACCGCAACATCAGAGGACTGTGAACTTTGCATCCTGAGAGATGTAATCCTAGAGGGATGGCCAGAAGAAAGGCGTAAACTTGACAAAAGCCTGATCAAATACTGGCCATACAGGGACGAGATGTCCATTGAAGACGGGATTATCCTGAAAGGTTCAAGAATTGTCATCCCCAAATGCCTGACAAAGGAATACCTGAACAAGCTACATGAGGGACATCAAGGCATCATCAAATGCCAACTGAGAGCAAAGAGCTGTATCTTCTGGAATGGCATAAATCAGGAGATCGAGATGATGGTACGGAAATGTTCTGTATGTCAAGAATATGGGAACTCCCTGCCATCAGAGACTCTGCAGCCACATGAAATTCCTGTCAGACCTTGGCAATTTGTCACAACTGACCTCTTCACACTTGATGGAAGAGAGTACCTTCTTGTTGCTGACGTATACTCAAAGTATCCAATTGTAAAGCAGTTACCACAGCAAGCAACAAGTAGTGCTGTCATCAGACTGCTTAAGGAAATCTTCTCTGAACAAGGAACCCCCGAGAGACTAATGAGCGACAATGGACCTCAATACAATAGTGCCATATTCGTAGAGTTTGCCAGAGACTGGAATTTCCAACATGTAACCTCAAGCCCGAGATATCCACAATCCAATGGATTTATAGAGAGGCAAGTACAAACTGTCAAGAACACCATGAAGAAAGCTAAGAGAGATAACATAGGCGTCAACAAGGCATTGCAATGCCTGAGAGCCACTCCATTGGACAGCCATCTACCATCTCCAGCAGAGCTGTTACTGGGGAGGAAGATCCAAACCAACATACCGACCAGAATTCGGAACCAGTCACCCCAAAAGGATGACATCTACCAGAGACTGCAGACCAGGCAGGATGACCAGAAGAAATACTTTGACGACAAGCACGCTACCAACCTTCCCCCACTACACAAAGGACAAGAAGTCAGAATCCAAAATCAAGAGACTGGTAGATGGGACAGAGGAAAGATCACAAACAGGAGACCAGAACCAAGGTCATATGAAGTAGAGACATCATCAGGTTACACTCTGCGACGAAATCGTAGGCACATCAAACCAACCCAAGAGAGGGACAGCATGGAACAAAACCGTCAACATGCTAGTGATAGACATAATGATGCACACGACCAGCAGAATGCACAAACAGAACAAACACAAAGCAAACCAGACACACCATCGAATCACCACCAACCATACACCACCAGATCAGGTCGTACTATTAAGAAACCAGAGAGATACGATATGTAAAATATTGATATGGTTGGAGATAATTCAAATAATTGTTGTCTTTTGCTTTCTTTAACAATGTTTACAAGGTTTTGAGTAGTTAGATTTAAAGAGACATATTGAATATGTCATGTTTTGTTTATTAATTAAGTTTATTGCATTATAAAGCAAGATGATAACTGAAGTCTGATCAAAACATTTTAGATGAATAAGCAAACAATTCGCATTCAAATGAAAAACAAATGTGATAGAATTTTCAAATTGTTTTTTGGTGAAAAAAAAAAACAACAAACAAAGAAAGGGACGAAATTGTAAGTTCATATTAGCACAAGTTTAATTTCTTAAGCAAAGAATTTTAAAAAGATATTTTAAACAGTATGGATCTAAATATGAAATTAAGTTTTCATTGAGAAGAGGGATTGTGATATGATATCATTTTATATCTACATGTATGTTCAACAAATGACCTATATCATATGCACATGATTATTGCTACCGCAGATTGTAATGCGGCTTCACATACATCTAATAAATACAACAAGTTGTTCATATTTGAGTTCTACAAAATCCAGCCTCAAGAAGACTCTTATTATAAATCATAATTAGTGTACAACACTTTACAGTAACTGCATCAATAACCAGACTGATTAATCAGGATCGGATCCAGGATTGTTAGAAAGGGGGCTGCCAGCTCGCGCCCAGACATAATCATCTGTTGAGGGGGGGGGGGGGGGGGGGGGCGGCACCTCTGCATGTATCCTTCATTGATCCGCTAACATGGCTAACGATTTGTGATGTATTTACATATTCAAGTTCTGTGATTCGTTATACCAGAACATATCGCAAGAAACTGAACATATGCGTTCGGCAGCATAATATAAAAAAAGAAAAATCGTCCCTTCATATCCTGTTCCATCTTGCCCTACTAATTACTTTACCTAATTCATGAAAGGAATGAGATTGGGAATTGTTAGATTCATACACAGTTCAAACGATATACAGGAGTATATGTATATATTATTAATTCATTGAAATCACTTTTTTTATTTTGAGACATATTATACAATATGACAGGCGGTAAGTATGTTCATGTTGTTTCCTTCCTTTATAGCGTTCGATGAATATAAACTCATTGTTTTATTCTTTCCATTCTGTTTCATATCTACTTTTAATTGACCTTCATGCCATGTTATTTGCCGGTTTATTTTCATCATTTCTCTTTCTATTTCGTTTATCCTTCTAAAATACCTTTCTTATTTCCCTGTCTTTTTTTACATTCATGTGCAAGACTTATTAATATTTCCTCTTTAAAATCCATGATAATAGGATCCAGACTAAAATTAGTGAAACAGTTTTGTTCTTTTATGTAATTTGATTAATTCCTGTCATTACAATCGAAATAATTACATCCGATTTATTTCACATAATTATATGTTTGTGGGTTTTCTCCTTTCTGTTCATGAACTATTTTTTCTCTATCTAGAATAATTGATAGATTTCGAAATTATTTAAACATGACATAGTCTTTTCGGTGAGTTTCGTTCTGTAATTTTGTTTTTGATTGATATGGGTTTTGTATAAAATATTATTATTGTACGACTCTGTTTGCCTCGTTGCCTCACTTAAAAATTGTGTGTTGTCCGGTGAAAATTAGGGGAATCATAATATTTCCTTATACTTTTAAAGTGACTCTGGATGCAGCTATATATAATATCCCAACTGCCAAAAAAGGATCCGAATTATTCTTGAAAGTTGAAATACCTGGTTTTACAATGGGAAGCTAATTCAAAACCACTCGATCTGGGTGCTCAAAATATGCAAGTTGGTCTCCCAATTCTGTCTCCAATCACAACACGTATTATCAGCATAATTTTATGTCTCGCACGATGAGTCATGCAATAACTTTGTTTTGACTGGAAACCAAGCTGAAGCGAGGATGCGGAAGTTTGCCTAAAAGAGAAGCTGATGGAGCTTGAAATAAAATGTATATGAGGATTGAGGAAGGTCAAAAGTTATAACCACTCATGTTTCACTCAGCGTGATGTTTGACTGCGATGGATATGGAGAAGGAAAATGTCCACTCTGCGTATTTTTTTAAAGGCTTCCTGCCTGGATTAGGCCCATTCTGCATGCATACACAGTTTTGCACCTGTCACAGCCGTCTCTACCGTCAGTCATATCTATAAGCAGTGGACTTGTAATTATTGTAGACATGTCCCGTATATCCTTCGTGCAGTGTTCTCTAGCTGTTATGGAGTCTGATGAAGATACTTTTCCAGTTAAAACGTTTTAATCAGCTGTCAGTATATACCTGGGAGAGGTTCAGGAGACCGATAGACCATGACGAGTCTTTTAGTGAATCTGGAGGAGATGGTGAGATCAGCATTGAGAAGCAAAAGGAAGACAGCATGTATCGTGATGATGATCATTGCTCTTTTAGTGTTGATGATCAGGTCGAGGAGTCTTGGTTCTTCTGAACATATCGGTAAGACGTTGCATGAGAAAACTTTCTTTTTAAATGGGGTATAGAGGTTTAACATTTATACAATGTAAGAAATATGGGGGGGGGGGGGTGGTTGGAGATAAAGTTTATAGACTGATATAGAAAGAGAAAACGGGGGATTGAGAGAGATTATAAATATACTCCTGTATTAATGAAGACTCTCTGCTCCTAAACGTACCCCTCCCCCTCTTTTTGTGCGAGTTCGAATGTAAATGTCTCGATTTACGGGCGTTACATTCGACAAATCAGGAAGGTGCAGCTGCAAGCTGCATGTGGTTTTGTCTGAGAAAAATCTACCGGAAAGCGATTCAACATGTACATTCCTTCCTGATCAGAAAGCCTTCAACTTGGGATTCTCCTATAGTTATTGTACAAAACATTGAATTGAATTAACTTTATTTGGTCGATTGACCTCTTTTTCTAAAAACAAATTACTATTCTAGCCATTTCGATGTAAGTCCCCTTAGATTAAGGTTAGCTCATCCCTCACTTGTTTATTTTTAGAGGGGGCGGGGGGGGGGGGGGCTACTGTTATTAACGTCGTATATATATATATTACCCGAATAATAAAACATGATCTAAGACCCAAATGTCACAATTCAGCTACACTGTAATAAAAAGTTGGGCAGATGTTACTGCAATGGGCAAATCAAAGCAGTTGGGCAAATTTTGTATAATAATTGGGTTATTATAAAAGTACAGGTTTGCGGTTGCACCATGTGGGAAAGGGGAGCATTGGGGCATCCTGAAAAAGACTCTTGATAATTTTTTTTTTTCTTGAGTGTGTGTAGACCTGAAAAGGACTGTTGGAAGTCTTGAAAAAGACTGTTGGTTATCTTTCTTAGCTTATAGTTTTAAGGAGAACTATAGCGCCGGTTGGAGGGTCATTTTCAGGATTCCCCAATCCTCCCCTCTCTCACATGGTGCAACCACAAACCTTCTGTATAATAACCCAATAATTGGACAAATTTGCCCAAATTTGATTTGTCCATTGCAGTAACATCTGCCCAACCCTTTTTACAGTGTAGCTAAACGTAATCTGAATTGCAAACGCAAACCTACTGTATATATCTACATCACCATGCAAACCGATACTCATATTATTGGGATACTTTCTCCTAACCATTTTACTATATTAAGTTACCTAATGAAAGGTAAAAATAGGTTGGGAGGTTGGCGAATCGATGTCGGGCAAATGTTGTCCAACAATTGGTTTATTTTCTACCTACCATGTAGTTACCGATGAAATAATTAGGTAATGTTATTGGGTAAATTAAAGTTGGGCCATTTTTGTCCAACAATTGGGTTATATTTTCTCCCAACCATTTACTACATGTATTTACCCGATTAGATGTTCAAAGTAAGTTGGGCAGATTTTATCCAACTTATTTGCCCAACTAGTGTCTATAATATGCTACACATTATGGTAAAAATTGAGTGAATTTCTGATTGGGTAAAATCGTGTTGGTTAAAAGACGGGTATTTTCTTTTTTTATCCAACACTGTATAAATCATACAAAATCTTTAATTTACCCAACAGTTGGTCGGACACATATTAAATGCCCCCATGAGCAAATTTTCCCTAACATTTTTTAGAGTGTAAAGGCATATCATTGTTTTGCTTATTGTGCTTTTAACAGTAAGGAAAAAGATGAATCAACGGAGACGAAATAAACCTGCTAGCCTAGTTCTTTTCAAAACTAAGAGGGACCTGACTTTTACAAGCTAAGCTGCTTTTCTCAAGGTCTCCTCGTCTTTCTATTGCACTAAAATGCATTATATGAACTCGTTACTTATCATTCTTCCTTTTATGTACTCTGTCACATGTTACAGATTTGTTGAAATGTATTACATCATTCATTGAAAGAAAGACAAATAAACTTGAACTTGCACTTGAACTTTTTTGACTTTTGACCCTATAGCATTGGGCAATTGGCATCTTGGGTGGAATATCGAGACTGAAGTCTAGATTTGTAATCGTGTTATGTCCATTGTTTTGTATAAGATCACCACTTCTTTCAGTCTTTGGCCTGTCTTGGTATTTAAAAAAAGAATGTACGACATATTCCTGATTGTGGATTATCTCCCAAAATATATGACAGAGAATTTTGATTAAAACCACGAGTTGTAAAACTTCATCTGTTTTATTATTTAATACTTTTATACACAGGACCATACGGTGATGGAGACGTGCTTTTCAACCACGACCATGTAAGTTTTAATATGAAAAATAATTGGTAATAATAACGCCAATGATTATAGTAGCGGTACTTAACCTGATTATGATTTCTTATGGTCTTCGAAAATCGATTGATAATGAACAAATTTACAATTTCCTTTTTCTTTAAATTCAGTTTGGCGCGAGAGTCCTATATTTATTATGTCCACTGCACATCATTCTTTTCTGTTTTACACGACTTTTTTGTTTCTATGCCTAATGACGCCTTGAAGTGAAATCAAATTGCTGTCGTATATAATAATAATTTATCTCAATTAGACATGGAAATGAGGACATGCAAAAAACAGTAACAAGACGCATAAGGAGAATATTAGGGGACGGCTTATCGTCATTATATCAATTGTTTATATTGGAATATTTTCAATTTATCTAATTTTAATGTTTTCACGTTCCCAATTAAATCCAATCTGTTCACTGTTTTTGGCTTTTTCGCCGTGTATAAATAAATAATGATAATAATTAAAAGCATAACGTAAAGGTCCTATCGTTGAGGTTAACGCTTCCGTTGTGCCGCTCCCCTCCCCCCATGCACAGATTCGCTAAAAATGTGGTAATCATAATTTATGTCTTTTTGTCTTCTTATCTAGGTGGTGGGATTTAACATCAAAGAATCAGGCAAGAGGACGTCGGTTGTTATGGAAACTAGGCTTGATTATCTGCAGAGAGAATGCACGACTCACATGGATTCCCCACGTGACCCGTCTCTAGACCCGCCCAGTGAGCTCATCGTAAACGAAAAGTATAGTATTATATACTGTAACGTTCCTAAAGTCGGTTGCACGAACTGGAAGAATGTCTTCTTGAAAATTGGCGGGATCGACGATATCAGAATCAAAGCTATCCAAAGACTTCCTACCAATACACGAGGTAGAATATACCTTGATTACTTCCACAAGTACAGCAATGTCAGCCATCGGCAGTTCATGCTCCAGAAGTTTACGAAGTTCATGTTCGCTCGGCATCCGTTCACTCGGGTACTTTCGGCTTTCCGAGACAAGCTCGCACCAAACATTTCGTATATCTTTCGGATCGAGAACAAGCAAAGGCATGATGTAAATTGGATTGAGAGATACGGATTGCCGATAATTGCAAAGTATCGTGGTGCCGAAGCGGCTGCCGCTATCAAAGCGAACTTGAAAACAAAATACGATCTAACGTTCTCTGAATTTGTCAACTATCTCATAGAGACCAATCCCTTGTCATTTGACAAACATTGGAATCCTATAAGCGCAATGTGTAGGCCATGTGACGTCAAATATAATATCATCGGGAAATATGAGACTCTGGACGATGATGCAGAGTATATACTGAGGTCGGCAAAAGTTGATCCATCTGTAAAATACCCACAAGCATCGGACAAATCAGCGACCAACAGTTCATCACTGGATATTTTAAGGCAATATTACAGCGAGATAACTCGCGAACAGTTGAAAAAGTTATACGAGGTTTATAAAAAGGATTTTGAATTATTTGATTACAGTTTAGAGACATTCTATAAATATGTGAGCTGAGGAACGAGGTTATTTCCCCTAAATCTTTGTCAATTTGTCTCATTTGAGTAGTAGATGGGGTCGGCTAGCTAATGCCCCTCAAAGAGGCGTTTCACTTAAATATTTTTTCCCGAAATTATAAATTGAGACATGTCATTACATGTATTGCTTCAACATTCTAACATTTTGAATTAGTATCTTTGCAGGCGCGAAAATTACAGATAAAGATGGCTTTGCAACTTATTTTTCCTATTCTGTTTTTATATTCAAGGTATCAAGGTGTATCAAGGTTTCTTTATTTTTCCACATGATATAACATAATCAGGTGAATAATATTAAAATTCAATAACATAACATTAACCAAACATTTTACAAAATGACTATACAATTATTTAAATAAATCATTTAAGATTGGCACAGTGGTAAACAAATAGTGGAGGCGTCTATCAAAAAAGCATTCAAGCATAGTCGTCGCTCCTTAACCCCGCACCCCAACTCCGGCCGGGGTCGGACGGACAACATTCGTGTTCCCAAAATCTCCGATAAAGGGGAACTTTGCGCGCGCGACAAAGTATAAGGCCCGACAATTGTAAAAAAAAGGGGTGTGTTTGAATTTTTTCACCCGGAGATTTCTTTAAAAAGAGGATGTATTTTCTCTCACTCTATTTGGATTCCTGAGAAATTTAAAAAGGGGGTTATAGAATAAAGGTATTTTTTTCTCTCTCTCTCTTTGGACTCCTGAGAAATGTAAAAAAGGGGTGATAAAATACCTCGAATATCATAGATAGGGGGGGGGGGGTTACATTGAGCAGTGTTCTGGATTGGGGCCTTCACACGAAAGTTCACTATTGGAATTCTCTGTTACTACAGCAACACGACTGGAGTAAGAGTCATCACACTGCGGTACGGTAATGGTAGATCATGCGGACATGCTTCTTTATGCCTGGGTGATGATGAGAAGAAGATGAGGTGGTAGTTTAGTCTTTGGGTCTTGAAATTAACTTCCGGACAGAAAGATGACTCATCTGTCTTACACTAAACAATGATAGGGATACAAGATTGATTAGTTCGAGTTTTATTGCGTGTGTGTGTGTGTGTTTTTTTTTTTTTTTGGGGGGGGGGGGGGCAACCCAAGCGAACGAATTCATATGCCTATGAGGCGGGGGATCGAGGGCTAGGATGTCTGCAACCTCGAGGATTTTTCTTTTTTGAGGTTCCGATATTCGAGCAACCACCAACTCATATTCGGGCAGCCCGAAGATTTCCGTAAATTACCAACAAAAAACAAAAAGTGTCAAAATGTCGGCGTGCTCGTTTCGCTTGTGCGCGGAAAAGTCAGACACTAAATAGTTGATATTCGGCCCCATTGCACCCACTCCTCTTCACGAAAATGTGCCTGTATACGCCTTTGTGTAAGATCTAATTTGCTGGCAAGTTCATCCTTTAATGTCCACTAATTAGGGTTTCTCACCCCTTTACTGGCAGTACATGTATCCCGCAAAATACAACGATAATAATAATAAATACTGTAAACATGTATTTATCGTACATGTGACTCTATTGTCTTTCTTCCATTTCTTTATAATTATGTTATTCCTTGCAGAGATTGATTTTACTTGTCGAGTACTAGAGCCTGATCGGTTAGTCTTGGGCGGGTAGACATTGACAAATTGTCATAGTTTGAAGGCCTGTACAAATTATTTTATTGTGAAATGTACCACATTATGGAGCGGGATTTGAATATCTTTCTTGTTGTTATGGTTACAGGTTACCTACAGGGAATCGTAATCCATGAAATGTTCAATGCCATGGATGGGCGAAATGCCCACGCTCAGCCGACCGGGCTCTGTACTTAAAATCAATAAACGAATTGGCTCCTTAATTTTTTTTTTATCATACCCTCATTTTGGTGCAGTTCCTCGTGAGAAAAAAAAAATCACAATTGCTTTGAAAATTCACTCAGCTGTTAAAGACGAATAAGCAAATATAATAAACATACAGCAATTAAAGGGAAGTTAAAAGTTTGAACATTTATTACATAATAAAACGCTTTTATGGATTTTTCTTTGACAAATTTTTAATCGTAGAATTAATGCCAGAACCTCTGATAATGTTGAACATAAAACAGATGTGATGTGAGAATAAAGGATTCGATGAGACATTGGTTACCGATTTGTCAACAAAGGTCACATCTAAAATAAAAGCATTCTTAAAATATAAGTCTTAAAGGTTATACATATATATATATAATATATGAATGATATTTAGTGGAAGAATTATATTGCATTTTTGCCTCAAAATCTGGACGTAAAAGGAAAATCAAAGAGGCCATTTACGTAAAGTTGAAAAGCAAAAAATAAACGGACAGATACGAATTGAGGTCCATATTCTACTAAGGTTAAACCCGGCCCAATGAGTTAGATATATTTCACAAAGGGATAACTTAGACATAAGTTTTTAACTCACTTTGATAAAGTCCACATTAGACGGGTTTATATTTTAGTAGAATACAGACTTATAAGGTAAAATGATATACTTCCATTCGGTACATTAACTCACCGAGCTTAAATTAGTTTCTCATTTTTCCCTTGTTAGATCTCAAGTCACTTATTCTATATACGAGACAAATAATGATGTGAATTTCGGCTTACTTTGTTCATCAGATGTTCCCGTCCATGAGTTATACAAACTTTCATTAATAATCAAGTCATAATTTCCGAAAGGGCGATTGTAACATTTGTGAAATACACCCTCTTATATAACCAAAGTGTTGGGTCCAATTTACCCGACACTTTCTGAAAACCTACAGCAAAGTCAACGAAAACTTGCTTCTCGACCAGACACTTTTTTAAAACAAGAATGCAATAACACACAAGTTCGTAAAAAGATCGACACTTTGTCATTTCTTATATTTAGGCATGTTCTCACAAATGTACATGTAAAAAGATTAGCATTATCTCAAGAATGTCTTTGAGAAATTGTTATTACATGTATTTGCATTCAATTTATCTGACCTTTCGTAAAAGTGGGGTATGTTTTCAGTTTTCACGAAAGTTTGTGTAGGCTGACAACCCGACCCGACGGTACAAAGTAAGCTGTGAATTTATAAGAGAGCGGTATCGGTGTACCTGAAAAGACTTCTACATCAATGACATTTACTTTAAAATATATCATTCAGTCATACTTCATGTTGTTTAATCACTTATTGTATTCTCTAGCAAATGATGAACGCAAGAACAAATACATGCATTTAATTTTTCTCGCTCTATATTTTTGTTACATGAAAATCAATTGAATACACTATAAATTACTTGATTCCACAGCAAGGTAAAATACATATTTTTATCATTCTCTGAATGTTTAAGAGGGATGGGTCATACTATGCAATCATCTACACCTAAACATTGCACCAATTTGAATTTCTGATTCAATGCTTGCTAAACTCTAATGTCACCATTAGTGTTGTTATTGACAGGCCTTTCATCAACACTTACGTGTATGTCCACGCAACAACAATAGAGCTGTCAATAAAGCTTTCTGAATTTTTGTTTAATAGCAGGTGTTTTATTAAAGAGTTTCAAACAGTAACCGAACCGATGTGTCAGGGAGTTAAATAAAGAGTCACAGTCTCACAGATGCTTCTTCTTATCATTCTAGGTACAAGTTTAATTCTGCAGATTCATTTCAGATACTGAATATTCTTCTGGGGAATAAAACCTCTTTGCTGTGTGTTACAAACTTTCTAGTCAAGCAAAGCTGACAAAAATTCATAATTGTTGTTGTTGTTGTTGACTTCTCTATACAATATTCAACTGGATTGAATGATACAATTGATCACCCAAGAAAACTGTAAAAATGTTGACTCCAGAGAGTCACATGTCTACAGAATTATGGTGCTGACAACAGCACTCAACATCATGCACTAATGAAATACAGACATTAGTAACATCCTCTTATTATTTCATCTATGGTAACAAAACTTTAACAAAACTATTCCTAGAAAATCCAGCTAGGAAATGTGTTGGATTATCTAACAGGTTTTATACAGAAATGTCAGTGGATTATAGAAAAATTATTCCACTGTTAAATAAACACATATATTCTGAAAATTAGGTAAAGATAATATTTACATAACACCAAAACTTTTGTCAATACTGAAATAAAACATAAATTCAAACAGAATGAACAAATGACAACAACTATTCACAGCATATCTAAAGTCATATATCTACAATAATCAACAACCAAAATATCTGAACATAACAGGCAAGCACAGAGGAAAGAAAGTAGAATAACAAATTATAGTGAAATTATCAACTTTCTATAAAGTCACATACATGCAGTAGAAAATCTATTCAAATAGAATTCAATGTAAGGCACGACTGAGTGGAGTACATTCAGCAATTCACTTGCAAAGAAAAGAAAAAACCCTGATGAAATGATCTACGTTTCAGTGATGGTAATGATTTCACAAAGGAGTGAGAGAAGTTATAAAATGGGATTCTAAGTATTCATTTCTGGAGTACTTTAACTAAGCAGCTACAGTAAACTCCTGTCATCTACTATTAAAAGATACAGGAAAAAGATGAAAGAAATAGACAAGATAGAGAGAGATACAATACAAATGACACTATGACAAACATCAAATTCATAGCAGAAGGGACTAACAATAATTAAATACATGTATGACAGTGAACTATAAAGATATGGTTGCCCAGTATAACAATGGAATGATTTAATGTACATTAGTACAAGCAATCGTTTCTAAGTGTCTATTCTTGTATTTATGTACATTTGCCTTCAAATTACCATGCATATTAAAGAAGCGTATTTCCACACAAAAAATCAGAATAAGATTGGAATCACTAACTGCTCAGCCTCTTTCTATGATTTAAGTCTAATCTGTTATGGTCTTCCAAATCTTAAGTGAGCTCAAGACTGCAAACACATTTTGAATTATTCATATATTTGCAGAAATTCTCTGAAACTTATCACTTTTCATTGTCAATGAATGCATAATGCCAAGAAACAGCTCATTTGCTGTCATTAAATTTAATTTTCTGGAAATATTTGCAAAAATGTTCAATCAATAAGTACAATACAAGAATACTGTGCTGTGAATGAAGTAGCGATATAAAAAAGTTAATCTGTGGGACTAAAAGAAACTGAAATCAATAAATACACAACAGGATTTACAACTTTCTCTGGAAACGTTGATCTCGAAGGGAGGCATCTCTCTGTTCTAGTTGATGATCAATGTTTTCTGCAAGTTGGGGCTTTGTAAACCAATCTGCAGCAAAATCTTGGATATTTTCTGGTCTCCTACTCAATACATCTCTGTAAAACAAAAGACATGACATACAACATACCAGTTATTTATGGTTTTGTGAGAAAACAACATCAATGATGACCTACAAAAGATTTTTTTAGTTCAGGAAGAAACCATTCATGATCACACCTCTAGTTAAAAAAACCTAACCCTATGTGATTTTAGTATATAAAAATTCAAAGGACAACCTAAAACTAGCCAAACTAATATGAACAAATTAATCACTATCAATCTCATTAAAAAAAGTGTGAGAAAAGTGACGGCCTTTCCATCATCAAATTAATCAAATGGCAAATGAGTAATGAAAAAGAAAGTTGTTCATGATAGGGGTAGGTCTACTCTAATACTGGCATGGTTAACCTGAAGCAGGCAGCAGCAAATGCAATGAGTAACCTATTCAACATCCCAATGTTTGTTAATTGTTGTGGGATGGCTTTAGAAGTTTAGACCCCATATTTACATGGATCAATAGGAACCAAACATACACATTCACAATGATGACATATCTGTACAAACAAAAAGTATGAAAAAAAAGTAATGTACATAAAGTATAATTATAGAGAAAGGAGGAGATAATGAACCTATGACATTGATCTGAAATGTGTCAACTTACACTAAAGTTACTGAACTAGAGATTGCTTTACTCTTCAATAAGACTTCAGACTCAGAGCTATGTCCCAAGTTTTTTCTTTTTATAATTTAGGTACCTGTATAATATGAACATGGCTCTTGTAGAATAGCATGAATTTTTTTGTTGGATATTTTCAATTTGATAAATAAATGACCACTCTATTACCAAATGCAACATGTTCTCATCAAGTTACCTTAAAAATTCTGCTAAAAGAATATCCACTTCTGGATGGTCTCGGAGGTATTTCTCGTTAGCAACACGCGTCTGCATCTGATGATAAAACAATCAAAGAAAATTATTAAGAGTTCTATCCTGCTGAAAACGTGGAGTCCTACAACACGTTAAATGAAAAACACTGCATCGCAGGAAAGTGGGAAACACCTTTATTTTATACATTCATATCATCTCTTTGGAGCCAGAAGGGTACTATTAACTCTGTGTGACATAATTTGAGTTAATGCCCTTTTACTTAGCTCCAAACAGACAATATTTCTTCATTTTTAGGACACTATCCATATCAAATTTCAGTGAAATTGCAATACAAACTACATTTTACATACAATTCAAGACTTCCAATCCAACCCATAAAAAAATATTTTGTTTTCCCCTTTTAAAGTTACAATGCAAAGTAATTCATATAATTGAACAAGACTGAACTTAATTTTATATGCAAGCTAATATATAGTCATTAACTGACCAATCATTACAGATTGAGTCACTGACAAAGTTAAAGATAAGATTAAGAATAATATCAAGACATTAAGATGGAGATCAAAAGAAGAGAAGGAGGGCTGAGGCTAGCCGAGGGAGAGAAGAAATAAATCTTATTCTGAGAAGATTTGGGATAACACTTAACTAACATAAAATAGAGGAAAAAACTGAAGAAAAGTGAGAATGAAGAATAGAAGAGAGAATTAAATTTAACTTGAAATGGATTGTCTAACGTTAGAATAGATCTAGACATAAATCTAGATCTTAAATTTTTGAAAACTGCTCTTCAAATCAAATATTGAACATTGGCCAAGCCCAAGGGCAGGGCTCACTTCATAAATTAGTTAGTGCAGGAAATTGGCATATTCCTTGACTTGTTCAACAACATTAAAATAAATGAGACAGCAGCTAGCAGTGAGCAGTTGGACTGGCAAGTTAGACTATTATTATTAAACATGTTGACTTCTGTTAATTTTTAGTCATGCTTACCTTGAAGTTATTCAACTTCTCTTGCTGTTCCGGGCTGAGAGCGCCAAAATCATACCCCTCCATCCCTTGAGGAGGATTGTGGTTTGGGACTGCCATTTCCTTTCCCTTGTCTTTAAATTCACTTGATATGTATCCTCAAAGTCGAGCTTAACCTCGTCGAAATCACTTGTTTGTGGAGGAGCAGCTAGCTAGCAGAGGATTTTGTGACTGTGAATCTGTGAGAAGCCGAGCTCAAGAACCTTCCAATTCAGATTTCAGAGTAGCTGATACTTGTGTTCCAAATAACCAATGAAGTGCTGCTTATGAGAGTTCTGGGTAAATTAGAAAATGGATAAATATGTCGAACGCATCGACCAAATCCCTGTTAAGGTCAGAAGTTTTGTTCAAATTAGCAAAACTGTAGGACCTCGATCTTAGACTTTTACCTTGTCAGATGTTATTAGCCTGAAATAGTAGAACATTTTTGACGCGGCATGAAAACTCGAGAGTGATGTGCATTGCCAATTTAATACTCGTGCTCGGATTGCTCAAGCACGACGGTGTTTGAAAAACACGAGACCAAAACCCATTGATTATTATTATTGATATATATATATATATATATATATATATATATATATATATATATATATATATATATATATATATATATATATATATATATATATTCTTATTTTTTTATTTATTTATTTATTTATTTTTTTTGGGGGGGGGGGGAGGGCGGGCGGTGATTTAAGCACCTATCATTGGGCTATGAGAATTGTATACATTTTCTGAAAACTGCTGCAGCTGCGACACCGCTCGCTCTTTATACCCGGCATCCCCGGCGATCCCTCTTGAGAAAAGAAAGTGGGTTAATTGACAGGTTTTATTGAATTTCTTAAACGGCCCCACCTGGGGCCTAGAACTTTGTAAAAGAAATACAGATAAATGGTACAAAGATATTTTACAACTAAGATTTTAAGAAAAAACATATGATAATGTATCTTTCTATAAAGAAGCCGCTCTTAATTTGGCAGCAAACTTCAATTACACACAATATAATATCGGAATTGAAATTAGGGGAACATAAGGGGGCCAGGGGGGGGGGGGTGCATGGACACGACTGCAAAGATTCAAATTACAGATGCTTCAACTTCAGACCAATGTCAGTAACCTTTCTTGATTAACCAAGATCTATTAGCGATCTTCATGTCACACCAGTACTTGGGGCATGTTTAGTTGGAGGTGATTGTGGTGGTGGTGGTGGTGGCGATGATGATGATGATGATGATGATGTGCACGATGATGATGGTGATGATAAAATGATACAATGATAATAACAACAATGACAATGATAATAATAACACTCATATAATAATGATAATAATAATTTGACTAGATTTTATTTATTTGAATGATTGATTGATTTATTCACGGTTCAGCTGTTTGGCTGTTTTACAATGGGGCCGTGCATATACAATAAAAATACAAAGTAATCATTACAACAACAAAAATCATATAAAGAATAAAAAAAGTATAATTACTGATGACACACCAAGTAGATCGAGATAAATTATATGAAATCTGTATGCATGTATAGATATGTAAAGTTTGTTATAAGTTGATTAAAAAAAAAGATATTATAAAGAATTATAACCATGACATAATTTTGGTAAAATATGCAGAAATATGATAGAAGTATTAATATAATATGATAAAATACAGTGAACATATGAAAAAAAAGGATATAAATTAATTTATAATAATGCTTTAGAATTGTATATTATCGAAAATCAAATCTTTGATTCATTATCATTTCCCCCCAAATAAATTTAAGCTAGGCATCTTTTATTCAGATAAGTTATTAAATTGGCACTGCAATTTATTTCCTGTTAGAAATGATCAGTCCGCATTTTACTATTTTTGCTAGGATAAATCAATAGGTTTGGTTTAGAGATTACTATGCTTAAATATTCTACTTATAGATTTAATGAGATAAAAGGTTATAAAAAATATACAAATAGAATTTAAAAATTATTAATTTATAATTTTATTGCACATTTAATATAATTTTGCTGCCAAAATATATCTCTTCAGAAGAATTTTATCAGAGGCTAAACAATCGCAAAACATAAATTAACCTTTTTCCTGTACCTAGTTACGTAGCAACGGATGTAGCGATTTGCATCAATCATTGCCTTCCATTACGTTTTCCCAAGACAAAATGAGGCCTATTTTCCTGATGGAAACTCCTTTAGATTTCTTGCAAGCCCTTTAGGATCTTCCTCAAGCAGCACTGTAAGTTTTAATTACCAAAAGTCTTATCAGTCGTCGATGTGGAGTGGTTTTTCATTAGTACAGTCCCACACGTTGATAATTTTGCTGCACTGAGGACTAATTGTTGATTTGATAGCTGAGCTGAGCTGAGTGACTGATTTTATTGTTTTTGTTTACTATGGGGTCGATTATTAAAAAAAGCTACAAAAATGTATGTAATTTATAGAACTAAATGTTAAGAAATAGGTCTAGAAACTGTATGAATAATAAAAATAGGGTGTCTGATCGCGCACCCGTTTGTCTGCAAAAACCCTTCCCATAGACATTGCACGCATCCCTATGCAGTCGCCAATCCAAGCTTGAGGTCAGCTATCACCATTCGAGCCAAGATCTCCTGCAAAGTCTACCTGACCCAAGTCAGGCTTGTCAGGATCAGGAACACAACTGATGACTGCTGCCGTCTGTGTCGGGCAGAGCGAGAGGATGTTGAGCACCTTGTTGCAACTTGCCTAGACCGAATTTTCCGTCTCTTTCGTTCGTTAGCCTCTTAATTGGGGTAGGGTCGGCTCTCTCTTTAGAGACGGAAACTGTCTATACACATTCCCTTGATAACGCCACGGCCATTTCAGGTCGTATTGTTATGCCCCCAAAATCCCCCAAAATGTCATTTTACCTCGTGTAGGCCTAGGCTATAATTAGGGTGTCTGAACGATTTTTCAATTTTCAATTTGGGATCGTTTTTCACCATTTTTGTTTGATATTTGAATTTAAAATGTAATCAGAATAATACAATTCAAATTTCAAGTCTCGCCGATGTTTCTATCAAAAGATACAGCCCCTTCAAAACGCTGAAATATTCATAGCATTTTGCTCAGAATCGACGAAAAAGACGTACACGCAGAGTTATGTTGTTTTGCTAAATTTAGCCAAACAGCTGTATCGCGCGATATGCAAGCGTATGCATATCGTACGCAAGTTGCTCAGCCAATGCGCGACTTGCAAGCTTGAGCTACGCTGTCTCCGCGACACGTGCCATTGACTAGTATGGTTAGCGTTCGTCGCACAAAAAACCCGGAAGTGAATGCACGTTATAGTCAATGGCAATATCGCGGAGATGTCTCCGCGATATTGCCATTGACTATAACGTGTATTCACTTCCGGGGTTTATGGTGGGAACGGCCATCCATACTTTCATTCACTATAAGCGCACATGTTACGCGATGTAACCATGGTTTGGACTGAGCGGAGCTCACGCCTCCCTAATTAGCTGATTCCAAAAATGTGGGAAGGGTATTTTCAAACTGTTATAACAAATGATCCCTTGGGGCTAGCGAAAAAAAAAGCATCTGGATATTATCCTTACGTCTAGCCCTGCTTAAGCCGCGGGGCGGCAGCTCAGGAAAGTGGCAAATTTTGGAGCTAGGATGCAAACAACATTTCAATCGCTGTTTTGACCAAGATATTTTTAGAATTCTGGGGGTGGCCCCCGATGGGGAATATGGAGAAAAACCTGCTCTTTCATATGACACCTCATTTATTGAGTTTCACCTTCAGGATCATTTGTTATAAAGGTTTGAATTTCAAATTTTTTCATAAAATCATTGACCAATTTTGGATGGTCGCGCAATGCACGTAGACCACATAGGGAAGCGTACAATCTCTATGGGAAGGGTTTTAGCACACAACATTGGGTGCGCGATCAGACACCCTACTATAATACATCGGTTCCACTTACTAACTTGACTGAAATAATCTGTTTAATGGTCCTTTTAAGGAAATTATGGGTCAAAATCGACATCCATGTTGAAAATCTTGCAAGCCTTGTTAAACTCTCGCTGCGCATGGAGTCATCTAAATCAATCTTATCCCTTCTAGTCTACGCCGAAGGCAAAATGATAATGAAGGAAAAACTGTGCGCCATCTACACGTTCGTAATGGCAATCTCTATGGGAAGGATTGAGCACACAAAATCAAGTGCGCGATCAGACATCCTACTGTGGGATTAACTGTTGGATTCTCACATTTCATTCATTAATTGTTGACATGTTGAAGAAAAAAATATCGTCATTGAATGGACTATTAGTTTGAATTTAAACACTGAGTCTAGAGTCTCAGTCATAAATGAAATTCACATATTTGTATTTCCTGTCTATTCCATTTCTTTCCATGAGGTGCAGATTTTGGATTCTCCAGCCAGAAGTCTGATGCTAATGTCAAGATGGCCTCTAATGTTGCCAAACAGAACATCTATCCCATAGAGAAGATCACTTTTGGATCTGTAAGTTTTATTTTGGCTGCAGAGGGAAATTCTTGAGATTTTCCTTGAGGGAAAGCTCCATCAGATTTCACTTAAATGAGGGTATATTTTTATTTGAATCCTCTGTGGATGTTGGAAGTATACTGAGAGTGACCAGAGGGAAGCTTTTATTGATGAATCCAAATACCGTAAACTCTTAGGATTCTTCTCAGTTTATCTTATCTCATTGATATAATGATCCCCAGGTTAATACATTCTGCATATCTGCATTCAGCTAATATGATATGCCAACATAAATTTTTATATAATATATGTAAATAGCACAAAGATATTACGATTAACTCTGGTTATTGCTTTACATGTGCTTGTTTTATAGTGATAGCTTGTCTTATTGATAGATTTTTTTCCTTCTCTCTTATTTTCTCTTAGCGAGATCTTCAGAAGCGGTATGAAGAAATCCTCGGGCCTCTCACCTTATTTGCCCCAAAGTTTGATGAAGAAGGTAATGTTTATATTGCATCCATTATCATTAGTAGTCTACAATAGAAAATATGGAGTAGAGTAGTGATATGTTTTTTTACCTTTTTATTTTTAATCATCTCCAAATACAAGCCTTTTACTCTTATCAACTTTCTGAATGAAACATTTTTATTCTACATCATTTCTCATTAATCATTAGAATTTCCTTGAAATATAATTTTCCCCGTTATATTTATATTGTCATTAATTGATGAAGAAATCAGTTTGATATGATGCATGTATGTAGGTTGAATTTGTAATGATTTTATTTGAAATAAATCAATTCAAGCTATTTCAACAGAACTAAATGTTTTGATGATTATTTTTATGAACACATTTTCTAAGGTCAATGAAATTTATATATGTGTGTTTTGATTAATAACATTTTGGATAATAAGGAACTATTGAATCATAACAGCATTTTATTGCTAATTTTCACACAGCTTCAGAAAAGGTTGATCTTGAGGTTGAAAGGCCTGTTACACCTATTGATGTAAGTGGAAAAGAATTTATTAAATTTGAATTGTGATTTTAATAATTTTGTTATTTGTGGTAGAAAATGCAAACTAAAATGTCTTATTTTTGGTATATTGTGAACACTTAATTGTGTTTAAAACTTGATGGTTATTCTATTTCATTTTATTTCCACATTTAATCTTAACAAAAGAAATCTGTTGCAAGAAGTCCAAACACAGTGTGGTGGGGACAGTCAGAAAGTGTACATAAGATAGTACATTAACATTAATTTTCATATTTCAAAAATCCAGACTTTTAGTATACCGGTAATTGTATTTGACATACTTCCGATAAGTAGTGTATATTTGTTTTACCGGTAGTTGTTTTTATTCTTTATTGTATCAATATATGCCATATGTAACATTTAAAAAATGTGTATTTCTTTCACTTATGTTATTACCTACATTTGTGTTACATTATGTTGACCATATGTATGCTTCCCTGGTACATGCAAGAAAGGTTTATTATTCCTTCTCCACCACTGGAATCTTTTGCTCACAGGATAGTATCAAAGCCCCACCCACTACCTTCTCTGAGCTGGCCAAGCTGATCAGACGCAGGATTGCTGCGAACTCACAATGCCCCTATCTAACGGTGGAAGAACAACAGATGCTGGTAAGTCATTAAAGGCAAACTCTGATATGAAAGCTGCTTTTATGAGGGTCAATAAAAGGAATATCTGAAAAGATCGAGAACAAGAAAGTGTTTAAGTATTTCTTATTGATATCACACATAACAAGACCATTTTTAAATATGACATTTAATTTGATTTCTTTACGTATCAAAACTTGAATTGTAGCTTGCTTGCATGAATTAATTCTAAGAAATATTAATTCTGAAAAATCTGGAATATGTAAGTGTTTTTAGCGGTACTCACTGTATGAACTTTAACTGAATAACATGCCTTATTTTTAAAATCTCTCACTTTCTCTCTCTCTCTCTCTCTCTCTCTCTCTCTCTCTCACCAGGCTGGTGTGATAATAGGAGAGGTAAACTCCATCTGGCCAGACATCAGAAGACAAGTTGATGATCCCTTCTTGGTGAGATTATATTTCAAATCCCTTCTTATCATCATCAACTTTATCATCATTTTCTCTACATATAAAATTGTTTACCAGGATAGATAGTATTCGCAAGAATAATCGCTTTGCATTTAATTTAGCTGTGTTACTAGAAATAGCTGTAAATGAGAATATTATAGCTTTTTATGCCTCCGTTACGAAGTAGCCGGAGGCATTATGTTTTTGGGTTGTCCGTCCGTACGTACGTACGTACGTCCCGTTCTTGTGATCGTGTTATCTGAAGAACCGATTGATCGATTCCTGCCAAACTTTGGTCATGTATGTATCTTGCAGAGCCGATGAACTGATTAGATTTTGGGGTCACGAGGTCAAAGGTCAAAGGTCACGGGGCTCATTAGGTATGCAAAAACAGCTCGTGATCGCGTTATCTGAAGAACTGATTGATGGATTCCTGCCAAACTTTGGTCATGTATGTATCTTGCAGAGCCAATGAACTGATTAGATTTTGGGGTCACGAGGTTAAAGGTCAAAGGTCACAGGGCTCATTATGTATGCAAAAACAGCTCGTGATCGCGTTATTTCAAGAACTGACTAATGGATTCCTGCCAAACTTTGGTCATGTATGTATCTTGCAGAGCCAATGAACTGATTAGATTTTGGGGTCACGACGTCAAAGGTCAAAGGCCACAGCGCACATTATGTATGCAAAAACAGCTTGTTATCGCGTTATCTGAAGAACCGATTGATGGATTTCCGCCAAACTTAGGTCATGTATGTTACTTGCAAAGCCGATGAACTGATTAGATTTAGGGGTCATGAGGTCAAAGGTCAAAGGCCACAGCGCAAATTATGTATGCAAAAACAGCTTGTGATCGCGTTATCTCAAGAACCGATTGATGGATTCCTGCCAAAATTAGGTCATGTATGTTACTTGCAGAGCCAATGAACTGAGTAGATTCTTGGTTCATAAGGTCAAAGGTCAAAGGTCATGGGCTCATTATGTATGCAAAAATAGCTTGTGAACGCATTCTCATTAGAACTGACAGATGGCCGGATTACTATTTAACTCAGGACATCTTGCAGAGCCAATGAACTGAGTAGATTTTAGGGTCATGAGGTCAAAGATCAAAGGGTCATATATGTATATGAGAAATTGCTTGTAATCACGATATTCTGAGAACCTGTCAATGGATTACAATTGAACTTGAATTCGAAAAATTTCTTCTGTTTTGGTTTGTAAAATTGCTCTATGACGGAGGCATCATTTTCGACTGCGCGCAGTCGAATTCCATCTAGTTATTGATGTTCTTCTTTTATGTATGTAATTGGAATATCTTTAATGACAGTCGATATCTAGGATGAAAAGAAAATTAATCATTAAAACAAAATTCTAGTGGTGTATACTTTTGTTTCTCTTCCTCCCTATCCAGACTTTTGAGGAGAATAAGGAGCTTCAGCGTCGTATTACTGTTCATATCGTGACAGTATGTCAACAACTTTTTCAGCATTATGTTGAAAAGGCTAAAAGTAAGTACCGGTAAACACCATATTAAAGATAGTACAGCATTCATTTCATTTGTTTTATTCCATGTGAATTGCATTATTTTATGTATAAGAGTGTTGGAGCAATTATGAATCAATCAACACTGATCATAAACTATTCTTATAGAAGAGAAGATATGGTACACAAACGTTAATCAAAACAGATTGCATGTGTTCTGTGACCTGATTCCTACTTTACAGTGCCTAAGGGGTACTGCATGATCACAGTGTTTTCATTTAGTTTTCTTGATGGATGTGACCACAAATATTCATATTTGAAGAGTATTCAAAAGGTAATAATAATAATAATAATAGGCATTTCTATAGCGCCATCTATCTAGATAATTCTATTCCGAGGCACATTTATTATTACCCTGGCTTTAGGTAACATATATTTTTAAACCATTTCATTAATTTGCAGTGCTTACAGACAGGAATGTATTCAGTGGGATTGCCAACATGAGCAGATTGAAAGCCCAGGTCTCCCTTGATGCTAACAAATTGTAAGTACCAAGTTATCTTCAAAATTATGGACTAGGTAGCATAATCTTGATATTCTTTTGATTGTTTGAGTTTTTGAATCCCAGCTTGACAAACTAAAGATCCATCAACTTTTTTGTATTTCTATCTGAGTGTCTTTACTACATGAATGTCAAGAGAAGATGATTACATCAACTGAATATTGCTAGAAATACCACATTTCTTATGGAGAATCGCATTGAAAAGAGCCATACTAAAGCTTTTCGTCTTGCACTCATCAGAATAAAACAAATGAAACAGAAAGCCAAAATCAAACAATATAAATGAAAACTAAAAGGAACAAGGCGCGAATATATCAAACTCTGATTGGCTGTCTAAGGTAACAGTAAATTATGCTTATATCGCCAGCCATTTCTTATTGTTGTTGATTTCTCTATGCAGTCTCAACATTCTTGCCATACGTCGTCACATAGTAGCAGATATCCGAGGAGCTCATTCAGACTCTGAAGACAGTCATCTTCACATCACATCACCTAGACCAGCCTCAAGACATGCTAAGGAAGAAAATGTTCCTCTCTCTTATCAAAAACTTGTGAGTATACTATACTATCCTTTTCATTTGAATCGCAAGTCCAGGACTTTTCGTTATTGATTCAATTTTCGCTGCCCATATATTGTTGCTTCCATTACCTTTTGGGCTGATATTGATGGTATAGCTTGTATCTACACTAGTGATAATCATAAACATAACACAAAAAATCAGTAATAAGGTTACGGTTTGAAATGCAACATACATGTACACACAATGTCTTAAGCTTTTCATGGTTTTTACAATAATCTCAATTGTTTCGACCCTCCAGATTGCCACAAGTCGTCCCAAGCGTCGTCGGAACCTCCGTCCCACTGTGGATCAGCAGATCCGTGACATGACCTCCCAGTTCCCTTCCCTACATACCTCAAGGGTCTTAGAATACTTGCCAGACCTTCATACGTTAGAGAGGGGTGTTATGGCTTCAGCTATGAGGATGGAAGAAGAAGCTGATACGTTAGAAGGGACTGGGGAAGAGACTGATACACTGCTTGAATCACAAGCAGGCATTACTGAGAGTATGGACCTCACCAGGTTAGTCTATCTTCTAATATTGTCTTGTTTTTAATGGAAGTAAACTTGTTGTCAAACCTTTTACATGTATTTATCATTTTGGAATGAAAATGATATTGTTTTATATATTCACCATAACATTTTGAAAACAGAATGGAAGGTTCGAGTATATCTGTTTTCAGTTATTGTGAAAAAGAAAATATTAATTATTTGATTTTTAGTCAATTGACAAATTCATATGGAGTGAGGACATTCCTAACACTAGCTTTAATTTGTTAAATAGCCCCCAAAGTCTAAAAGTGTAAAAATCATAATTAAGAGAGAGAGAGAGAGAAAGAGGCCGGGGGGGGGGGGGGGGGGGGGGGGGGTTAAGAGAAGAATAGATTAAAAAATAGTGCGAGTGAGCATTTAATTGGACAGTGTATACATTGACACTCTTCATGTGTAGTTCCCATTCCAATGTAGAGAATATGAATGTTTAGTCCAAATAGAAACTTGAAATCTTACATCAAATGTTTAATTTTTACCTCATGATGCAGGAAACTAGAAGAGTCTGGCCACCAGAGGGATTTCAGGTTGCCTCGTCCACGTTCCTTACCAGAGTTCCATCTCTATGAATCTATTTATGAAGAGATTGGTTTAGATCCACCTCCTAAGTCGGGGAGACCAAGAAGCTCTCATAGACATAGACCCAAGTATAACCTTCAGGAGTCTGATCAAGAACAGGAGGAAAAGGTAAAGATGTGTTATGCAGAGCAAGTTGTAAAATACAAAAATGTTTCGCTACTGATGCGGTACTTTATTCAAAGACTTACTCCTAATATATAAATAGGATGCTCTGAGATAGTTAATTACAAACTGAGTTAATCAAAATATGGTTAGAATGACTTCTTGTTCTTGTTTGACAAACATGGGCTGTTCATTGTATGTGTGTCAATGTGCCATAAATGAAGATTAATACTACTGCCTAGTTGTTTAAATCCAAAGTCAAGGTGATAAAGTCAATCACCGACATACCATAACAACAAAGTATTGCACTTAGAGAAAAAAACAACAATATGTGACATATTTCAACATTCCTTATATGGCCTGCTGCGAAATCAATGAGAACAATATTAGAACGTGGCAAAAAGCAAATTACCCATATATATATATACATGTAGTTCTAGGCTATTGTTTGGCAGTTACAGTATACATGTATACAGTATACGTGCCGAGCCTGATGCACCCATAACTGAGATACTATGTATGTATATTCGATCTCTCTATTATGTTTGTCTGTTATCTGTTATTCAAAATGCCAAATAACATAATAATAATAATAATTATATGTATAATCCTTCTCATCTTTATGTTGAGCAGTCAGAAGCTCAACCTACAGCAGCCACTGCCAGCAGACCAACCCTCTCTAGACCAGGTGCTGCTACATCTAAGCCTCGTCCAGACTCCAGCTCCTACATCAAACAAGATCTTGAGAAGCTCTCCACCTACCGCTCTGCCAAGACAGAGAGGAAGAAGGAAGCTCTCCCAGAGGAGGAGGATCTCCCTCCGCTCCTACAGGTAAAACAGAGAGAGGTTTGAAGCGGATGTGGGTTAACAAAGATTAATACTGGAAACTGACTCGTAACCATATTAGCAATGGATGACTGATAACTAATATTTCATGTATTTCAACCAAAATATGCAATATGATAGCAATTTCAGTTTGAAAAAAATACATTTACTTTTAATCTTTTTCTCTTTTGTATTTCTATTTTAATTTTTTTAGTGGTCTTAGAATCTGATCAAAGTGATAAACATTGTAACAATACCAGTACCCTTGTCAATTGGAAGACAATTTCCTTAGAACTAAGGATATGGAGCCAGTTTTCCAGGAGACCTAATACTAATATTGAGATAATGGCATTTGCTTTCTTTAACCCTTGAGTGAATAACAAACAATTGCTTTGTGCAACTTTGGAATTTAATAATAACTGGTTCAATCCTACAACATGTGAGTATGTGGTGCTGCTTAAATATTAAAGTCATATATATTGTGCTAACTACTAACATTTTAGCAATTTTTGTTTAATCATTTGTCTTTCTTCAGCTTAATTCAGTATATATAGGGGTGAGTCATCATCAGTTTTAAGTGATGGTTTTGTAAAACAGGTGGTTGGGATTGCTGATGAATGTAGATTTTTCTTTTCTTTGGTATCAGTTTTTATTTATGTTATACAATTGATAGCTTTGATATTTTGACAAAAAAATAACCCAACCGACCAAAGCAAGAAAGAAAGAAACAAAAACAATAACAACAACAACAACAACATCATCAGCAACAACATCATCAACACAGCCTTTTCATAGAGGCATCCACATGATGTTACCAAACGTTATCCAATGTAACTACTACTCACTCATAATAGAATCCTGCAGAGAATGTTACATATTGATGTTGTTACTTCAGTTGCAGATATATATACACACTCACAATAGAATTCTGCAGAGAATTTTAGATATTGATGTTGTTACTTCGTTTGCAGGTATTGTACACACACACTCACAATAGAATTCTGCAGAGAATTTTAGATATTGATGTTGTTACTTCAGTTGCAGATATATATACATACTCACAATAGAATTCTGCAGAGAATGTAACATATTGATGTTGTTACTTTGGTTGCAGCTATATATACACACACACTCACAATAGAATTCTGCAGATAATTTTTGATATTGATGTTGTTACTTCGGTTGCAGCTATATATACACACTCACAAAAGAATTCTGCAGAAAATGTTAGATATTGATGTTGTTACTTTGGTTGTATCTATACTGCCAGCAATCTAAGTTGGTTCATTTTTTTCTTGTCCCATACACTGTTTTTGTGCACATAAAGTCTTAAGGTATCATTTGTTTTTTCTATTGTTTCAAAGATTCTTTTCACTCCTCTTTCTTGTGACAAATGGACTTTGATTTGACTCTGATAAAGTCTGCTCATTATGATCACAAGGGGTTATTTGGATGAGATTGAGAATGAATATGAACAATGGCAATTCTACATTTCTAGAAAAAAATATGATCTGTTTTTGTTTGTGTTTTGGGAAATGTTGCTGTGTAGAAATTCATGATTTCATCAACAGTATGCAACAGTGCTATTATCAAAGGGGTCATTCTGTTTTCAATTAAAACAAAAAAAAGTATTAAAAGGATTTATTGCACATTTGATAAATTCTTTTATGGAGAAAAAAAAATTGTCCCTATACCTAATTACTTGAAAATATATGGATAAATCTTTGCTGCCATGTTTCAGATAGAATTTCGGTTTGCCTTTCCGTGCTACTTAATCCCATCCATATATCTCTTCTCTTCAAAATGATTAAAGGAAATTGTGTAGTGCACACAATGAATACATTTGCATTTACTTTTGCCTTTTTAACCTCATTTATGACCAATTTTGATAGAGAATACTAAGTAATTTCTATTGGGTCTAGTACCTTGTTTTGACAAAATTATTCGTCCTTTGAAACCGAACTCTATTTTGAAAGTATTTGTTTTTTTGCTGTCAAATGCTGTCTTGAATGGATTGTTATTTGATGCACAAGTGAAGTTGATATGCTCATGTTTGTACTATTAGTGTGAAACAAGTTACAATATTCTCGATCAATTGATTGATTGATGATGTCACTTGTTGTAGGCTGTGGATCACAATGAAAGACAGGAGCAGAGGAGAGTAGCAATGAAACGACAGATGAGAGATACAGCAGCAGAAGCAGATAGAAAGGAACAAGAAGAAACGTAAGTTCATTAAGAACGGTTCTACAATTGTGATATTAGTATAAATGAATCTCATTTTTGTTTTCTACTTCCTCTGCTCTGTCTTTGTCTCATTCAATTTTTTTCTTCTTCTCTTATCTCTCTCTCTCTCTCTCTTCATTTCTTTCTTTCTCTCTCTCTCTTCTTTTTTTTAAATCTTTCTCTCTCTTTTCTCTCTCTCTCTCTCTCTTCTTTCTCTCTCTCTCTCTCTCTCTCTCTCTTCTTTCCTATCTCTCTTCTTTTTCTCTCTCTCTCTCTCGCTTCATAAGCTTTCTTTCTCTCTAACTCTCTCAAGAGTTTGGAGAACCAAGGAAATAGACTTAGAGAGAGAGAGAAATAGAAAGATATGGGGGCAGGTAGCAAGATATACATGTAGATAGAGGGTGATCGGGTGATTTAACATAAATAAATACAATTTCAGACAATTTATCCTTCAATTTCCACCTGCCTCTCATTAACTCTTCACATTTATAATTGATAGGATCAAGATAAGAGAACCCACCCACCCACAGCCTGCTACGGTCACCACTAAGATGCCTAATAAGTCTACAGTCAGGACATCGGATGTGAGGGTATCAGAGAGGGTCAGTCAGACACAGGTCACTCTCAATCTCTACAAGACGGTCTTCAATGAACTCACAGATGAGGTAAGCTTAGTCATGGTGTTATCAGTTTGGCCTGTTTACAGGTTGTAGGACATTTGGCTTGTTACCCAGTGCCAATTAAAGCTTGAATACATGTTTTTTTTTCTTTATTACAAAGTAACAGTAAATTAACTTTTATAGCATTTTTAAGACAGACCGGTAGATAAGATAAATTTTGAATGGCCATAAGTTATAAAACAGTACGTATGACCTATTTTTCCTTTAAATATCAATTTAAGTACTTGAAATACACGAAAAGTCAATTCTTCAACTCTTTCCTAAAGTACATTTCTTTAATTTTTCTATTAAATTTCCATTGAGTTTTAATATCCATTAATTTGTTTCTGATATCCCAATTCGTCTGACCTTCATCAAGGTTGATGGCAGCACCATTAAGAAACTTGATGCCAACTTGTTCAGAGGTCAAGAAATCAAGGAAGTTTATGAAGAAATCCTCAAGACATTACCAACTGACCATATGACCTTTGACATGGTAAGTTGTTTTGCACTTCACTATTGTACAGCATGTTCTTATTGCATGCTTTAGGTCATCTATTACGACTAGATACCTATTTCATTTGTTTTGAATTGGATGGTTTACTGAACCCCTTTGCATGTCTTACCTGATACAAAAGAATATGTCTTGCTTTTCACTGATTATCTTTGCTCTATCAGGCCATAGGCATTCATGTACCAGAAGAAGTGATTGCCAGGGTTAGCTAGATCATGAATATATGATTGTTGATTAGCTGCCAATATGTAATTTGTAAAAGATGTGCAAATAATAAGCTGCTAGCTATTACATACCAGTATATCTTTTGGAGCCAGCAGGGAATTAACTATGTGTAGAAGTAATTAACATCGTTGTGGCTCTAGACGTAAGGTCATATAAATGTGACTTAAATTTCATTGTCAGTTTCTGAAGACTGCTGTTATGATATTTTGTTGTTGTTGCTCTGTTTGCTAGGCAATTACTGTATTTGCTTCTTAAATCAATGTATCTTCATGTAGATTTTTCTAGCTGTGTTATATTCTGCAGGATAGTGGCTTCCAATACTTTCATTTCTTCTCCACCGGTCTGCTAAATGAGGACTAAGCATGCAATCACTCTCATGTCTTTATACATTTTCTGACTTTATTTCATGTTCAATCCAAGGATGGATTTGTAGAGACAGCAGCTAGTGATTATTCCCTTCACAAGGCACCTCTCCTAGCATCTACAACCCTCAACAGAGGCAAAGCAGATCGTGTTCTCAATCCTGATCTGGTTCATAATGAACAGTCTCCCTGGGGTATTGAGAGAGATGAATGGTGTAAGAGGTAAAGATCTGATCCAGATGAGGTTTAATCATTGTAATGATAGTCATTGTGAGATGTGTCTGTTAGTTGAGAACTGTTATACCAATCATAAGTAGTACCATTGTTTTCTGAGGGTAAAGTCTAAAATGAGGTAAACCAGACTTTCAAAATACCATCTTGTATAAAACAGGACTGCTGTCCAGAAGGTACTCTGTTGCATTGTGTTCATCATCTAAGTTCCACACAATATTTTATGTGCAGTTTTCACAATGTAAATCACCATAATCAGCGATTGCAGATGTATTTGAGAATCCTGATTAATTGAGTAAGCAAGAGTTAAGTATGGACTTCAGAACTATTTGATAGAAGAATTTACAAGATTATCTAAAACAGCTTGTATGAATGCTCCTTATATAATTATTGACTCCCTAGAAATATAAAAATGAGGTAAAACTTTCACTTATCTTGTTCTTTTTGTTGCAGCCCCATCTTCAATGCCACATTTGCGAGACAGAACCCTGCTCAGCCACCCCAAGTCAAGAGCAACAGCCTGCTGCAAGGCGGGACAAGCTTCTTCGGAGATACCCTCGGCTATGGTCTCAACAGCACAGGTGGTGGTGGAGGAGCGGGCGCCAATGGAGCCTACGGAGCCGGTGGTGGAATGGGTGGAGGGGGTGCAGGAGGAGGTGGTGGTGGAGGGTTTGGTAGACCTATGATGATGGATGATAGGAATACCAGAGCATACGCATCTTGGCTTCAATGGTGGAAGAGTACTATCAGCTGTGAGGATTACATCAAATATGTCTCCTCTCAGGTGAGATGACATTCCATTTATTTTTAGTTCAGGGGAGGGTTTCACAAAACTTGTCATCATGCATTGAAAAATGACAGTTTTTGTTATAAGCTACTGAAATCCTTGCTTCTGATTGGTTATCAACAGCTTTGTCACTGATTGCTGTCCTTTGTCAAAAAAGACTTTGTGAAACAGATCCCAGGAGTTTAGTTATTTTCCACAACAATAAAAAATGCAGAAGTGAAGGCCTATAAGGGGAACAACTTCAAGAATGCTTACAAAAAAGCGTTTAGGAACAGTTCCTCTAGAAACCATAGTTTCCAAAATGAAAAAGCACCACTAAAAAAAACCACACTTGTTTTCAGTGTGATTTCTGGAGAAATGTTTGTTATCATAGTCTTCTTCTTCTTAGTAATATAATTCTTTGAAGAATCTTTGCTTTCTGGAAGAATTACCAATTCAATTTTACGGAGGGAGGGCCAATAATAATATTAAACAGTGTTTGCCTGTTATTAGTAGTTATTGTGGTATTCAGCAGCATCTTTCTTTGTCCATAAGGTCATATATCAATGAGCCTACTCAAGAAAATGAAACTTAAAAATGTTGTTGGTAAAGATAGCCAACATTATTGCCATTATATTGCTCACAAATGATATTAATTTGAGTTGCAACAATATCTACATTTATGTTGAAAGGTCTGTAGAGCAATAAGTACAAAAGAATAACAAATATTCATAATTAGCACATCTGAACGGTACCTTAAATCAATAAATAAACATGATTTAGAGGTATCTTAATTGTATTTCTTAATTTTCATTAGATTACATTATTCAAGAATATTTCTTGAAGCAACGAAAATTAACGCTCTATTTCAGTGTGGAAAACTTGGAAGCTAGTTTATCATGTTAAATCAATTGATGTGTTTTTGATGCAGGAGACTGATTTCTTAGGAGCTGTTTATCACTTGTATGACAGTGATACAGAGAGTGATACAGGCAAGGTCCCAGAGAAGATTAGTTCATCCAAGCTAGAGAGACAGAAGTATGTCCATCTTAATGAATCATTGTAAAGCCTCTTTCAGACATGACGTGGTATACCCACCTAAAAAGAAAATCCTCCGGAGCAAAGTATACTACACAAATATAGTATTCTTCACATTTCTGTAACTTATAACCATTGACCAGTGAGTGTGCAAAGGAATGCTAGGTGGTGTTTACCCCATTACTTGTCATTCATTAATCTGCAAAATCGATGCAGCAGGTTTTTGTTTAGGTGGTTTATTACATCATGTCTGAATGGGACTTGCTAGAAAAAACTGAAATATTCACTTTGATATTGTACACTGTAACTTAAAAGAAGTTTAATAATCACAAACATGCAATATGTGCAATATATCAACAATGGTTTAAAGTTTCTCATAGATTCATTCCCTAACTTGTGATCACTTAAGCATTCTGCAAACCTCGATCACACCAATTAACTTCAGCATTCTTCATTGTCCTGAAAACACTTTTTGATTTCTGTTTTCTTTGATATTTGTCAAGACTGTCGCGCAATATCCTTTGATGTAACATTATAATGCACATACATAGTGAAATTATATACTGGTATATCATATCATCCTCCTTTTTGATGCTTTTTAACTTAGGTCGATGGAAAGGTATGTACCAATGCAAAGCACAGACTTCAACATACACAGTCAAAAGCACATGCTCAGAGGGAATTCTTAGTTTTCCATTGATAATGCACCTGCAAATCAAAGCATTCTACACTCACATTTTGTTGCTTTATATCTTTCTAAATTATGGCTCCGTGCTCTGATACAATGATCGGTTGTAGCGTAACTTGCAGATGGTAGAAAAAGGGATTGTTTTCATTTTTATCATCACATGTTTCTCTGCCAACATTTCTGGAAGGACCAATGAACACTTTTTTTTAATAACTACCGGTACTGGTTTAATAAAAAGTACAGGTTGTGACCACTACTGTTTTGTTTTCTCTAAAAGAAGTCCTACCCTAGTGAAAGTGACCTTAGCAGATGTCAAAAGGTCATTGATGCGGTAATATTGAGATTGATTGAGTGATTGTTCAGTTACCTAAATGTTTTTGGTGTTTATTCAAAGTGAAAGTGACACAAATTCCTTTAATTTAAAACTTTTCATTGTTTTTCAGATAATTCTTGACTTTAACCCAGCAAGTTATGTGTTATTTGAAGTGACCAGTGATATGACAATTCACATTATGTGTCTTTATTTCTTTTCTTCTGAATTTTCTTATCTCTTCCTTGGTGACGGTGCTATTATACATTTCAAATATCTTCTCCTGTCATTAGATTGTGCATATAGATCTTCTTTCAATGTTTGAAAGGAACTTTAACGAAAGTCTATGAAAAAAAAAAATCATGATTATGTAATTTATTAAGATATGATTTTGCCGTCATTTGGTGTTCCCTTTATGAGTCTGTATGCAAGTGTAAGATAAGATGTTAAAATTGCTGTGAGTATTAGCTACATATATCATATTTTTATATATATATATATCAGTCCATATTTGTTTTCTAAGTTATTTTGGTGCCCATTACACTTCAGACTGATTTTTATGCTGTTCTAGATTTAAGAGAAAAGTTAGGGTTAGGATTTAAAATCATTTTTAAATTAATGACCAGACCAAAAAAAAAAAGATTCACTGCACATATATTTATGTTAATTATGTTCAGTATGTGATTCAGATAATTATTTATTGAAAATATAATTTTCTGAATCCTCACTGTACTTGTCTGTTTTTATTTTTACCAGGGAAAGAGAAGAGAAACTTGATGAGCTAAAGATTCAGAAGAATGAATATATCCCAGGCCAATGGAATGTAGGTTCAGTGATGCTAGGAGGATTAGGAAAAGATCCTGAAGTTGAAAGTAAGATTTTCAGTATTTTGAATAGCATATACATGTATTGAAACTTCTCATCTATGAGCTTTCATAATTCAATCAGCATACACACCTAGCCTGTAATTAATCACCTTTCTAAGTTTGATGCAAACTACAGAGTGTTTATTCTCATCTTGTATATCATATATCACATTTATAACATCTGTAAGCGCTTTCAAATGATTATGGATATCATTACACCGGTTTTAGCTGTAGCGACCTTAGCACTCAACGCATTCAAGGAATGAATCATACCGGTACCCACTTACTACACCTAGGTCAAGTGTAGCAAATAATGTCTTGCCTAATGGTGTTAGTGACATCAGACATGGCAGGAAATTGAACCCTGCACCTCCAGTTTGGTGACTTATCCACTAGATAATCATCTATAATTTTTTTCTTCCCTGTTACAGTTGATCTTGATGATTCCGAGAGCCTGTCTACAGATGCCCTCCAAGGTTTGACCAGGCGAACACACTCCAGAGCTGTGAGTAGAAATGCCTCCCGTAACACTCTCACCCCTAGAGGGGGTACTACACCACGACAAAGCCAGCACTCCTTACTGCAATCCAGAGTGACGTATAGGACCCCCAGCAGAGCTTCTCTTACTTCCGTAAGTCATCAGCACATAGTTTGTATTGTATTCTCTTATTTGAATCCTTAACAATTACGCACAACAATTGATCCGTCAAATGGTTTTCAGTTCTGTACCTATATAATAATTCGCTTTTCCTCTTCATCGCCCACCTTTTTTCATCTCGACAGAAATGTTGTTATTCATTACAATAAGTATAATGTACACATGTACAAATCTCAGTGCATTACAGAAAATCATTCAGATATATGCCTCATACTTTTCACTGACTCCCTCCAGGCTTCCACTGTAACAAATATCCAAGGTTGTCTTTTCTTTGATTCATGGAAGTTATTTATATTTCATAATTACATAATCATGATTGAATACAAGAGTGGAAGGAAAGAGGAGAACATTTAAATGCTGAAAAAATTAGGAATAACTTTCAGAATAAGATTTATAAGGCGCCAAATCCACTTGGCAGTCAAATGCTCAAGGCGCAGCTTGTGCAAAAGATGAAATACATGATACATTTATACAAAGTGCAATAGGAAAGGTACAGACATGAAAGGTTATGGTAATCAATTATAAGCTAAATTAAACAGATATTTCTTGAGATTGTTTTTTAACACTTCAGCAGAGCTGCTATTCTTAATCTATTGAGGGAGAGTATTCCATAACGAAGGCCCAGCATGAGCGAAGGTTCGCTCGCCCTACTTTGTTTTAACCCTAGGAGTAACAAGTAAGCCAGAGTTTTGAGAATGTATTTTACATGTAAGTGGCCTATGTTAATTTTCATGGAAACAAACAACCAGCAATATACATTTATATGTATTTCTGTCATTCATGAAATATTAATATATACATACAGTATACAGCAATTTGAGTAGAAAAATTAGTCAAATAAAATTTCCTCATTTGTGCCATTTTTTGTTTCTCTCTGAATGTAGCGAGCTGAAACAGGGCAACCAACCAAACAGAAGCAGACTACACAGAGTAAGCTAGAACATATCTGGAACTCACTTCAGATGCCTGACAATCTAAGACTAGATATGGCTATCAAATACAGCTCAGATGATCACATACCACTACTTGAAGATGTAAGTTATTATATCTCACTTCTTTTTGTCAAAACAAATGCTATTTTGATCATGAATACTATATGATGTATAGCACTTATAAAATTCCCTTCTTATTCATAAGTGGTTAATCTTTTATTGGATGTCGTGATAAACAATATTTAAGAAAGATTAACAATGTTTCAGAAGTTATCATATAGCATCATTTTATAAAATTCAACAAACATCAATATATTCTATTTCACTTTCTGTTAATTGTGATAGGAAATGCTCATAGGGAAAATGACAGAACAAAGTTACCCAAGTATATAAATTTCATCCTATTTTGTTTGCCTGGAAATTAAGATTTTACTTTCAAGTATAAGATCAACAGCCAGAGAAACCTGCCTCTTTAAAAGATGTAATATCCCCAAGGACACTCTTTATTTTGAAATCCTGATAAAGTGCAGTGAAGATTCCATAGAGAGACTTGTCTAAGTGAGCAGACCTTTCAATAATGCTTGAGCTCTAGCTTTCTCACAGTTCCAATGATCCCATTCTCTTTACATGCACCTAGGCGATCTATGCTTGGCAGCTGGCTGTCAATGTGATTGTACAGAGAGAGAATATCTTGACTTCTCTAGAGAGCTTTGAGAGATTCGCATCAGATCCAGACAGGTTCTTCCAAAAAGGTGAGTCTGGTATTATATAGAAAATTCACAAATAAACCCCTATTGTCTTTGATGTGGTTTTCATACCACCATGTATCATTTAGCTACCTTATAAGGGGAGTGTTTCACAAAGACTAAGAAAAATATGGCAGGCTGTTCATGCCACTGTTTTCTCTCACCATACACTGGCATTGGTCTCTCAAGAGACATATAAATCATGGTCACAAATCTACAGAATTTACATTTGTTGATAGTTCATCATTGAAGGAAAAAACACTATCTAAAGATCATAATGGTGAGAGCAACCAGTGGCATGTACGGCCTGCCATAGTTTAGTCCAACTTAAAGTCAATCTTATTCTTTGTGAAACACTCCCCTTATAAGGTAGCTAAATGATACATGGTGGTATGAAAACCACATCAAAGACAATAAGGGTATATTTATGAAGTATAAGGGAAAATATATAGCATGGATCATTCTGCAAAGGGAAACATTTGATTAATTTATTCCAATATAAGACAGAGACACGTTGATGAATATTTACAGTATGATTCATTTGTTTATCGTTTTAATAATTCTTACAGGTCACAGGGGTTCATCTGTAGCGAGACTAGAAGAAGCAAAGCAGAGAAGTGCTTTGTATGCTGCCCTCTCTGCAGTAGAAACAAAGGTCAAGAAAAAGGTCAAGCTCATCGATAAGAAGTTCCATGACACAGTCACATACCAGGTGGGTGTCAATCTGTTTATAATGGCTTGTCATGACTGGTTCTTATCTGAAGTGAAGAGGTTTCAATTTGAGTTTGTATTTCATGATGATCGGCCGTAGTACGGTATGTGATGTCATAGCAATCATATGTGGTTTAGCTGTGAAAATGTGTAAACCTCAGTCAATGTGATTAGTATTTTTTTAAATGTACAAATAACATAATATGTGGATGATTAGCGATCATAACATTTGTTATACCTTCTAAAGTTACCTATCTGTCATGCTTCATCCTCGTCCAATTGTGTAAATCCAATTAAACACCTCCTTTTTTTTAAATGGGGAACTTAGACCCCCCCCCCCCAACAAAAAAGAAGGAAAGAAAAACAAAAATTAGGATAAATGCAGTTACAAAGACTTACAATGATCATACGTTTCACTTTACTTAGGGGCGGCCTTACTTGGAGAAGATGAAGTTGGACTGCACAGAGATGCTTTATTGGTTGCAGCAAGAGAGACGAGAGAGGGCGATAGAACGTACGGCCATGCTACAGGATGTAAGAATACCTCTCACAGACCTGCCGCCAATACGGAATGTGCCTTCATCAATTTCTCAATGAATTTCATTGGAGCTTCATTGAGACGGTCATAATGTGATTAGTGGAATCATAATAAATGTAGATCTATAAACAAGACTGAAGGAAAATATCAATAAAATATCTATTAGATCACCTTGAATAAATGTTATGCATTTCATATTTTCTGTGATAGTTAAAGCTCATTTATAATAAGGATGATTATAAAAATGATGATAATGACAGTTTGATTTATGAAGCACTCTTTCCTCAGCATGATTCAAAGTATAATACTATTTAAAAGTCTATTGGATAGACATTTCCTCATCTAATGTGGTCAAAGGTATAGATCTAGATTATGGCTGTATAATTAAGATTTTTCTTGGAGTGATAAAAATTACAATGAGGATTAAACTCACCGGTACTTTGATAGTCAATCCGAAGTAATTTTTCATTGCAACTTTGATAAAATGTATGATTTGATTGGCTAAGTGGGAATTCTCATTTGGCTTAAAAAAATTGAAATAGTTATGTTTTATTAACTGCTATATCACAAAGGACTGTAATTTGACAAATATTCTATTATTGATCAGTAGCAAATAATACATACATGTTTTCCTGTGGTCTGTGTATTAGAGAAAAACATCTAACTTGGATTTTGATTTCTCTTAAAGAATATTGAGGAGTATATTAATCATTAATGTACACTAAGGCAGCACATAACAATTGTAAGACTTAACACCTTGATAAGTAGAAAGTGATTGTGTTCAATGCTGAGCCAATTTGTATGACTTGTTGGGTAGCAAAGACATTTATTCTTTTTTTAAACAAAGCTATAATGTTCACTTTCTTCCAATTGTCAAAAGAGTTGAATTAAATTCAGGAGCTATCGATAATAATCGTAATAACTGCATTGCATTCCTTTATAATAACTGCAGTATATATTTGTAAACGTCTGCCAGCGGAAATTGACTATCATGTGTGTCCTAGTTGTTAGCTTGTGCCTTTCATGATTTGAGTAAATTAATCTTCCAATGTGTGGAACTGCATGACTTTAATTTATAGAAAAAATATTTGACTACCATGGTGCGTGATTTATATATTATTTTCAAGGAATAACCAAAACACTTCATGCTTTGTCACTGTAAAGATATATTTATAACCATAAGCAAAAGCTTTGATACATATTATTTTTCAATTACTTGTCACCAAAGTTATGAATGATATATGTTGAACTGAGTTAATTCTATTTCTTCCGCAAAAATGTTGTGTTACATCCGTCCACCAGTTTACCTAGAGAATATTTCTTTCTCATGAGCGTTTGGTGCTGCACAAAGTAATTGCTATGTCTAAATGAGTATTTTTATGAAAAGTTTTCAATATGGTACTTGTAGACAAAGTATTTTCATTTGGTACTTTCATGATAACCAAAGAAATTTGTTCATATGCCGTCCAGTAAAGACCTGATGTTTTATTGTTTATCAGTTTATACATATGATCCAGCTTCATAATAATTTCAGAGCACATGTGAACAGCTTATTTGTACTTTTGAGTACTCTTTGTCATGGATCACTTTCAACTACCGGTAATGTGCTTTTATATAATTGAAATCTGCTGAGTGGTTTTTATTTTGTTTCTATACAATCCACAACTACATTAGCTCTAAAAACAATTATTATCATGGTCTTAATATTTGATGCATAATAATTAATTATTGATATGTAATGTTCAGACAACCTGTAAACATAGATAGTGTATATGAATTAGTTGACACTACCAGTATACGGTATTTAACTTTATACCAAATCTTTTGATGAAACATAGTAACATAAAATCACCTTGAAAAGAATAAATGATGTACTATATGCATGCACACCTCTCACCAAAAATCTTACATGTATAAATGTTTAAAATATATCACCTAAAATTGTATATTTTGTATTATATTTATATTTGTATATAATGTATATATATATACATTATCAATATGATTATGTTTGATACTTATGTAAATAGTGTATTTCTCTTGATGAAGTCTATAAGCTTGTATGAAAAGATACATATGTGTCATATAATATATCTGAATACCATATTGTGTTTGTGTTATTTTTTATTTTGTTGCTTTATGAAAAACGATTCAAAGTCGATATTAGTTTGAATTGCATCAAATTGAAATTGAATTTATTCAGTCACAGTGAATCTACACTACACTACACTGAGAATTTATTAAAAGTATGAATTGAATAACGGTAACAAAAGAGCATTAGCAAGCGTAACAACATTAATGAAATAACATAAGTGATAAAAAACGTCTGTAGTACTTGAATAAATGGGGAGAGTGAAAAAATAGATATAGAGAAGGGATATGGGAATATATAGAGAGAGAAATGAGAGGAAGTGCGATGACTCAAGAAGATGCAGGCAGCCTGTGGGAGGGAAATATGACGAGAGAATTTTAAAAAGCTAGGGGAGGCTACGAGAAAGAGAATGGCATGGGAGAGGAGAGACGGGAACAATGCATCCACCTTTTAAACTTGCATTCTCAAGATTTTACACAAGACTTTTTTGCTTTTATTTTAAACACCAACAAAAACAATTAAATACTTATCACATATTACTTTAGCCCAGTGCGGCCTAGCGCCCTCTGCTGCTCATCCACTGTATATGTAAGCACATACAGTTTAACGTGCATCGACTTTCATCATGGCAGCGCTCATGAAACCCACGTTTCTCAACAAATTATCCACTTTAATGGCAACAATTTCAAGAACAAATCAACTACGATGTAGCTGTAACATGAGGACATCAATTTTACTTCAATGTGAGTATAGATATATTGATGGAAAGATGTGACGTGATGCTATTATTTCCTCAGCTCGGCTTAGCAGCCATCACCATGTCGACTCTCACTCGGTCGCCCAGGCCTGGCGGCGTAGCCATTGGGTGACGTGAGGCGAGGGGACCTACTCCTGTTGTGAAGCAGCAAATTGAGGAATTTGAGCTAGGCCTACGTGCTAGTTTTTCAATTACACGATTCATCAAATTCAGTGTTTTAGACGATTTATTAAAAGTAGCTGTGGCTGCTGTGCGAACACTTCAGACCTAACTTTATTTTCAGCATTGCAAAGGTGAAACTTTTGAGTTTGATTGGATAATTTGATCAAAATTCAATTCTCGGAAACATTGTAAGTAATGATTATTATCAATACACAGTTACAACAGTGCGCATTCGTACAACGCAGCGCGCAGGCAGTGATGTCATCATAATTTGCATGGGCGCAATCTTAATTTAGGCATAAACCACTGACCTCTAAAGGTCATTTGGTTTGTTTACTCGTAAATTAAAATTATAAAATGGCGCCCATAACCGTAAACTGGTGTATTACAAAACGCTTAAATACAGCCCCGGCATACACAGCACCTAGTAAAGAGCTCTCTGAACATTGCTGAGATGTGTGACATCACAGGTTGGGCGCGATTTGCACTTACGGTGCGATTTACAGTACAATGAATGTTATTGTCAAAACAATGTCGGTTCCAGCTAAAATGCAAAGACACTTAATTTTTGTGTTGCCAATTTGATACTCACTTTACGGTAAAAGTGATTAGTGTCAAAAGGTGCATTGGCAATAAAGAGAATTTGAATTCATCTTTTATCATATTGAATTTCGATTGCATACAGCTAAAAGAACGCTCCTGTCTGATGCCTACCATGGTGACAATATTTGGATGAACAGAGAGAGGATTGTCGTTGATATGGGTAAGATGAAACATTTTAAATCACTTTGTAAACTGATTCATATAAATCTTGCAGTTTGATTAATTTGTACATTGCATTTGCTTTACATCTATGTGAGAACAAAATAGTCATCTTTGGTGAATAATTATGGGGGATGAGAATAAACACTTGAATACTTGCCTCATTTGCCTTCAGATTGAAAAGAAAAAAGTAGGGATTTGAGCTTGGCCGAATTTCTGTAGAAAGCCCCATGGATGTAAGCACTAAGAAACATAATATAATTTATGTAAAAATACCAAGAGGAGACATTTTTCCCTGGCCAGGGTACAAACAAGGGTATTGAATGTGTCAAAATGTATACTATCAACAAGAAAGTGTTTTGGTTCTCCAGAGCCAACTCCTGAGATGTCTTTCATCTTACCTTATTTGGACTATTAGCAAAGAAATTCCTGCTGAGAAACTGGTATAAAACAGTGTTTCCATCTCACCATAAAATATCATTGTAAATCAGGATCAGTGATAATAATACATAGTACATTAAGAACCTCAATTTATATGAACTTTGATTTTGATTTGTTACAGATGAAATGAAGATCAACCTAGACAGAGCATTCTATGATCTGAAAGAACCAGTCATGTCTGTGGAATTACACAAGGTACTTTTTTTTAACACAGGTTTTGCACTGTTGATAGCTCATAGCTTGGCCTGTTTATATGCTGGTAGGTTTGAGATCATTCTCTTGCAATGTGTGAAATCTGCCCTAATAATTATTCCAGACCTTGGTTCAAACAAATATCTTTCTTTGTCTGTCTGTTTGTTTTTATTGGATTTTCTCCTGATGAGGTAAATGTACAAAAGATTTTGTGTAGTTGATTCCTTTATCTGCCAATACCAATTAGAGTAGGAAAAAAATTGGTAAAAATCAGATTAATAATCGCACCTCCTCTAATTTACATTTTCACATTGGATTTCCTTTTTATATGATAATGTGTGTCTGTCAATGTGAAGTTGAGAACTAAATCTGCTGTTTCTCTTTTTTTCTACCCCAGTTTATTGACAATGTTTATGATAAGGAAGAACTGGATGTAGCTGAAGGTTACTTGAATAGGTGAGTTAAAAACAAATTCCTGATACATTTTTTACAGCGGGTACCTATTTTGGTGCCATATTTGTCTAGTAGCATTTTTGAGAGCATCCTAAGTTTCAATAATTAACCCCTCCCCCAAAAAAATTACAAATATAATAAATAAAATAAAAAATGAAAATAACAAAGAAGAGGTAGTCATGGACAGTGTATGAGAGTTAGTAGGAGACAAATAAATCTGATAAAAAAATTGCATGTCATTGAAATAAATGTCTTAAAGGTAGCTGTGATATCCGTTGGAAACAAAACACTTACACTGTTAAAATGTTCTATATCTCTGTGACAGATGCCAAAGGATTTTGGCAATTATTAATTGAGCTAGTTGTCCAGTGTTTTGAGCAATAGAACACATAGTTTCACTGCATGTCACACTCTTTAACTTTCTTGATCTAAATCACTCATTTATTCAAAATGCTTTACGCCCACTTTAGCCAATTTCTCTCAAACTGTATCGCCCAAACTAAAGATTAACTTTCTGTTCAGAAGAAATATATATTTGAGTTTTGAGTTGAGGAGTAATCTAGCTATGCAGGATAAGACTTAGTACATGTATGCCACTCCAAACGTATTACCATTGGGTTTTGAAGTATATCAATCTGATGATCTCCCCCTCTCTCTTTCCTGCTCACTTTCAAACAGTTACAGACATTCACCTGTAGCCCATCATTTAAGACCATCAACCGTACATTCATGGCTGAGGCTATGCATAGAATTAGGCCACCACAAACAAGCTCTCAAGGTCCTGCAAAATAAGGTTAGTATCTGCAATGAATACTGCATGTTAGCAATGTGTTCTTTATAAATGCACCTCTTTCCTCATCTGAGTCTGTTGAAGTTAAAAATATTCTTGCCTAAAATTTCAAAAATGGTATATTATTGTGCAATAGATAAAATGATGTACCATGTTGATTAGATTTAGAGTTTTCCTGTGGAATTTATTTTTAATTTCATTAAATTATTTATTTTTGTTGAGATTGAGAATTGTATCATGGGCAAGATGATATATTTTCATCTTAATGTAGCTGCGTTTATATGTCTTTCCTTTGCAGAGGGACTACGGACTGTTCCCTGAGAACTTCACATATAATCTTCTTCTGGATACATTCTTAAAAGCAGATGATATCAAAGGTAAGACCCTCAGAACAAACATTATTTATTGTTAGAAAAATGTATAGGTTTTTGTGTTTAAAGGTACTATGTCCCTTTTGCAGCCAACCTCAAATTCTGTAGAACTTTGCAGGAATTATGAATATGTCATGTATGTCCTATCTGTGAAATTTAAACATTAGCAGTGTCCTCATATTCAAATTATGCAAGGAAACCCGTTTACTTGCTAGACTTCACTGTCAGACACTATTGAGTGACTGACTGGCTTTTTTTCTTCTTTGGTAATAACATACATGAAAAGAGTTGTAAAGGGTACATGAGCATTTGTCTACATCAATAACCCACTTCTTGTGATGGCCAAGATTAAACTGATTGAATCTTTGAGCAGCATAAAACGTATGACCATTCGGTACAATTGTCTGAAAATCAAGACTATTACTTTTGGGCTCTATAGCCCTAGAGTCGATTTGACAACTAATAGTCGTTATTTTCCCACTTGATGACATTTTCGAGCCCCACCTGTTTTAGGGAAGTTCTAAATTAGTATTATCTTTCAAATGCAGTTGGAATTTAACTTTTTCATATGCCTCCGTTACGAAGTATCCGGAGGCATTATGTTTTCGGGTTGTCCGTCCGTCCGTCCGTCCGTACGTCCGTCCGTCCGTACGTCCGTCCGTACGTACGTACGTCCGTACGTACGTACGTCCCGTTCTCGTGATCGCGTTATCTGAAGAACTGGTTGATGGATTCCTGCCAAACTTTGGTCATGTATGTATCTTGTAGAGCCGATGAACTGATTAGATTTTGGGGTCACGAGGTCAAAGGTCAAAGGTCACAGGGCTCATTATGTATGCAAAACGAGCTCGTGATCGCGTTATCTGAAGAACCGATTGATTGATTGCTGCCAAACTTAGGTCATGTATGTTACTTGCAAAGCCGAAAAACTGATTGGATTTTGAGGTCACGAGGTCAAAGGTCAAAGGCCACAGGGCTCATTATGTATGCAAAACGAGCTTGTGATCGCGTTATCTGAAGAACCGATTGATGGATTGCTGCCAAACTTAGGTCATGTATGTTACTTGCAGAGCCGATGAACTGATTAGATGTAGGGGTCACAAGGTCAAAGGTCAAAGGCCACAGGGCACATTATGTATGCAAAAACAGCTCGTCATCGCGTTATCTCAAGAACCGATTGATGGATTCCTGCCAACTTAGGTCATGTATGTTTCTTGCAGAGCCAATGAACTGAGTAGATTCTTGGTTCATAAGGTCAAAGGTCATGGGCTCATTATGTATGCAAAAATAGCTTGTAATCACAATATTCTGAGAACCTGTTAATGGATTACAATTGAACTTGAATTCAAAAAATTTCTTCTGTTTTGGTTTGTAAAATTGCTCTATGACGGAGGCATCATTTTCGACTGCGCGCAGTCGAAGTTCCATCTAGTTTTGGCCTGCAAATGGGACATAGTACCTTTAAGTGGTTAAAAATGGGATAACTTGAAAATGACCAATCTTTCTACCAATTTAGAAGTGTGTGTCACAGATCAGTTCTTTAGTCCAAATCTGATTACATGTCATGTGTAGTATGTTGTACCACAATTTGATATAAATCTATGTTTGACTCTTTTCTCTGTAACAGGTGCTTGTGATGTTGCTATAGTAATGATGAAAGAAGAGACATTAGAGGACTGTCCTCTATCTCAGCTCCTATCACTAAACGCCTGTCATCAATACTTCAAGATGGGAGATATTCCTGAGGCAAGTGTTCATCAAATGTTATCATATTGGATATAAAACATCAAAATCAATGCTCTATTTGTTACATTAATGTCTTTAAGAGAGGCTTATTAAAATCTGATGTTTTTTTCATACAGGAGGCATATCTTATCTCATCTAAGATAATCCTTAATAGAAAACAAATCAACTTTTAGACTTCACTTATTCAGATCTAAAATACAAAGCTATGATGCCAATGATTGTGATGACATTAATGATATGAAAGCAAAGTTAAATGGTATATAATGGAATAGGAATGATATGATTCATGTATGTTATTGTAGAGTAAGCCAACAGGGAGATGTATTGGTGCTTGCACATGCAACATATTATGGAGTGAGTTATAAAGCTTAATAATTTTGTTTAACATAATCAGACAACCATTAAGTCCGGCCCTTTCTTTAAAGTTGCTCAAGCTTGGGTATGTAGAGGGCAGCACATGGACATACGCACTGGAGCGTAATAGACCAGTTCACGGTTAGCACCTTATCTGCAATGACCCCGAATATCCACAGATCTTCTAAACATGAAGAGGTCCCACTCTGTACATTTTGAAATAATCACCCCTACAGCGATGGAGGTGCTTTTTAAATAGCCTTTGTTCCCCCTTTTCAAAGAATACTTCCACCTTTGTACCATGGAGTGCATTGAATGTGCATGAATGAATAATGTTACATAACTTTCATGAGCACGTATCCAGTATTTCGTCTCCATGTATTTCAAAATTTGTTCTGCAATGACCTTTATCTGCTCATGCTCAGACTGCAACCGTGAACTGGCTTATACCCATTGACTCAGTGTTATGTAGTGATCGGGAGTGATCACCAAGTTGCCTACTTCATGAACGACTATATACCCATGCATGAACATCTTTGATATGAATACGCTGCCTTTGTTGCATGTACAGGATGAGAGATGGGACATTGGTATGACCCTAGCCGATGCTAGTCGTAGAGTGGACGGCATCCTAGCACTCAGCTACCATGCTATAGGTTATGCTATGACCGGGGATATGAACAAGGCCATTGGAGTACTCCAGACTGTGTCTCAGGATGATGGATCCAAGATTGCACAAGAAGCAGTGAGTAGGATGGAATCATCATTTGTTCATTGTGTATTGTCCATATATAGAGATTTGTCTTGTTTGCTCCACTACAAAAGGAAAACATATATACATAATTTTTTAAAAATGACAAAGAGATACATAATGATGGATAATATACGTAGGTATGTACATTAACAATTTTTGTAAAAAAGCGGAGAATAGGTGATCGAATTTACAAGTTCTTATATTAAAGCCCTCAATACCCTTCTGTGATAGTATTGATGCAATGATTTATCCCTCACTACAGGCTACCCTCAAATGAAAGCAGAACTTTTATCTTTAATTTCTTATAGATAAATGAAAAAATATTGATGTAAACATATAAACATCTAACTTTAATTTATTTGATCCAAAGTAAGGTTATTAGGTTTTTATCTTGAATGTTTGTGTATTGTAAGGAAAGCTGTATTGAAATGTTATTATGTGCAATTTGGTTGTTTTTATTGTGTAATGTTATTACTATTTTGAAAAGTAGAAATAAAACTTGAATTCCAGGCTTCCTGGGAGTAATTTCAGTTTGTAAAGAAATTTCAGCTTGCACCCAAAAAATAAAGATTGCGTGCTCGATCTTATGATTAAAAACAAGTCAGAAAATGTCTTGAAACCTTAAAACTTGATACCTCATGACGACTTTTATCTGAAAACTTTAAGTTTTACTTAAGGAACTCTGTGGTTCAGGGAATAATGTTTTCAAATGACATTGCTTTAAAATTATTGTTTATTGATGATATTACCTGTATCTTGTTGCACCACAGCTTGACCATATAGCCACAATCCTTCAAAGGATGGAGGATCAGAATACAGAACTCTTGAATTTATATGAGGTAAGGTGTCTGTACCCCCAATGATTAATGCTAGAGTATTTTCTCAGTCGTCTACCCTGAAAACATATTACCTGTAACACAGTAGTAAGGAAAAGAGCTCAAAGGGCAAAGAGCATTTTTAATGGATATACAACTATTTTCCTGCAGTACATTGACGTTGTGAGCATAATAAAAGATTGCCATGAATATGTGATCTTGTATTATAAAACACACACTAGTACATGTAAGTCATAATAAGTAGTGGAAGAGATCTAACTCGATTTATGTAGGTTATTACACATAAAGAGATTAAGATTCAGATACCTTTAAGACATAACCACCCCCCCGGCAGTTTTATTGCAGAGTTCTTTCTTTATACATGATGAAGTAGAGGTGTCTTTGTCGAGTGGATATGTTTTGATGTAGCCTTTTGCCTACTGAAACTCCTTGGGTCCATACAGGAATGAGAGAATTCAGTATTCAGTCGATTTAAATGCAAGTTATTTGAGGTGTTATCTCCAATGTGTCAATAATCCATTCATATTCTTTCCATTGATTTCAGACCACCACCGAGACACTCGCCACCCAAGGCAAAGTGACAGGAGACACTCTAGACTTGCTCCTGGAGTCAGAGATCTCCACCCGGCTCCCTGACCTGGAGCGTAAGGATGCTGAAGGGTACACCTCCATCCTGGAGACATGGCATGGAGAGCACATGGAGGCCCTGGAGATGCAGAGGATAGCTGAGCTGGATGTAGAGAGGGAGGCCAAGGAGAAACGTCTGGATGAACTCCTGAGGGCTACAGGAGGCATCAAGTACTGGGCTGAGAAGATAGACGAAGCCAAGCAAAGGAAAGCAGCCAGTGAAGTTGAGATTGAGCATAGGTAGCACACTAAATTGACAAGTGCCACTGGACTAGCATGGAATGAAGAACTGTTATCTTGCATGTGGCAGTCAATATGCAATGAATGATGTATATTCCGTGATAGATAAATAGACGTTTATGGAAGAAAGAGACCGAACTGAGACATTTGGTTGGAGGAGATGGAGTATCTCTCCAATCCTGAGGTACACTGTGATGCATCTACAATGTATCCCTTAAAGGCCCACTGTACTACTTGTAGCTACTTGCTCCCTCTATATAGAAAACAATGCCTAATCGGTGACCATCACACCCCCATGATCCTCTTTTTCTTATGTTAATTGAGAGCTGAGTTGATGAGATAGCCACCTGTCAGTGACCTTCCTGGGTGGTTTAATCCCTTCTAGCCAAACTAGTACAGATGACCTTTAAAGCTAGTTCACATGTGATGCAGATAGCCTCAAATAACTACTGCTGCTGTCCCATATGGGACTGATAAGAAGAAGAATAATGGAGCTGTGTTCAACAAAGGCCCCTATGCATACTTACTAGACTGTATGTTATAAGATTCAGAAATGTGATGTGCACTAGTCTCAAGTAATTCTGTTTTTCCTCATTTTATTTTTCATAGATGTTTGACTGTATCATATGTGAGCAAGGTTTTATTAAAAAAGATTGTGATTTATGCAACAATGTATGCAACAGTTATCTCGAAGGATATACCAGGGCTCAACACTAACGATAGTCTGAATGACCCTAGAAGTTTTACTTCAAAGCCCCAGAGTTCTAAATGTAAACATTTAAACAAGGATCTGGTGAATACAGAAATAAGAATTTTCTTTTTATACCCCAAAAATTAAAACAAAAAATGAGAACCCTCTGACTAAGTTTGGAATGCCAACTAGATGAGAATGGCCAAACTTAAGATATTACAGGTTTGTGATTGGTTTGAGTAAATGAATAATTTCAATAACAATAATTAGTTGTGTTACCTATTGTGTTTTTGCAGTCTTTAAATAAGACAGTTGATAAATCATTTCTGAAAAAATTGATACAGATCACCACAGAATTGGTCAAATAAATAGAGGTACTCAATTGTAATTTTACTCACCACCCAACGTATGAAAGATTCATTTTTAAAAGATTACCTTGGAGAGTTATCTGTCATTTTTCTGCAGCCAAGTTTACACAATCCCCTTTTCTTGTGTCACTCTTTCTTTCTGTATATCTGTTTTCAAATGTGCATAAAGACAAGTCAGTTCTATTATATGCTTTTCACACTGGCAATATTTTCCTTAACCCCGTACTATAGGTGGGGTTAAGGGGGGGTCTTAACCCCACCTATAGTACGGGGTTAAGCCTATTCCACTTTCTGTTCAGACTGGTTTTTACCAAAGTGGACTAAAGTTGGCTAACCCCACCTATAGTACGGGGTTAACTAACCCTGCAAAATAGCAGGGCTAACTCCGCAATTGTGGTGCTAACTCCTGCTAACCCCGCAATTGCGGTGCTAAGCAAATGATTGAGAACAGAAACGAAAAATAGTCCGGTACTACGCAATGGAGCGTATCGCAGCTGGCCAGATGCGAAGTATGTCCTATCATAACATACACGATATCCGGGGTTAACGAAATGCAGTGAGAACAGCAGGAATTTTCTTATTCCGGAATAGGCGCTAGTACGGGACTAAAAACAGCGAGTGTGAAAAGCCAAAAAAATAGTCCGGGGTTAAGGATAGTACGGGGCTAAGCAAAGTACGGGGTTAAGCAAAACCAGTGTGAAAAGAGTATTAGAGAGGAAAAATAGATTAGTGAATGATGAAGAGAGAAGAAGAGAGAGAGAGAAAGAGAGAGAGAGAGAGAGAGAGAGAGAGAGAGAGACAAAGACAGAGACAGAAAGAGAGAGAACGTTGCAAGAAAAAGGGATATAGAGAGAGGAAGATAGATGAGATAGAAAAGAAGTGGAGAGGATGTGAACACATTAGAAAACAGATATACAGAAAGAAAGAGAGAAAAGAGGGAATTAAAGTAATGTTATAGATTGTGGGGACTGACTCTTCTAAATTGAAAACATGATTTGTTTAATGGTGTGGTTTTAATTCTACATTCTCCCCCTCTCTCTCTCTCTCTCTCTCTCTCTTTCTCTTTCCCTTCTTTTGTACATATTATGCTCTTGCATCATGTTATCTGAGAAGACATGATGTGGATCATTCAATAAATCGAGTTGAATTAAATTGTTGATGAATGTGCATGTGTTTGTGGCTTTCTCTGAAGGTTGGAGGAAATGTGTGTATTACAAATTTCATCAAACTTAGGGCATCTAAAGTAAACTGATTTTTAAAAAAAATGCAGTGTGAGGTATCGCACTTTCATCAACATAGCCTGATGCACTCATGGTAAAGTGCAACGTGCTGTACTTTAAAGAGAAATTTGAGTTCTGGTTTTATTTGCGAAAAATGTTTTATGAGCTTTCTTTTTTTTATTTTAATGTTAGTGTGGAAAAATATAATCAAAGAAATGAACCCCTGATAAGGTAAAATATTTAGAAATACGAAAAAAAAACAATAATTTAAACGTTAAGACCAAACGTTCATGTGTTTAGTCTCACATACACTGTGTGTCATTCATGTAATTTTCAGCATGACTGAGTAGATTCTTATTACTCAGATCATTATAAAAACCTCACGGTATACACCAATTCCTATGTTCTATATAATTAATCTTTTTTCACTTCTTCCAGACGGTTCTTTGCAATGCAATAGAACGACCAGAACTTAACTTTATCTCTAAGACAATTTAGAGTCCGTATACAGGGCTGCTCAGATACATCATCCAACCTGTACCCCTGCACCCCTCCCCCATCCCCCCCCCCCCCCCCCCCCCCCCTCCTGCCTCCCCTCGTTTGAAAGCACAGGGCAAAAACTTGGCTAGGGACTATGTACATGGATAAGTGGGGCATACTATATACACATATATGAACCAACTCTCAGGCTGCTCAAATATAATTACACCTCCGCTGTTTATCAATTTCAGGATACGCTAGTAATTTTAGGAGTTTTCAAGCACCTATGTCTAAACGAAATTACACGCCCCTTTCTAGTTCCTGTGTCTGTTTTGCTCTAGCGCCAGCTTGCGTCGAAAAGCGTGCGAATATTTTTTCGCTCTCCCACCTATTTTCTTTTCTTACACGGGGATCCTGTTAAACACGGGAGAGCAGCGCACCGCAGTTGTTGATATGTTGCTGCGATACGTACATGCACGATTGTAAATGGTGAATATTCATCTAGGCCTAGTCGTCAATGGAGAAACTGTAAACTTGTATTGATTTATGTCTAGTTCCACCACCGCAAGATTTCTTTTTCACATGTTAGCTGAGACTGAAGATTGAATATGTAGATTTGCACTGTTTAATGCGTATTTTCGGCACATGACAAGGCCTGAAACGACCGTCAGTTACCGTGGAAGTTCTCCGAGTCTGAGGCTCTCTGTTCAGGTTAAATAGCCCGTGACCGACCGGGCCGTGTGTGAAGAAAATCTTCAATTCCATTCAGCTTCATCGACAGCCAATACAAAATGACGGAGGTTGTTGACAGGCGTCCAGAAGATGTTGGCCAAATTCTTGTGAAGGTATGTCTTTGTTCTTATTTTTTACAATAGAAATCCCCTTTGCCAGAAACAGTAGGGGCGCTGGTCCGCGTCCGAGAATAAGGATCGTCTTCAAGTTTATGAAGACTTTATAGGGATTGATATCGTGATAACCGATACCGATATGATCGGGAGAGGGATCGAGAGAGAAGAAAATGGACGACTGTCTGTAAGATTCCGATTGTTGTTTCTAAGGCCGTTGTCGCCTTATTAAAGGTGTTTTAACCCAATTCCTGTCTGAGATCTAATCCTTCCTGTCTGTACATAGTGAACCCCCTTATACTGGCGTAATCGGCAGGGATTTCTTTGTGCTATGGCTTTTTTTGGAAATCTAAGGATTGGGTGAGAAATTAATTGACACGGTTGTTTCATGCAGTGTGTGACTGTTGCCCCACTTATTGTGCCGGCCTATAGGCCTACTAGTGCTTGTTGATTTAGCAGTAGATCTAGGGTCTAGATCTAGGTCTAGACTCTACAGATAGACTAATCAAAGTTAAGGTAGCTATTAAACAAGTAGTCTAGTATTGAAGTAACATTAAAAATGAAATAGAAAAATAAATAAATACATAGGGTCTAGACTAGACTAAAATTAAATAAATAAAAGTTTGATTAAAATAGTAGATTTAGAAGTCTAGACCACTCTCACTAACCATACACCATACACTAAAACACACACGTTCAATAGGTCACTAAATTAAATTTAAACTAGATCTAGACTAGTCTAGTATAATATTCAGTGCTCAATAAAAGATAAAATTAACCATGACAGACCGATCAGCATATCTCGGCAGATTTACAGCTGAGCACATAGCACACTTGTGTGAATTGAATCATATTGATACCAATGCTGTAAAGACCAAGCAAGAGCGGATCTCATGTTTATGTGATTTGCCTAAGCTGGTAGAGGATGAACCAAAAAATACAGGTGTGGGTGTGGATGACCTTTTGCGGGTCATGAAGCACCTTGAAGATTCTCATCATCATGAGACTGAGAAACTATGCAAATCCTTACTGTCTGCTGCAATCGGTAGCTCTGCACAAACTGGTCCTCCGTTAAAGGGATTACATCAGCTAAGTAACGATGATGATATGGTGTGCTACCTTAGCACTTTTGAGCGACTAGCCCTGGCAGCAAACAAGCCAAAGAGTGAATGGCCTCGGCTGTTAGAACCATATCTTACTGGAAGAGCTCAGCAGGCATTCCACGCCCTGAGTACTAGAGAACAAAACAATTATGATGATGTTGTCCTGGCCATAAAGAGAAGGTACCACCTCACTCCGGAGGCATACAGAATAAAGTTCAAAAAAGAACATAAAAAGACCAATGAAAGTTATGAAGAATTCGCTAGTCATTTACAAGGTTATTTTTTGAAGTGGGTTGAGATACCCCAGGAGGCAGTAGAGATGCCTGAAGTCTCTAAAGGGCTCAATCTGGTCATGATTGACCAATTCTTAGAGAGAGTACCCGATGAAGTATTGAGGTTACAGCTAAGGGAGCTACAAGCCACATCTCTCATGGTAGTTGCGCGCAAGGCGGACGAATTAGTAATCCAGAGGGGGGCGAATGCGGGTAACACAACCCCAGGGAGTGATCCCTCCACTCCACGACGGACAGGTGCAGGCAGTAACCCCACGGGACGTAGATCCTTTAATGCTGCCTGCTACCGGTGTGGCCAGCTCGGGCACAGAATTGCCAACTGTCCGGTACCTCCGGGGGCCACAGGGTCGGGTTTCCAGGGAGGACCTCCACAGGGCTTTACTCGAGAACCGTCACCAAGGTGCAATTTCATTGCAAAGGATAGGGGTGATGCTACAATTGCAGATGTTGTTGTTCAGGGTCTAGATGACAGAGTGGTGAAGACCCAAGCCCTGCTGGACTCGGGGTCAGAGGTTTCCCTGGTCACTTTTGAATTGTGTAAGGAGTTAGGGGTAGAGGTTACTCGTGAAACTGAAGGGGTGTTAGGCATGATCAATGAAACCGCCTTAGTGCCTGATGGTTTAGCATCCCTGCAAGTGGGTCTAGGAGGCAGCACTGCGACTGAGGTCTTTCATGTGGTTGGTAGGCTCCCAGTACCTGTCCTCCTTGGTGCTGATTTTGCTGAAAAGGTGAAACTTATCATAGATTTTGGCAGTCGTAGTTATAGCACAAGTAGCAATGGGGCCAATGAGCGGCCAGTTAAGTTCTCGTTGAATGGAGGGCAGGAGATGTCACATGTTGAAGAAGAAGTCGATGTTCATCTCCAAGCTGAGGATGAGATGAAGAAACTTGATCTAACTGAAGCAGATAGACAGAAATTAGATCAGGTTTTTCAAGACTTCCCAGATGTGTTTAGTGAGGTACCTGGTCATACGAACATGGCTATTCATAGAATTGATGTAGGAGGGGCTTCTCCCATCCGCTCTCACCCGTACAAGGTGAGTCCTGAGAAAAGACAAGTTCTTGATGAAGAGTTGGATAAGCTTCTGGACATGGGGAAGATTGAGCCTTCAGATTCACCTTGGGCCGCTCCTGTAGTGATGGTCCCTAAGAAGAACGGGAAGTACAGGATGTGTGTCGATTACCGAAAATTGAATACAATTACAAAGATTGATGCCTTTCCCATGCCTACAGTGGATGACATTTTGAGCTCTCTGCATGGTGCCTCGGTTTTCTCGTCATTAGATCTGCGCAGTGGATACTGGCAGATGGGTGTTGCAGATGAGGATGAGGAGAAGACTGCTTTTGTTTGTCATAGGGGTCTATTCCACTTCAAGGTCCTTCCTTTTGGTGTGGTAAATGGTCCTGCCAGTTTCCAACGGTTGATGTCCAAGGTGCTTGATGGCCTGATAGGGCGAAATTGCTATGTCTACTTGGACGACATTGTGTGTTTCTCTCCGGATATTGAGCAGCACATCTCTGATCTCCAGGAGATCTTTTGTTGCTTACGACAAGCGGGTCTGACCGTAAATACTGAGAAATGTCAGTTTGCCTGCCAAGAAATGAAATATCTTGGCCATGTTGTCAGCTCAAATGGACTCAAGATGGACCCCGAGAAGGTGTCTACCATTGTTAACTATCCCCAACCTAGGTCGATCAAGGAATTAGAGAGGTTCCTTGGGATGGCCGGATGGTATCAGAAATTCATTCCTAGCTTCTCAGAGGTTGCTGCACCTCTTCATGGATTGAAGAAGAAAGGTGTTCCCTGGAATTGGACTGCTGACTGCACTCGTGCTTTTCAGGCCTTGAAGGAGAGCCTCCTCACTGAGCCAATACTAGGCTACCCTGATGAAGAATCCAGGTTTGCTGTACACACAGATGCCAGCAATGTTGGGGTCGGTGCAGTCCTGATCCAGCAGCAACCGTCTGGGACGAGAACTATCGCCTATGCGAGTCGGTCTTTGTCTGCTGCAGAAAGGAATTATAGTACTACTGAGAAGGAGTGTTTGGCTGTAGTATGGGCCCTAGAGAAATGGCGGCCATATCTGGAAGGTAGAGAGTGTCGTGTAATAACGGACCACCAGGCACTTTGCTGGTTATTTCGGAAGAAGAAGCAAAATGGGCGACTTGCTCGTTGGATTCTGAGGCTTCAGGATTTTCGGTTTCAGGTGATATACAGGCCTGGAAAGCAACATCATGTCCCGGACGCACTATCTAGGATTCCTGAGAAAGGTGTTGCCCCTTTGGTGGGAGTTGTAAACAGGGTTTTGTCGGATCGAGTCTGTGACGGACATGAAAAGGACTTATGTGCAGCCAGTGATTGCATTTCCCCGGATGATGAGTCGGTTAGTTGGGTACAATGTGATGATTGTGATAAGTGGTATCACCAGGTTTGTGTCCATATTGGTTCTCAAGAGGCGGAGGAGGTGGACAAATACTCTTGCCCATCTTGTGTTGGCAAGTCAGAGGCCACGGATGAAGTCGTTCTTCCTTTGGATTTGACAAAGGATTCTGTCCTGAGGGCACAACAGAGTGACCCAGATCTTTTGCCAATCATTCAGATCCTTGAAAAGCAAAAGAATGGTGGTGGGGAGGATCAAGGTCCTGTTCAGAGGTTTTCAGATTTCAGTTTGAAGGGAATGGTGTTGTATAAGAATGAATGTGTAGTTATCCCCAAGGCACTTCAGAATGCAGTGTTAGTTGAGTGTCATTGCAAGCCAATAGCTGGGCATCTTGGGAGAAAGAAGACACTTCAAAGGTTGAAGTCGATGGGTCTCTGGTGGAGTGGTATGTCGCGGTCTGTAAGAAGCTTTATTCGCAGTTGTAAGGTTTGTCTTCAAACAAAACCTTCTTACCAGAGACGTCAAGGGAAGATGTTGTCTAGTACCTCCACGAGGTCTTGGGAAAAGGTTGGTGTAGATCTCATGGGGCCTTTGCCAAAGTCGTATGCTGGGCATGAGTATATTCTGGTGGCTGTCGACCATTTCTCAAAGTTTGTGGAGATTCTGCCTTTGAAGTCAGCTACCAGCCAGTCGGTTGCAACCACTCTAGTGAGGGAGCTGTTCTGCAGATATGGACCTCCAGGAGCCCTGCTCTCGGACAATGGCCCCCAATTCAGAGGGAAGGTTCTGCGAGCTGTCTGCACAGATTGGGGGATTGAGCAGATCTTCATCACGCCATATCACCCCCAAACGAACTGGGTCGAAAGGGTGAATCGTAACATCAAGGCCATGCTTCAAGCTTACACCGGATCTGACCATCGACAGTGGGATGTTCATCTCGCTGAACTCGCGTTTGCCCTGAACAGCAGTAGTCATGACACACTTGGTGTAGAACCATCAGTAGTTATGTTTGGACGGCGCTTGGCTTCTCCCTTGACTAACCGCCTGCAGACTGAGGGAAACAAAGACATTCCTACGCAAGAAGAAATCGCACACAATCGTCGACGCGCTGTTAGTAGCTCCAAACAATACTACGACCAGAGCCGTGATGAGTGCCGCATCACTGAAGGAAGCCAAGTCATGGTGAAGACTAAACCTCTATCAAATGCGGAAAAGAACTTCTCAGCTAAGCTAGCACCACGATGGACTGGGCCGTTTGTTGTGCAGAAAAAACTAACCCCAGTGAATTTTCTTGTGGTGAACGCTGCCAACAAGAAGATAACTCGCATTGTTCATGTGGACCAATTGAAAGGGTGCTAATTACTTCGAACATAGACTTCGCATGTTGTCAACGCTGTTAAAATTGTCGTTTATTGTAGCATATTGGATCAGGACTGGTTGAAAGTTCGCGACTCACGATTACATTGACTTACCTTTATAGCCGAGTAAGATTGCAGTTTGGTCGAGAGCGGGACTGTCACAGTTGGGCTATGGATCGTGAAACTAAATGGACGCTAAGTTTAATTGATCTGGACTCTTAATATAGATTCTAACAGACTCTTATTTCAACTGATGTTATATGTTTAATGTCAACCATTTATATTGGTGCGTGCCCATGTGCTTTAATTCTGGCTTGTGCAGAATTATGCACTCTTCAGAATTGTTGATGACTATTATAATATTAACATGTCGGATCCTTATCTTTACAGTTAAAGGATAAATACAACCGGTTGGAAATTGTTGAAAATTGGAACTGTATATAAACTTGTGATTCCCTGCGAATTTTCTGTCTTTGCATCTAGTGTTTTTACTTAGAGTTATACATGTACACTGAATTTTTGTGCACATGAAATTGTTATACAGTATGTACACAGAATTTGTGTTTCAAAAGATAAACGAAACAAAAGGACTACCAATTGAGTGTAGTTTATAATTTACACATATACAGATGTTAGTTTTGCTAACGTCCTACACTTTGGTAAACACTATATCTGACCTGACATTGGGTATAACAATATATATATATATATATATATTGTTATATATATTTAAATGTTTTTGCCGGACCTGCTGAACGGATTTAAATTAATAGAGGATACGAAGTATGTTTAGTTGTCATTCATCCTACACTTTAGCCATGCAGGTAGGGATAAATTACAAATTTGTCTAAGGGTTATTTCTTTTAGAAAGAAATCAAACAAAAAAAGCACTCAGCTGTGCTGGTGCTGTGTTACTTCTTTTGATTTTTCTTTGAAAAGGTATTCATGGATATGTTCGAACATGTTCAGACGATAATCTGTATTTGACGTTTTTTCTTGTTGGTTTTTGGCATTATGTATTTTGCATCTCTGTTTTAAAGGGGGAAGCTATCCTTTGGGGTGCGGTGTTCGTTATTCTTACAGTGTACATTTTTTGAGTACTGATGGTATCTTGCGCAGACAAGCGAACTGGGTGTATAGATTTACCCTGAACTCAACATAGAAAGAGTCGATAGCGATCACAGCAAATTAAGAGAACTGGTGGTCGTCTGTTTTGTCTGTACGCGCGCTTGGTTGCAATATTGTTGCTTCACATGTATATGTCTCGGGCGAGATTTGGCTTGTTTTATGAGCAGTTTGGAAATGTTTGAATATAATTTGAAAAAACCCCTTAGGGTATTTTTGGTGGGGGAGAGTATAGGGATTGATATCGTGATAACCGATACCGATATGATCGGGAGAGGGATCGAGAGAGAAGAAAATGGACGACTGTCTGTAAGATTCCGATTGTTGTTTCTAAGGCCGTTGTCGCCTTATTAAAGGTGTTTTAACCCAATTCCTGTCTGAGATCTAATCCTTCCTGTCTGTACATAGTGAACCCCCTTATAACTTCATAAACGAAGATCGTCTTTGTAAACGTAAACCAATGCGTCCTCAAAAACAAGGATCGTCTGCAAAAAAGCAGATGCTCCATATTTTTGATCGGCATATTGGCGATGCTAAAAACGGATTCCGGGATGATTTTCTTGATGCATTTTAGATCTACATTGACTTTGTACAGAGACCTTCACATTATGAGCATTAAATCCTTGGGAAGACAGACAACCCATAAAAGTAGACTGTCAACTAGACCGAAAACTTCAGTCTCTCTAATCGTCGGTTGTTCCACTGAGACTACGTCTGGCTCCACTAGACCTCCGATTATAGAGACTGAAGATTGTCCTATCGGGACTGTACGGAACCAATGGTTCGGTTCGGCAGGACCGCGATGAATGAGATATGCTACGAGATTTTCACTCTTTACACCCTCACACATGCTGCAATATGACAATAATTAGAGTCTAATTAAAAATAACATATATATAGCTTATTTGACTTACGATAGCTTGCTCATTTAGATCCTAAATTAATGATTAATCCGAGAAAGTCTCGTCGTCAACATTATCCGTCTTGGTTTTAGTTGATGAATATTAATTTTTTCTTTTCGAACGTCCAATAGCTACCGTAGCTACATACGAGTCGGCCCGGCTTGACCAACGAACTCCCACGAAACGAGTGCTCTGATTGGCCATTGGCTATGTTTTGGTAGGTGGACCCGGAAATATATCGGCCGCCGGGTAATATTTCGAATGCATGAACGTAAGTGCTTCGCGGTTCTGAGGAACAAATTGGATAATTCATATAAGTAAGTCCGAAAATTTCACATTCTATAATAGGTTAGAAAATTTCGAAAACTGTAATTAGGAGATATATAGACCGACCTAATTTACATCTGATTTAGAAATCAGGAAATTAGATCTAAATAAAGAAAATCGGGGGAGAAATGTCGGTAACGAAAAGCTGTTACGCTGTGGCTCTAATTTACCCCCACGGTACGAGATCTCTGGGTTGCCATCTGTATTGGGGAATGACAACAAATGTCAGTTTTATTAAAGAAATGACCCAAATCAGATGGTTATTGCTGTCTAACTGTCAACTAGATCTAGGCCTAGGGTTATTTTTCCCTTGGGGAATCCAAATTTGGCATTACCAGCGGGCGGTTTGGTAACCCCGAAACCCGCAGAGAGCCGATGAAAAAAAACGTCCGCGAAAATGCAGACGATCCTTGTTTATGAGGACGCATTTTGTCCGCGTTTATGAGGATATCCTTGTTTATGAGGATGATCCTCATTCTCGGACCAGCGCCCTTACTGAGAAAGGACGTATATAAATACTCCTTTTTCCCAAGAACTGGACAAGCATGGAACATACTCGACCAGCAGTCTGTATTAGCCCCATCTGTTGAGAACTTTAGAAACACACTTTAACATGCATCATTTGCCATACAAGTTAGGGACATGCGGAATACCGCCCTGCTGACTCCAAATTCAAAAGGTTCAGAAGGTTCAGAAGGTTCATTGTTGCAGTGTATGATTTAATGAGGGGATATTTTTATAAGACAATCAATTGAAGAAGTCTTCAATCACCATCCCCTACCGCATCCTTTGGCTTTTTGACATGTTTGGACTTTGGTGCTCACAATATTTTGTTATGATGGGGTCCAGAGCCCTATACATCTGCACACCTAACATTTGACCCGAATTGACAAGGATATTGTCTTATAAACCAAAATCAATCATCAAACATGCTGCATCAAAAACAATCTAAACTCTCCAACAAAACTCAAGTAAACCAAGACAGTAGAAAACACAACCTCACACGAAGAAGGACGGAACAGAACTAACTTTAATACTCAATATTATAACATGGCTCTGAGTACAACTCAGGCATCATAACAAAATAAACCAATCAGGGGAAAGTCATGTGATAAGAGAAACGAATGAGGTGAACAGGCTAGATAGATCAAAGTTGAGAGGCAAAGAGAACGAATGAGAGAAGAGAAAGTGCATGTTGCTAGGGCAGGAAAAGGCAACCATGCATAGAGAATGAGAAGACAACAAAGGGAATGGGTTTGAAGGAGAGAGAGGAAAATAAGGTGTGGCAGTAGTGCAACTGAAAGACTGTGCTGTAAGAAGGTGAATGAAATGGGAACATGAGCAGGGAAAATGAATATGCAAATGAAGAATGCAAATATATAAATGAATATGTAATAATGGATAAGGAAGAGATGAGAAATTTACTAACTGAAATATAAAGACAAATTCAAACTGTTACATTACTCTAATGCATACTCTGGTATTATTAGTCATATTCTAAAGACAAAGTGTGCCAAAAAAATTCAGGCAAAAGAATAATGTTATTTTCACAAGAAAATGTGCATTACATGTGCATGTGACTGTCATTTTGACAACAATCATTAGTCATTACATTTACAATACAAAGCATGACATTTGACTTTACTGAGTTGGACCTTGATCTAGGTTTCTACTTGTTTATTTTACATGCAGTTTGGGAATTTTTGATATGAAAGATAGCATTTTGAGGCTCGTGAATAAAAATTTAAAATCAGGTCTAGGATAGATCTACTTTAATCTTTAATGATTGATTAGACTCTAGAAATTTATCTGGGGTCTGAAATCTTCTTTTCTTTTCTTTTCTTTTCTTTTGGCATGAATTAAGATAAGAGGGTCTAGAGATCAAAAATGTTGCGTTCGTTTCGTATTTTGTTTTATTTCAATTGAGCAGTTACAGTACACATGTACATATAAGGCCAAGGGCATTGCACATTCATCATGGTCACTTTAGCTATATTTGTTATAATCTACGTAGAACATTTGTGTTAACAATTTACTCAAATAGCTTTCTTATGCTCAGGAAATAATAGCAATATAAAAAAAAGGTAACTTTGAACCACCCCCCCCTCTTAATCTAATTGGCCTTTGTGATAAGATAAAGTGTTTCATGAGTATTTGAGGTAAAGGTAACACTAACAGTTATAGATCCAGAATCCAGCTTACTTCGTGTCTCATGTGATGTGCCTCCATCTAGTAATCATTAAAATAATCAGTAAAATGATCATAAAAATGTGTAATTTACTTATTTCATTACTATGATTTATCTTTGTATAAAGGTTCAAGAGGATTTACAGCATCTCCGAGATGAGCTCCTTCAGAAGAGCCTTGCAGGAGGAACCAGAGAGCTGGTTAACATTCAGCTCTTGGAGAATGCTATTCAGAAAGCAGAAGATGGAATTAAGGTACAGTAATTATGATCCAGGTGATCTAGTTTGTTTTAGTGACGTTTGTTCCAGACTTAATTGATCAAGGGAATGGTATTTTAAGTTTGGTTTAGGATTAGAAGTGGTATTGTGTTTTGCCAAGATATGAAGTTAAGAATTTGAATAATGCAGTCCGTGATGGAGCAATTGTCTACAAGATGAAGTCCCGCAGTGCTCAGATGAACTAATCTGCTTAGCAGACTTCTCTTTTTAAACTTACAAAATATACAAATGCGTTCAAATGATGTGAAACCAGTAGTTTGACCAAGAATGGAAGAATTCAGAGAGTAGAAGAGTCAAGGGTGAAAGGTTAGTATTTGGTATGAGGTAAGTGTGAGTTTAGGTGTTCTGAATAATAGTAAGAGATTATCAAAAAGTTCTTAAGCTGTATAGAGAATGATGAGAATAAAATGGAGCATTTTTGAGAAGAAATGAGAACTATAGATTTAACCTAATAATACTATGTGTCTACACACCCATGGCTGTAATAATATAAGATAATAATATTGATCATTTAGGAGTGCTGTACAATGTAGCTTAGAAATCAAACAATGAATTAGCAACTTTGTGTTTCAATCACATAGAAAAGAATCCTCTTTGTGAAAAACATTTCAGATTTTCAGGGGGGGGGGTGGGGTACTTTCAGAATACGTGTAGGAGAATAAGTGGTAATTTTGACCGGATGGCTTTGGAGCCGTATATAATGTGTTTCATCTAGTTTTCTTTATCATCAATGAAAGTGATTATTGCAAGCAAGAAGAAAGTAGAAAAGGAGAAGAGAGCTGTTGTCCACATTGTATGGTTATAATCCTCTTTGCCAGTTGTTAATTGAATCGTATGTTGAGTTTACATCAGATACTTTAAGATAGAAAAGCTTGCTAATCTTTCAACCAACATTCAGTTAAAGGAAAAGAAAAGAGAGAACGGAGATCTTTCTTTAAGCTAAGAAGACTGTAAAGTGCTGGGTAATCTTACTTGGTCTAAATTTCTAAGATTTCACCACAATCTTGGTGATTATTTTGGTTCTGTTAATTACTGTTTTGTTACAATTAAAAACATATTTTTTCCTCCTTTTTCTTCTCTTTCTCTTTCTTTTACATCATGATTAAATGAATAACATTTAGATTTATCTTAAATGTATTCAATAATGGGGCATCTAATTGATTATGATATTACAAGGGGTGTTTGATGTTTTATTCTATTCATCATGCTTGTAATATACTTTTGGTTAATTGCCATTGTTTAAAATATAATTGTATTTCACCTCACAGGAGCAATCGGAGAAGATTCTGAATGTAGTAAACAACAGAGTGACGACCCTACCATCAGTGGATTCCAAGATCAAGATACAAGAACCTTCTTTCTCACAGTGAGTTTGGTCTTTGTATTGAATTATGTAGTATATATAGTAGAAAAACAATTATTTCATGTAGCAGTGATTCAGTGTTCATGTTTATTTTAATTTTTCTTGCAACCTAATCATATTTGAAAAGTTTTGACGAGATATAATTATATTTAAAATAAGAAGCAAAAAAAAACCCATAATTTTTATGATATTTTTTGTGCTTTTTTTAAATTGTGTTTTTTTTGGAGAGTTTTATGTTTAGTGATATCATGATCATCAATCATATTATTATTGTGAAAGCCAAATGCAATTTTAATTGGACTTGTCTTATTTCTTACTAACTAGCTTTTTTTAGAGTTTTCCAAAACAGTGGACATGGGGAGCCATTACATGCAGCACACTGTTGACACTGTGTGCTGCTAAAATATTCTAAGTGTGATTGAAAACTTCTAACTTGCATGATCGTTCTTTGTTTTATTACAGAGAGGCAATATGGGACTTGAGCACCGTGAATGATTCCAACCAACATGGCAGAAATGATAGGTAAGAAACATTGCTCACAATGCATTCAACATTAGCAGCCATGTAGCACCAGAACACCATAAATAGTAATAGTTCATCATGTAATGCATAGCTTCATGTTCCATTGTGTCCTCATTTGTGTGTTCTGTATTTGTACACCATGAGATGGTATAAATAGTTTGTACGTGCACAAACTATTTTACAGCATCAGCAAACATGTTTTTCTCCATTACAATTTCCGCGTAACCTTTAATGTTGAATATTGATTTGATGTATCTAATGCTCTTTCTTCTCGAATGTTTACATATTGCTATGAGTACAAGCAGTTTGTTAATCCGTTCGAATAGGGTTTATACATGTTAGATATCTTGCATAGAACTTCATTACAGTCAGGAGGTGAAGTTTCAATGAATCATGCCGATTTATATTTTCTCTTGTCCTCCTGTTCCCAAAAACATGTCATCATACTGCTTTAAGTAGATACAGATCAGAAGGTCTCATTAACACTTGAGAAATTAATCATACTCAATTTGCAATTACCGTCAGATACACAACATATTAATTCATTTTATGTATTTGTTAATATGTTCAGGAAGTTAGGCCGCCTGACAGCAATCGAGCCGTCATCAGGGGGAGGTCCATTTGGCCCCGCCCCCGGTCAACAGGTAAGCATTTGATTTATTCATCAGAGATTCATTTAGAGATCTAGATAGAGTTAGATGATTGGCATTTGATATTTGCAAGTTTTTTGTTGTTGTGAATCTGAGGTATTTTCCAAGTCACCATTTGTTCAAAATTATTGCTGATGTACAGGATAGAATTTAAGTGACTATCATGACTGCTATTTTAAAAAATAAATGTATTAATTATTTGATAAAACTGTAACTGACTAAAGTCCTCAATGTGTCATTTTAAGTAGCGCCCGCCCCCCCCCCAAAAAAAAAAGTTCAATTGAAATGTCAAATCAGAGTGTATTATAATTATTTCTTTTCACTAAGTCAATTAGGTCAGAGGAATTTTTGCAGAATGATCCTGGTGATGATAGTTCTTTCAATCCATGGCTCTTTATCGTAATGTATTGTGTGACTTTTGTTGTTTCAGAGTAAATACAATCTGAACATGAAGATACTCTCAGACCCAACCAACAGTCAGAACAGAAAGGTCATCAATGAAAACTACAGCGTATCTCTGCCTATCATTGTAGACAAGAGAAAACACAAGGTAACAAGCCGGTATCTTTAGTTATGATGGTCTTTATCTTTTGCATGTAGCAGCTAGTCTAAGAACAATGGTATGTCTGGGTGCTTTCAATCCCGCCTCATATTTATTCACCTTCAAAGATATGAAAGGGTTTAAAGGTTGATTAAATGAACCTGATATGTAGACTGTCTGTACTATCCATTTGAATGGTTGACACTAAGATATGAAGTAGATAATGTAATCTTTTGTTGTAATGTGCTGAAACATAATAAGAGGTGACAAAAGAGATGATTAGTAAGTACCTATTGGAGAATAGCTACATGTACATGTTTATATATGCATCCCAGAGTTCAATGTCCTGTATCAGTCAGAGATCTAATAAAATGCAAGAATTAACAGGAAACCAAAATCAAACAATATAAACTGGGACAAACTGCAACAGTACATTAAAAAAGACAAGTATGGTTTTCACATATAAAGGGAACCTATAGCCTTGGTTTATTCTTGTATTTTGTTTTTCCCTTTCACTCTTATGAATTTAAGGTGTAAAAAGAAAGTACCTTTTCATCTGAGAGTGTTCTTAAACAATGACGGTATGACATCTGTATTGGTCAGAACTTTCTGAAAAGTTCGGACAATGCATAATATCCTGTGTAAAGTTATAATTTTAATGAAATAGTTACGTATATGATAATGATGATACTATAACTAAAGGATAGAGAGCAATGACAATGTATAAAACAAAGATACTTTACTGTAATAATAATAATAATAATAATATTCAGCTTTTATATAGCCCAAATCACAATAAGTCTCTAAGCGCTTCCAAACTTGTAACACAATTTACTTCTTTGTTTATTTCTGTCTATGCAGCCTCCAACACAGAAGTTTGTAATAGGTTCAACAGTTGACCATCTAGCAGTATTACCAAAAGCTAACAGAGTTGATCCACAGGTAGGCATGGACAGTCTATTGTATTTGCTATGTATCACATATATGTATTCCTGTTGCTTTCTTGGTTGGTCATTTCTTTATCTATATTTCGTCAAATGTTTTCAAATTTTATCATTCAAATATTGAAGGTTTATGTACTCCTTAAGTTGGCTACTTTCCAAAATTTAGCAAAACAAAATTATAGTTATAAAAGTGAAATAAATTGTACATTGCACATAATGGTGTACAGTTTTAGTATGGTGTGACAAATATGAATGTGTATTAAAGAATTACCTTAGTTAATGGAAGTAGATCTATACATGTTTCATATGTTTGATTGCCAGATGTAGCTTTTGAATGAAGTTGATATAAATAGGTAAATGAGTTTATTTTGAGTTTCATCCTAGAAATTTCTCAAATAATTGAATATAGTAGATGTTGATGAGTAATTCCAAGGACAATTAACATCTGAAAATATAAGGAAATGTCAGAACATATCTGGTTATATAAAAGATGACTGAAGTGTGACATATATTGATTAATGTGATGGTTCACTCACTCTCTCTCTCTCTCTCTCTTTCTCTTAGCTGTTACCCCCAGCTATCACAGAGAAGGATGCTAAGAAAGGTATCCTCAGTCTCATGGAGAGAGGTCTGATTCCTCCTGCCGCTGAGTTGACCCTTGACCCGAGCCCGGTCAGACAAAGAATAGTGACCTTACATGACCCCCAGGAGAGGAAAGAAATCAAAGCCGGCTCTGGTCCATTCGGAGGTGAGCTATATGTCAGGGGTCATATTCTGAAAACTTTTATTTTCTTATTTTTTTGGTAATAATAATAATAATAATAATAATGGTGGCTTCTTATATAGTGCCCATGTCCGTCACTTTAGTGAAAGTAAGTGAAAAGTATAATCATTGTCGTATTAGGTTGAAACAGTATATGCCGCCAATTTTGAACATACATTATCTAATGATTTGTCTCATAAGGTAACATTGTTTCAGAATGCCATCCCAGGCGAAATGCATTTGAAAGATATTCATTTTAGCTGTTTGATTCATTGAAAATTGATTACAGAAAATTATAGCACAATATTGTGAAGAAAAAATAAAAGTTCTTTGCAGTTGCACGCAATCGTCACTTTAGTTGGATATGAACAGACTACTGTTGACAGCTGGTTACATCATCATTGCTGATACAAAGACTCCTTGATAAAAGGCTAATCTTTTTTATTTTCTTCTAAATTTGAGAGATCAAAGAATATTTTCCATTTTCTTTCATGACTTGTCAGTAATTTCTAAACCTGCTGAGTTTTTATCAGACTAAGTTCTAAATGTTTAACTTTATAAAATAATATTTTATATTTCTTGGTTGTCAGATGGGATGTTCAACCTTGCTGCTGTGAAGCTAGACTCTGATATTCTGAACGCACACCGAGACCAGACCTCTGCCCTGAGAGGGAATGTTAACACTCCCAAGACATTACAGACTGGTCATAGTGATGAGACCTGGGCATCCCCTAGGTCAAGGGGTCACTCAGCCAAGTCTAACAAGTCACTTGACCTCGTAGCTGTCAGTGTGAAAACGCTGGAGCCACTGGTGAGTGCATGCATGTACAGTGGGATATCAGATGTATGTTTGATCGAAACTTGACGCGTGGTCATTATGAGATGAGAGTGAATTTAGAACTCTATGAATATACTCCAGAATTGAATGTTGAGAATATATATCTAAATATGGACAAATTTCATTTTAATTTAGTTTTATGATTTCACTTGCAGTGTGATATATGTGTATCATATCAAGATGTGGCCATAGTCATTAGGTCATTGCAAATTTAGGAACATTGTATTGAAATTTATGAAAAGTTTTGGCTCGTTTGATTTAAACATCATGATGCTATCTTTAGAGTATGATGTTTGATAGAATAAGTATCTTCCTCCTCCTCTCCCTCTCCTAGCCCCCTCCCACCACCCCTGCTAGTGAGTTTAAGCACTTGAGTCATCGCTTCGTGGTGCAGCATGGGCGTGTCAGAGACCATACCAAGGATTACCTGGGCTTCAAGCAACATTATTGTCTCTCCTGGGGTAACATTGTCACAATGCTCAAATATCTTCAGAAGCTTCTCACTAACTATGCCATCCCGATTGCATTCATCAGTGGAGACAAGTAAGACAAATGCAGTCGATCAATTAGTCAATTGCTAACTAGAACTTAATATGTACCCTTATGACTCATTCAGTTCTTGTATACTTTGAAGCTTATCTTTATTATTTTTCAAATAAAAAAATACTTTTTCTTTAATTTCATTTTATGATCCATACTGTATACCATATTCCATGTTGACATTTTGTGTGTCCATAATCATTAAAAAAAAAAATGAATTTAAATGTTCTTGGGCTTTTCCTCGACCACTTTTCATCTAAATGAGGATTCTCTCATTTCCATCTAATCTCATTGAAAAATTGGTAAGAAACTTAGAAGCAATATATTATCTTTTGAGAGCAAGAAAGGCATGAAGCAATATTCTTTAAAGCCCATCTGTACTAGTGTACAGGAGGGATTAGACTGCCATGCAAGGTCACTTGACAGGTGGTTATCTTATCAAAGCAGCTCTCATAAGAAAAAGAGGATCATGGGGGACCAATGGTCACCAATTATGCATTGTTTGTTATAAAGAGGGCGCAAGTAGCTTTAAGTAGTACAGTGGGGCTTTAACACAGAATTAACGCCCTTCTGGCTCTCAGCAGGTGATTTACTTCTCATATTTGATTGCAACAAGGATGATTACCGATTACTGATGAGAGACTGATGTATACCATTGCAATCTTTTTGAACCCGCAGACTAGCTGATCTTGCCATAGAGTATGAGTTGAACAGACCACCGAGCAAGGAAGTCCTCCTCAGTGTTGTGATGAACATTGATGATGTAAGCACCATTATGAACCAACCTGGTAGAAGATTCCTAGCTCCTGATGGTACACATATGGCTGTCTGCAAGATACAGGCCACATGGAGAAGGTAATTAAGCAAAGTCTTTAATACCTGTAATCTCAAGTATATCATTAACTTGCTCAACCAAGATGTCAATTATGGGTCTATATAGGTATGGAATATTAATGGTGTCCAAATAAACCTGAGTCTAATTCCAGAATGTCTTAAGATTCTAATCTTAAGAAGTTTTCTGCCTTTCAAAATGGCAGATTTTTTTTTTAATGTCCATATTTGAAAAATAAAACAATTTGGTTTTACTGAATAAAGAACACAATCGAGCTATGAGAACACATAGGTTTGATAATAAAGACTTAAAATGTAGAATTGCTATTGTTAAGTAGATATTTATAAGTAGTATGTGAAAAAATGTTGTAAGATCTCTTTTGCACAACCCTTCCACATGCAGGCACAAAGATCGCACTGCTTATCTGGAGTACAGACGCAAGAAATGGGCAGCAGGGGTCATCGCTATATCATGGATCATGAATGTCAAGATGTCAAAGGTCAAGAAACAGCTGAAGATCTCAAGAAAGAATGAACTAGATGCATTCAGAAGGAGAGCAAAGGTAACAGGTGTTTGGTTAATTGATTCACATCAGAATATGACTGCAGTTAGAATATATCAATTCCTTATCATTATATATCACAACCATGTCCATCACCTGGGGAATGTGTGAAGGATAAAGAAGTTTCTTTTGGAAAGCAATGATCTTTTTTATTGAAATATGCTTCAAGTAGATTACTGGGAAATATTTAGTGACAAGACTCTTTGAAACAGTTTAACTTGATTGTGAAGCTGCAGTTTTCTTGTAAGTTGCATGCTTTGAGAATACTCCAAGTCGTAATCTGACAACAAAGCTTGTGGTATGTTTTGAAATATAAGATGCAAACATACAGCCATTAAAATTCTGGAACCAAAAATATATTGAAGAAAAATAATGCTTTTATACCGTTTAAATTCACATTGTCTTGTTGGATCTGGAGATTTTCACACTTTATGTTTCCCTTTGTAACCATGGTACAGACATTGCAGAAGTCCTGGGATCGCATCCAGCAATCTCGGCGTGTTCTCATCCATCTCCCCTCCCTAGGATACTCTCAGAAGATCCGTTCAACTATCGGTGATTTCAACATTCAGCAAAATCAACAAATGGCAAGGCTATGTGATTTATCAGGTAAGTAGAACATGCTCTAGCTCCATGCATTTATTTGTAGAAATGAATCATATTTTCCCCACTATGTTTGTATGGATTTGGGGTATGATTTGAGCTGTCATGAAGTGTAAGCTACATGTTTTATCTTATTTTGTTGGTTGATGAAAGTGTGCTGATATATGGGCTTCAGTTTCAAGCAAGTCTAAAGCAAAGGAAATTAATAATAGATTGCTACCTATATCACATTGCACAGTGTCTTGCCCCAATACAAACATTTCTCACTGCGATATGTTTTTACAATCATGTTATTTCACCCAAAGAACAGAGCATTCCAACCTTTTCCCTCCCTCCCTCCCTCAGATCCTAATGTGGAGGTGATCTACATCTCTCCTGTCACTCTGAACGACGAGACTCTTCAATATTATAATAAGCTGCTAGGTCTGAAAGACGCTGTACACTCAGGCAATGTAGATGATCAGAAAGATATGGCTACTAGGTTCAAGATCATTGTACCGGAAGCGGTCAACAGTTTCCCAGTAAGTCTACTAGTTAGCGATTTTTATATAGTTTTCGTGAATGGAGGTATGAAATCAAAGCTTATTTTGTGATTATTACGGCCATGTTTACTAAATTTTAATTATCATTTCTTAAAGGAAAGCTTTCACAAGAAAATCATTGGACTGACAGTTCAGTCGCAAGCTGCCTTCAATCAACACACGTACAGTACACATCATGACATAGTGCTGCTGCCGGGGGGGGGGGGGGGGGGGGGGGGGGGGTGCAGAAAAAAAATCTGCACTACCATGCACCAGTCTTACATGTTACATGCAGGCTCCAAGAAACGTTTTTCAAAGTGGGGGGGGGGGGGGGGGGAGAAAAAAAATCTGCATTACCATGCACCAGTCTTACATGTTACATGCAGGCTCCAAGAAACGTTTTTTCAAAGTGGGGGGGGGGGGGGGGGAAATCAATTAGATTGCAGCGAGTTGAGTGTATATAGGCGTTGGGCCCATGGGTTTCAAGGGGCCATAACCCCCGAAAGCTCAGGGGTTTTAGGCATTTAATTAGGGTCAGATGAGCTTATTTGTAATACTTTATTTGTGAACCGGGCAGATCACTAATTTGCGTGGGGTCCATACGTAGAGTTGCGTAGTGTTGCGCACCAACTACGCTGGCCTACGTATATGCTGAGGGACGCAAAGGGGTACGCAAGATGGACACAAACAATTCAACATGTCTAATTTTTTCGCGTACTTTCGGCATAGAAACTTGACACAGAAAGTACGCGTTTTTACGCAACACTACGCTACTGTACGCCATGCCTACGCAACACTACGCTACCCTACCCCAGATCGACAAAGCAGTAAAAGCTTTCCACACAGTAAGCAACCATAAGCAAACCTGTACGCAAGCCTATACGCATAACCTATGCAGGGACTACAGTGAAGCCTAATTTCTGCGTAGTCAGTACGCCACACTACGCAACTCCATGCAGTTCCAGTGTAAAAGAGGCCTTAAGAATAACTACCGGTAGAGTTGGATCATTTTTTTGTTGTTATAAATGGCAAATAAAGTTCTAGGTGGTTTTAATTTAGAGAGTCTCTATACATCTATTTACACCCCCGCCCCCCTCTAGATCATCCCGCGGATTTCCGCGGGTCCTGCTATTACAGTTATAATTCAGTTAATAAAAATACTAGAAAGAGAACTTTGTTGTATTGAGAACAGCATGCTTTCAATTCCTGCTTTCATTCAACCATGATTTTGTTTGAGAAAATTTTAGAAAAAATGCTAACATGTTCCTATATGAATTGTGTTTTACAGACCCACAGCATGTGCTTAGCTACCTTCTTGAAGTACAGTCCTAGAGCCATAGAGAGAATCAAGAACCTGATCATTGGCAAGGAAGCTTACCTGGTCCCAGGTGTCATGCACAAAGATGATCTAGCAGTCGCTGATATATTAGGTAATCACATCAAATACAGACCAGTCAAATATCGTAGGAGCTACATACCATGCATATAGTTAAAATTTACTTTGTGCAGACACAGGTCATTAATTAGTAGTATGGGATGTCATAATGTGTGTTTGCCCTTCTGATGTTATTTGTTATAATCAAGCATGTACCGCCTTGCTATGGCAAATTATGGTGTGGGGGTACTTGTACTTTCCATAATATCACTCATTCTTTATCGGTTCATAATTGTTGCCATGTTCAGCTTTTTTTGTCTGCAGCCATATGCTAACAAAATGTATGCATGTAAAGTTGTAAACACTGTTCCTTTTCACAATGAAAGGAAGAGTACTTGATGATGAAATGTAAATGCGAATCATCAGTAATTACATGTATGCGTCATTTATTATTGCAATAATACTTATTTCATACTCCCTGTAGGCAAAGCATATCTAGTTTTGTGTGACTGTTACAATGGTTTGTGATACCTACATATGACTTCACATCATATGGTCTGCAGTTACTTTCTCACAGTAATCAATTCCTAGCTTCAACCATGTATCCAACACTAGTCATTCCTAAATTTATATACAATATTGTAAACTCAGTTGCAACCCTAAATCTAACCCTCTCTTTGGCAAAATAAAATTCAGAGCAAATGTTGGATAATGTATGACTATATGTATGTATGACATTTACGACTATATATATATATATATATATATATATATATATATATGACATTTACGACTATAACATGAAAAATTTCCGGTATTTTACAATGAATTTGGCATTATTCTTGTCTTGTGTAGATGTACCTGTCCTTGGAAGTGAGCCCGAAGTATCTCATCTTTATTCCACTAAGTCTGGTTCTAAGAGAATCTTTACCAGTGCTAACGTTGATATCCCTCCATCGGATTATGATGTCTATAGCATACAACAGGTAGGAATACATCTTCTACATCTTTTATGTATCAAAAGCATACCATTGTACAGGCCTGATACCCGATTTAAATCAATTTCCCTTTTTTTTTTCCTTCCCCCCAACAAATTCTTAAACAAAATTTTAATCAAGGAGGGGGGGGGGGGGGTGAGGAAAAAAAAGTGCTCACTATCACCCCTGCATTTTAGTTCTTAGATACTGTGCAGTAGACCACTTATAGCAAAAACACTGTAGCAAAACATGACATGTAAAAGAATGGTGAGAGGTATATCATCATAGCTATGCACAACATTGGGCTCTATGTATGCCTGTAATCAGTGTACATAGAGGATTGTGCAATCCGTGTTTGCTCGTCTCATCCAGTCTCTTAGGCAGTGGTTTACCACCTTCTTAATCAACATTAATGTGATGAGTGTCATGTGTCTAACATGAGGTATGAATGCACCACCTTCCTACTGTGTTTCATAACTTAATTAGCTGACGTGAATAGAAAACTGATATCATTACAGTCATGCATGCATGCTATTTCTTCAAGATTCAAGAAATTTTATGTCATCATACTTCTTTCATACTATAGATCCTTTTTATGTGAGAAAATGAGAAATTGCCTGCTTTCAGACAGAAAATTTATTGCACCTAATGATACATTATGATGAGTAACGTTGGCTCCTTGTTGTGTTGTATTACCTATTAGATACATGAGAGTCTTGCTCAGCTGGTGACTGAGAATCTCAATGTGAAACGTTACCTCTTCAAGCTAGACGATGAGTTTGATGGGCGAGGCATTGCCTATTGTGATGTCACACCAAACCTCCGCTGCCATGCCTGGGCTAAGAAAGAAGAGCTGAGATATGGAGAGAAATGGGAAAAGAAATGGGCACAGGTATGTTTCTTAATCCAGCTGAGACCACCTTTATCTCATTTTAAGCCCCTTCATATAGTTATTTAGTCCAGCTTAAGTTTGTAGGTTAGGGTCCTGCTTTAGGAGTGACCTCTTTATCCCATTCCAGACCTAAACTGGGTACCTGGCAGGAATTCATTCCTTGAAATGCTGGAGACGGCGCTATAGAAATGCCTATTATTATTATTATTATTAAACTATAAAGTAAAATAAAAAGAATGACTAATAGCAAATTATAAATCAATTACAGGAAGTATATCTACTTCATCAGTTCCTACAATGATCTGTACAGGAACTCTCCTCAAACTAAAGCAATGTAGAACTAAAAATGTTATTGAAATGTATAATGTACAATTTGAAATTGAAAAATTGGCAGGTTATCCATAATAACAATAATTTTCAAAAAAAATTGTTTTTTTTTTAAACTCTTGTTATGTTTTGTTTGCATACAGGAGCCAGCGTTTATCAAGATACACTCTGAGATGTCTGATATCCTAGCAACGCATGCCACACCGGTCAATAAGAAACTCTTTCCAACGTGGGAAAAATTCCTGGAGGCATTCCTCAGCCAAGGTATGGTGTCGAGATCATGCAAGAAATCTAATCATCATTAATTCAGGATATGGTCAAAGAATACAACTGAAAAGACACCGAGAAATCAACCTAAAGGCAATTTCATTAATCATTGTGCATCCCCTACGTTACAATGACATATTATATAATCCAAATTTATATCAAAATAATTTTCATTAGGGAATACAATAAAGTTCTTGAAATTGCCCATAGCTTAATTATCTTGACATTTTCTATTATGTTCATAAAGATATGTTGTGAGGCAATATGTATCCATAAGTTTGAACCTGTCTGAGACAGAGAAGACTCATATCAGAATATAAATACTTCTTAGTCCAGTCACATAAACATGAATATTATTGGGCAGCTAGGGTTTGCTTCCTATATGTTGTGTATTGCTCTCATGCTATACTGGAGTAACTATAAGTGTTTTTTTATAGGATTGGAAAGCTTGGAATCTCTTTTTCAGAAAACGTATATGTAATTAATCCCCTCCCCATAACTTAATTCTGGCATCTTCTTTTTCAGTTTTGAGCGGATGGATCGTATGTTTGGTAATGGTAATAGTAATTGTTTATTACAAAATCCATTCGCAGTCACATGACTGAACTGCAGGGTTTTGAACAGCATTTAAAGATATCATATTAATCATTGATACATAATCAAATTTGAAAATATTAAATCAAAATCGGAGACATAATACAAAGTGAGGAAATTTTCTGATTACATTGGATATGCATATAAATTTGTCAACTTCACATTAACAACCAAAGCCAGCCATTGGTTTGGAAGTTTTAAAGCCACAGTATTGTATTGCTCCCTCTAAATAGAAGACAATTCCTAATAGGTGACCATTGGTCCCCCATGATCCTCTTTTTCTTACGTTAATTGAGAGCTGAGTTGATGAGATAGCCACCTGTCAGTGACCTCCCTGGGTGGTCTAATTCCTCCTAGCCAAACTAGTACAGATGGCCTTTAAGATGCCCTTATATGGTATGTCTTTGTTTCTATTGGCAGGTGGTGTAATAGAAGCCTGCCCTCCATCAGACAGTGTGACATCACTCACTGTGAACATGCTGATTGAACCCAATGGTCATATGTCTATTATATCATGTGGAGATCAGATCCATGCTGACTCACCATTCAACTGCTGGGGTCTCTCTGTACCTCAATCATCAGTGGATGCTAAACCACTCAACGAGGCATGCATCAAGATTGCTAAGTGCTGCCGGCAACGAGGGGTACTAGGCTACTTCGCTATTGACTTTGTAACCTTTATTGATTCAACCACGGTAAGCTTGGGCTCCTCACTTGGTTCAATCATAGTTGGGCCATCATATCTTCTTTTTTGGGGGGGGGGGGGGGGGGAGGGATAGAGGAGGGGTGTTTGTTTCTGGTAGAAGATGGGAAGATACATGTATAATTAGGACTTCTTATCATTTGGTGAAGGTTGGGGGGAATGCTCACATCCTTAAAGAAAGCTTGAGTTGTAATTATGCACTGAAGATGATCAGTGTAATTTCTGTATCGTGTAATGACTTTTAGTTCTGCATTTAAAAAGAAGCAAGTTTGGGAAACACACTTTATTATCAGATTTATTTGTCCCAGAATCATGTAAGTAAATACCCAACAGCTCTTCCCATTCTGAACAATCTTATCCAAGAAGGATACAGGAGTCATATCCATTTACTTTCTTTGCTTGCAGCAAGAGCAGAAGCTCTGGGCTGTGGACCTGAACCTGTGGTATGATGACAGCGTTGCAATGACGCTGCTGATGCTGTATGTGACCGGTGGAATCCTAGATACTCAGAACTATGTCTTCAACGTTCCTCCGGTCAAGAAGGAGAAGAAGAAGAGCAAACACAGAAGGAAGTTTGAGTACACAGAACCAGAGGTGAGGGACTGCATTGATAAAACTGGTCCAATTTTCTTGTTTTGTTGTAATTTATTTTGTTGTTAAAGTCACATTTGTTAAGTTTTTATGTTGGGATAGATATAGGATTCTATCTCTTCTGATAGAGCATGGTTGATCTATAACTGCATTTGATGGATTACTAATCTCGTAAATGGATCTTTAAGAAATATGATAATGTGAAGATGTTATTCAGTCAGAAAGACATGGCGTATCTTAAATGATATTTTCAAGATTAACAAATTCATAACACAAAAAGAGAACACACAAATTAGCCATTATTTAAAAATTTAATTCCATAAATTAAATGTGCGATGAAGCAGAAAATAGTCTCATACATAGTTTGTTTGCTGATAAAGTTATTCATCCCTTTTCTGTTTACAGGAGCCTCCAAATACAGCTAGGTATGCAGTGATGAGCACACGTCTTCTTCATACCAACCTTACAGTCATCCATTACAGTGTCTTCTTTCAGATGTGTCGAGCCCATGGCATTGGGTATGATATTAAGGTAGGTCACATGATATCAAAGTAGGTCACATGATATTAAAGTTGGTCACATGATATGTACGATTTTAGTGTCCCACATAATATCTTTTCAAGAGAGACTTGTTGAAATTTGTTTTAAATGTGACAGTTAAAGGGTCACATGATATGTACAGGGGTTCAGGTCCATATTTTTGTGTAGTGATCATTTCTAACCAGAGGAATATGAATGGGCCATTCCTATTCCAGAATTTGGAGCAACTTTCCTCCCAATAAAATGAAACAAAAGAAATGATATTTGGAAAAGGATTTACACACAATTCATTTGAAGACAGTCTCTTTTGTTATTTTATTTTTAAGATGGGATTAAGGTCTATTTCTTGAATATTTTGCTGAATGATCTGATCTTTATTCAATCCATTAATCACACTCATGAGGAGAAAACGATATGACTATTGTTTTGATTGTTTGTTTCTTTGCAGGAGAAACAAGGTACCGTGTTCACACTGATTGATAGTTTCAAGAGAGAAGGGATTGGAATGCTTGCCATAGGTGAACAGCTCCAAGGAGTCTTAGCTAACTTCGCAAGGAATCTATCTGTTATCCATCAAGAGATATCTGCTCCTAACATGCAAGGACAAACTAATTTCAAGGTGAGTCTTATTCATTCTCCAGATGCAGTGACATTAAGGCCCTGTCGTATAAAGAGTTGCAATTGATGTGGGTTGATGTAGCAAGTCCTAATGTTACAATTGTCTATTCCTCTATTAGAAGTTGTGATTGATATCAAACTCAAGTAATAATAAAAATAAAATAAACTCATTTAACAATTAAGTTAGTAATCTGCTTCCTTTTGGTTACATATATCAAGTCTCCATGGTTACCTTATTTATTTCAATCGCTGTTTGGTTTGATAAAGTTTATTTTGAAGTTTCAAAACTCATACATGTATTCTCACAACACAGATTAAGGGTCAGTTACTATTTTGTCAAAGCTTTTCCTGCGGGGAAATATTGAAAAAGAGAAAGTGAAATGAACATTATTATTATTATTTTAAGGTTAGCATACTTGGCTAATCTAAATTTTTCATGTTGAAGGAAAAGAAATTAACAAGTATTTCATATCTTTGTTCTTATTTTCAGTATGTGATATCAGACATTGAAGGAATCCTTGGAACGACGATACAAAACATGGACAAAGCAAATGAGGAAAAGGTAGAAGCGGCAAACTAAGCAGACCACCTTTCTTCAGAGACTTCAGAGATGATAAATCTCGCCAAAGGTTTAAAGCTAGCTCCTGCAAAGTTTCTTCCAAAGATCCCCTAGCTAGTCCATCACAGGATGCTCCCTAGCTCACTCTAAAGACTCTTGGACATTCCAATCTGTCCTACACTTGTATATAAACACACATCTGTCTTTCTCTGCATTGCACCAGGGGATTCCCCGTGTAATTCTACGCACATGCCTTGTCAACTAACATAGCAGTGATCATCGGGTCATTAACTACTCCTATTTCAGAGATGATAAATATCACCAAAGGTTTAAAGCTAGCTCCTGCAAAGTTTGTTTCGACTAAAATAGATCATTTTTGGCCTGAAGATAAAAAGTGTGACTGTGTCACACACTGGTACACTTATAAGGGTCCTATCAAATGCAAGCTGTTATGCATGTGCACAGTTTTACCAAACATTACATAAATGACCTTAAACTATTAGAATTCAGAGTTGAGTTTGATGTCTGTTTGTAAACTAAGTTGTTCAGTAAAGGCTCATTCAGACGTGAGGTGATCAGTAACCCACTACTGGACAAAGACAAAAAACAATGCAGCAAATTAAATGAGATTAATGTACAACAATGATGAGTGTGCATGCATATGGGCTATTGTTGCATGCACCTATGTATTTTACCCACATAATATCACCTCTTGTTTTTTTTTAATATGGTTAAATGCATTATGGCTGAATGAGGCAATATAACTGGTTATTAGCAGCTGATGCACCACAAATCTTCTTGGAGCTAGTTTAATCACTTTACATAGGTTGGAGCCTTTGAACTAAAGGGACATTCCTTGATATTGTAGGCACATCACATGAAGCATTGAGTGGTGCTTCTACAATACTATTCGTACAATTGAGTCATCTTTCACTACATGGTTTAGCATAGATGCCACATTAACATGGTAAAAATTCCACTTGGTAAATATGAATGATATCTTTGTCTGTACTGTTTTTGTTGTACATTATATTTACAGAGACAATTTATTGGACAGCCTAGCTACAGTCATATTATTTGTCTTGTTCCCACAGACATGTTCTATTGACTGTGTTTCATCATTGAAAACCGTCCAGGGTAGTACTACCAATGTATACTGAATGATCAAACATAGTGTTATCATTAATTTGATATTAGCTCAAACTAGACGTCCATTTTTGAACAAGTATGAATGAGGTCACGACCTATTTTCCTTGTATAGAGATGAATGGTATCTGAATGTATCAAGTGTGTGAACAATTTGAGTCATTATTCTATGCAATACATGTCCACCCCACCGATGTGAAGCCGTAAATCTTCCCATGATCAATTACTTTTTAGGGTCAGAATTTGAACAAGTTAAGCAAGAAATTGTAACTTTCTCTCTCTCTCTCTCTCTCTCTCTCTCTCTCTCTCTTGTTAAAAGGCATGAAACTGTGCTATAACAAATAGGGAATCATTGATGTGCTTGACAATACTGAGAGAGATGCATGTATAACATTGTTTGACTTCCATAAGTCTATCTTCATGCAAACACAGAGTATGGACTCTTATTTCTTTGAAGATTTTGTTTTCCTTTAATGTACTTTTAAAAAAATGATGTTGTGTTGCCCCCCCCCCCCCCCCCCCCCCCATCTCCCCATACACAAGGAATATCGTAACAAAATGTGAACCTGCTTCTGATGTACTGGGTGTTACATAGCATTGAATTGCAGTATGCAATACATTTTGTAGCTAGCAAAAGAAGTTTGAAAAAATATGTCCTATTTTCCATGTGAATTAATATGCAATTGTTTGAAAAAATGTGCACCATTATGTACCTGTATGTCATTTCATTTCATAATCGCATTAGCTGAATGGGAGTGGCCAATTTGAGCTCATAAAAAAAGAGTTTGAGTACTCAATTTCATTGTGTTATTGATAATTGTGAGTCTCTTGAGACTACTTTGGCGTAGAATTTGAATGTACAATTCCAATCTCCCCCCCCCCTCTCAATCGTGTAGGCGCCAAAACAAAACCATCATACAGACTGTATTATGATGATCTTTCAGTGCAATTAAGTACTTGAAGGCTTATTACTTGTAATCAAGCATGCTCTCAGTGCGTTTTTCTCAGCAATTCACAAATAATATATTGCTTTTGTAGAAGTTAATAAATACATAAAGTTAGAATATATAAATGAAGACATGTTTAAAATGAGATGAAATACAGATACACAAAGCAATAAATAAATATACATGTAGTAATCGGTACCTGTGTATCTGAAGGAATCTAACATTTAGGTAGTTCTTGTACACGATACAGTCTGAAACAGAAGGCTTATTCAGTTTGGACTGCCTTTATATTCATTATAATAAACAGAATAACCATATGTCTATTTGATGCCCACAAGAGGAAAGAGATAGTTATATTTATCTTAAACCATAGTACCGGTAATTGTTACAAGATGAGTATCCTTTTCAATAGGTTAAGCCATTAAAATTGCTCTTCACTATGAAAATGGTTTGTTACAAGATGAGTTTCCTTTTTAATAGACCTGTCTAGCCATTAAATTATGCTTCACTATGAAACTGTTTTTTGTCAAAATATAAGTTTGTTACAAGATGAGCATCTTTTTTTTTAATAGGTCCAGCCATTAAATTGCGCTTCACTATGAAACTGTTTTTGTCAAAATATCAATTTTTTACAAGATAAGCATCTTTTTTTGTTTAGGTCTAGCCATTAAATTGCGCTTCACTATGAAACTGTTTTTGTCAAAATATCAGTTCATTTAATGAACTACAGCAGTCTACTCTGTAGGGTGATGTTGTAAATCACTGTGTGTTAACATCGTGATGCAGTGTTCTTGCTGTTCATTTTGGGTAACATTGGTCAACTAAATTGGAGTGTTTTGTTTTGTAATTCCACATCCGTCCATGTTGTAAGATAGATCTTCAAAAAATACACCTACTTGGTAAGCTGTAAGTATTAATTTTGTACATTATAAAGAAGAAAATATGATCAAATATCTATATTGTGCTTTGAGAAAACTTTGTATTTATTAGTCCTATTTTCAATAAAGACAACAATCAAATATTCTTGTAGACATTATTTGTTTTTTATTTGTATATCTGTCTTCCAGTAACACCCAAATATCCATTACAACAAACAGTTTTCAAGTATTTCATTTAAAGATATCCTGTAATAACCCTGTACAAAATTGTTCATATCAACTTAGGTCAAGGTAATGAACAGCATGATCCAACAACACAACACATCAAAGTATTCACATACCGGTATTTATATTCATATATTGTAATTTTGTAATTTTCAGTTAATTGTCTGAACAGCACCAAGAAAAACGGTATAAGTGTATTCCACTTCACATAATAAAGTACAAGTTATAACAACAATTTCAGTTTAGCATACATATATAAACAAGACACACACGAATCCTAGATCTGCCATGGGGTAATGTCAAAGTAAATAACAGTTGTAATTTTTTTAAACCAAGCACATATAAAATTGCTAATTGTAATTAGAGAGCTTTGTGCAGTATAAGATTACCCTGTTGATAAGCAAAGAGCTACCCATATATAGTGTACAAATCAACTACAAAAATAGTGTGTGTACTGCATAGCTAGAAAGTATCAAATCAACCTAAAAATCTATGCCATTCTGTAGGCTAACGGTTAGGAAGTGTGAAGAAAATAAAGGATAACATAAAACAGTGTGTATGGAATCCAAGTTTGATTTCATGCACACCCTATTCTCACAAGCATGTACATACTGTATAATGGCACAAATATTTGTGAATCTGAACCACTCTCAAAATCGCCAATATAAATTACAGAGAGAGAGAGAGAGAGAGAGAGAGAGAGAAGAGAGAGAGAGAGAGAGAGAGAGAGAGAGAGAGAGAAGAGAGAGAGAGAGAGATCTAATGCCCATCTGTCAATGCATGCAGTTGTAGGTACCGGTACATGCACAAGATTCAAAGGATACAATGCTGTTTGTTAAAGCTTATATAAAACATAAGAAATAAGCCTTGCCCATTCAAAACAATAGAAGTCTGATTACCAGTACCGGTACCCCGTCGGCAATGAATCACAAGAGCTGTTGAACCGAAATTGGATAAACACTTCAGAGTGAAAATCAATCTATGCATTCACACACAGAAGTCTCTCCATTATTCAGTGCATGGCAATACAATCAATCCTTAAAGGCCAAGCCCACTTCAAAAATAATTCACTAATAACACAATAGAAGCAAAAAAATCAAACAAAAGCAATCAAAAAAAGTTGAGCAAAAACGGATAACTAATAAGAAACTTATGAACTTTTAAAGACATCATGATCAAAAACTTTGAATCACAAGACAAATTGGCAACTCACTCATGAGTCTGTGACATAATTGCCTCACTATCCACTAACCGTTTTCTTTATATTGATATTATAAAGTCCCCATTTTCACCCTAAGAATCTTGTCTCCTCACACCAGTATCCAAGTTATATTGATAGTAAAATGTTTTTGTGAGGATGCACTAATATAGAGTTGTTTTTTTCAGTTAAATCATGAAAAATGTGAATGTTGATAAAATATTTGTGTATATAAGAATCAATAATCATGAATATACAATAATCATGAATATACAATAATTACTTCAAATTTAAAAAATATTTTGAGAAATGTCATGCATGCAATATGATACAAATCATATAACCTGGGCAAAGGCATGGGGAAATCAAGTTTTGGGGGATAAAATGGGAAATTAAAGGGAAAGTCCACCCCAAAAATAATTTGTTTCGATAGAGGCAGAATAATAAGAAAATCAGGTGAGTGAAAGTTTGAGCAAATTCTGAATGAAAATAAGAAAGTTATGAATTATTGAAGTTGTGATCAATCAAATACAAATGGCAACTCTGTGACTTATTATACGAGCTCTCCTTCATTTGCTTTGTGCATAATATTCCATAAAATCATGTTTTCTTCGTTATTGATGACGAAATATATATTTGTTCCTTGCAGGGGGAGTATAGAAACATATTTGCAAATATTATATTTAGGGTGCATGTATGGTTGAATTTTTCTTGAGGGAAAATGAAAATTTTAGATTTTTTTAGTACTGAGCAAATGGAAGTTGAGCTCGCATGATACGTCATAGAGTTGCCAATTTGTGTTTGATTGATCACAACTTCAAAAATCCTAACTTCCTTATTTTTAATCGGAATTTGCTCAAACTTTCACTGACTTGTTTCTCTCATTTTCTACTCCTATAAAACTAACTTAATTCAGGGTGGACTTTCCCTTTAATGGACATAAATATATAAATCAATTGATTAATAGTGAGGACACGACGTCACAAACTGATATCCAAATTTATTTCAACGTGTCTTGGTTTGCGAAAATTTCCTGGTTCACCATGCTGTAATTTTAATATCTCATGATTCGGGTTCCGGAATGCTTAAAAAGTGACTATAAGCGTCAGTCAGAAATATGCACAAGCTTAAAGACAATGGATGTATGCTTTCAGCCATTGCAAAATACTCAAATAAGGACAAAAAGGGTTTTTCTCTGTGTGTTTAATGTGCAAGTTAGTACAAAACCATAAGAATACAAAGGTGAATCTTCATATACTAGGTTTCATACAGTTTATAATAATATTACATAGCTTTTCTTTTGTGGGACACAAGAGTATCACTCACCATGCGGAATCATGAAATATACTCACCAACTCATGGATTATATTTCACACTCAAGGCCATTCAATATACATGTAAATGTCTTTTATTCATGCAAGGAATAATAATAATAATAATAATAAGGAAATTCTTTTTGCCCAATTGATCGTGAGCGTGGCATGTACAAAATTTTTCATATCAACTTAGGTCTAGGTAATGAACAGCATGATCCAACAACACAACACATCAAAGTATTCACATACCGGTATTTATATTCATATATTGTAATTTTGTAATTTTCAGTTAATTGTCTGAACAGCACCAAGAAAAACAGTATAAGTGTATTCCACTTCACATAATAAAGTACAAGTTATAACAAAAATTTCAGTTTAGCATACATATATAAACAAGACGCACATGAATCCTAGATCTGCCATGGGGTAATGTCAAAGTAAATAACAGTTGTAATTTTTTTGAACCAAGCACATATAAAATTGCAAATTGTAAGAGAGCTTTGTGCAGTATAAGATTACCCTGTTGATAAGCAAAGAGCTACCCGTATATAGTGTACAAATCAACTACAAAAATAGTGTGTGTACTGCATAGCTAGAAAGTATCAAATCAACCTAAAAATCTATGCCATTCTGTAGGCTAACGGTTAGGAAGTGTGAAGAAAATAAAGGATAACATAAAACAGTGTGTATGGAATCCAAGTTTGATTTCATGCGCACCCTATTCTCTCGAGCATGTACATATAATGGCACAAATATTTGTGAATCTGAACCACTCTCAAAATCGCCAATATAAATTACAGAGAGAGAGAGAGAGAGAAGGAAAGAGAGAGAGAAGGAAAGAGAGAGAGAGAAGGAAAGAGAGAGAGAGAGAGAGAAGGAAAGAGAGAGAAGGAAAGAGAGAGAAGGAAAGAGAGAGAGAGAAGAGAGAGAAAGAGAAAGAGAGAGAAAGAGAAAGAGAGAGAGAGAGATCTAATGCCCATCTGTCAATGCATGCAGTTGTAGGTACCGGTACATGCACAAGATTCAAAGGATACAATGCTGTTTGTTAAAGCTTATATAAAACATAAGAAATAAGCCTTGCCCATTCAAAACAATAGAAGTCTGATTACCAGTACCGGTACCCCGTCGGCAATGAATCACAAGAGCTGTTGAACCGAAATTGGATAAACACTTCAGAGTGAAAATCAATCTATGCATTCACTAACAGAAGTCTCTCCATTATTCAGTGCATGGCAATACAATCAATCCTTAAAGGCCAAGCCCACTTCAAAAATAATTCACTAATAACACAATAGAAGCAGAAAAATCAAACAAAAGCAATCAAAAAAAGTTGAGCAAAAACGGATAACTAATAAGAAACTTATGAACTTTTAAAGACATCATGATGAAAAACTTTGAAAATCACGAGACAAATTGGCAACTCACTCATGAGTCTGTGACATAATTGCCTCACTATCCATTAACCGTTTTCTTTATATTGATATTATAAAGTCCCCATTTTCACCCTAAGAATCTTATCTCCTCACACCAGTATCCAAGTTATATTGATAGTAAAATGTTTTTGTGAGGATGCACTAATATAGAGTTATTTTTTTCAGTTAAATCATGAAAAATGTGAATGTTGATAAAATATTTTTGTATATAAGAATCAATAATCATGAATATACAATAATCAGAAAATAGTATATTACTTCAAATATTAAAAAATATTTTGAGAAATGTCATGCATGCAATATGATACAAATCATATAACCTGGGCAAAGGCATGGGGAAATCAAGTTTTGGGGGATAAAATGGGAAATTAATGGACATAAATATATAAATCAATTGATTAATAGTGAGGACACGACGTCACAAACTGATATCCAAATTTATTTCAACGTGTCTTGGTTTGCGAAAATTTCCTGGTTCACCATGCTGTAATTTTTAATATCTCATGATTCGGGTTCCGGAATGCTTAAAAAGTGACTAAGCGTCAGTCAGAAATATGCACAAGCTTAAAGACAACGGATGTATGCTTTTAGCCATTGCAAAATACTCAAATAAGGACAAAAAGGGTTTTTCTCTGTGTGTTTAATGTGCAAGTTAGTACAAAACCATAAGAATACAAAGGTGAATCTTCATATACTAGGTTTCATACAGTTTATAATAATATTACATAGCTTTTCTTTTGTGGGACACAAGAGTATCACTCACCATGCGGAATCATGAAATATACTCACCAACTCATGGATTATATTTCACACTCAAGGCCATTCAATATACATGTAAATGTCTTTTATTCATGCAAGGAATAATAATAATAATAATAATAATAAGGAAATTCTTTTTCCCAATTGATCGTGAGCGTGACAGCCACTGAACAGCGCCAGATCGACGTTGCTCTAGCCCCTTATTGTTGAACGCCAAACAAGGTAGCAGCAACTCCTGTCTTTTAATTTAACGTCTTTTGGTATGACGTGGCTGGGGTTTGAACTCACGACCTACTGGTTGTGAGGCAGACGCTCTACTGACTGAGCCAACATATACAAGAGAAGCTTTGTTTGCAGACATCTAAATGTAATAGAATGACTTGGTTGTGAATCAACTGCACTCTGATATCAAGCGTGCTTATCTTATCAAATATTTACATACTCCATTGAATGGATAGATAGGTTATCTGGAAATAAACAGTATAACATGTACTCTACATTGGTTGTAACACAAGGTCATAATAGTTTGGGAGAGGTCACGATCATATTTACTACGTGACCTCCAACAAGGGATAAAACTAAGACAAAGGATTTTTTCAAGGGAGGGGGGGGGGGGGGTTTAACATTTTGAAATTTGGTCCCAAAAATTTCGCAACAATTCAGCCAACCGCTGAATAAGCGGGGGGGGGGGGGGGGGGGGGGGGGGGGGGTGGAGGGCACATTTTTTTTTGGTCTCAAAATTTTAAAAACTTGACATTTTGCTTCGTTAGGGGGGGGGGGGGAGGTCACCTTTTTTAGGTCAGTCGTTGGTATAATTTTACCAAATTACACACATAAAAAATACCAAAGGGGGGGGGGGTTTAATCCCCCGACCCCTCCCCCCTCCTCCTGCATATGCGTCTGGATACAAACAAATCTGACTTGTAAATGGAAGGTAGTAAGTTAAAGATACAAATTGTCTGATAAACATGACTTCTGGCAGTATCTGAGGGTGTAATTCCCCCCTTCAAATAATCACAGCTTTGAGGATAGTTGTAATGAAATATTATCTAAACCCACTTTTTTGAGGAAGTCATTGAGAAGCCTATTGTAGGTTTGTGGATCAGTTCTTAAGTGTGAAGCATGTGGTGAATTTTGCCACATCTTGGAAGTGATATCTAGATCATACTCATCTTTCCAGTGATGTATCATTCTCTCCATGGCCTCTGGTAGACACAGCACATCATTGTAAGAATGAAAACACAGCTTTGGTGTCTTAAATGGCGAGTTGTGTACCACATCAATGAATCTGTTGTAAGGCACCACGGTGTGTTGCTTGGTGGCAGCAAAGTACAGCAAACATGATCGTCTGATAGCCTGCTGCAGCATGGCGCTCTTTGGTGCAACGATGATGCTCACACCCCTGGCCATCTCTTCCAGCGTTCCAATCACAATACTGTCATACACATGACCTTTGACCCTTGACCCCAGGCTGCCATACTTGTCAGGGTTGTCTGCGATGAGGGTGAGAGTCACTGCATACAGGTACGCACCAACAGACATGCTATGAACAACAAGAGGTCCCCTGGTTTGCATCTCCAGGTAATCAGCTAGCTCTGTAGCTAGAGGCATTGCCCACTGGGGCCATAAGAAATAGGATAGACTTCCCCAGACAGTCAGGACATTGAAACCTCTGACAGCGTACAGCTCACGATAGTGGTTAGCATGAGCCTGGGTGGCATTCATCCAGGGAAGGAATACTACAGTTGGTCTTGGCTCTCCAGAATCTACAATGGAAGGAACAGAAAATTGAATTCAATATCTTGGTAGGCCACATTATGATGATATGATCATTCATTATACAGCGTGCCACAATTGCTAATTTGCAGAGCCAATAGGCAACAAGTAACAGGATAATGATTGTTCAACATTTCACTTCCAAGTCATAATGGGAGAATAACTACCCTTTTATCATCTGTACAAAGGAATCACAAAATAATCTAGGTGCTAGCTTTGATAAAAATTGCCCTGTAAGAGAACTGCAAATTCATTATAACCACATAAAGAATATACATTATACATCTCAACAAGACCAATTTGAAACTTTCTAAAATAAAAGATATATTGATACAATGATACTAAGCACCTAACACTCTGATACAAACATTCAGCCACAGGACACCTAGTCATACCTATAGTATCGGGGTGATACTGATGGAGTTCTAGGTGTTTGGAAAGGTGCGTTACAGTGGCATTGGTCCTAGTAGCCATAGTCCTGTGTAAAGTCAGTCTAACTTGTAGCGAAGACCTCCTCAAGAGATGATGAAACCCCTGAATATAGATCTAGATTAAACAGAGAACATGGCATCATTATCATCATGGGTTCAAATAGACCAATATGATGTGTGCATGACTGGACAGGTTGCATGCCCAAGCAGGAAGAAATGTCCTGCAATGGAGGCATGTTTCAGTAAAACACAACCTCCACAACTGGGCGCTTGTTCAGAAGCCTATCCAAAATTTGACCCGTAACTCCAGCCGTAACTCCTACTAAAACATATCCAAAATTAAGTAAATATTCATTAGATGTCCAAATAAATAAAGATCATGAGTTAAAATTTGTTGTTTATTACCTGTTTTGTGTCAATTTTCTTGTTATTTGTGGAGTATTTTTGTATATGTTTTTGTATATATATTTTGTATTTTTGTATATGTTTTTGTATATATATTTGTATTTTGTATATATATATACATATTAGTATACACTTTTTCACAGGTTTCAGGAATAAAACAAAATTACATTAAAAAAATAATAATTCAAACCCTCCCAAGAGTCCCACTCCCCACAATCAATACGCATTAGCATTGACCACTATATGTCATACATGTGTTGCTGGCCTGGTGTACATTTCATTTCATTTCTTTATTGTGTCCATATAGGATAATTGTTTACATTTACATGAACAATCTTGCTTCGACATATGAACATATAGGATCAACATATTATAGCATAACTAGTCCAGTAATTTATTAAGACTTAGAGGGCATTAACTGTTAAATATATACATGTACATCGTGAGATGTCAGTCAGTCAACGTTGACCTGTCGTTGCGACAGGTCCGTTACCAGAAACGAGTAACGTTACTTGAACTACAGATACTGTGCAAGTGTTGTTTCTTTAGTCCTGTCAGCATTCATGCAGTGATTGCGGGAGTAAGTGAATGAGAGCTATAGTCCACGTTTTTCTTACACGATATACTTTTGTGAGAGCCCACTGAGAAATATAGTTGATGAATGATTGTCGAGAGCGTGGACCAGGTTTTGAGAGACTGCAAGGCAGAACGCTACCCCGGCAGAGCCCGGTTACGCCACAATATAATTGACAATCATAGGGCCCTGTTTTAGTATACATTTAATATAATATACATGATCATGACGAATATACTTTTTAATACTCTTTCTTCTTCTTTCTCTCTCTCTCTTCTTACATATTCTTACACCCTTACATGGGGTTACCCACGAAGCATAAGCGAACCGGACACTTTCTGACATTTTCTGACATGTTTCTTGCTGTAATTGGATAATTACCCTGTTTCGAGCTCTGTTATGAGGATTCAGTATGTGATAATGTAAACGTTCAATTACAAGACTCCTATCAAACCACCGGAATGCATTTTGAGTAACATTTTGACATTTTATCGAGATACTTCATCTTCATTGAGTTTGTAAGTATACACTGCTGTAGTCCCACTTGATCATTTCTGAGTTGCCCAATCCTTTTGGGGTTTTGCTTTGCTGTGTCGGAACCGGCTAGTGGAAAAGTAATTGCTTTCTTTGTTCTGTTACATAACATTGCTTGAAAGAATGTCAAACTCAAAGAAGCTCAACCTCAGATCAAGGGACCGTTTGCATTCTGTTGAACTACGCACCCCTCCCTCTTCTGCTCCATTGAGCAAGCAAGTACAAATTAAGCCCCGGTTATCTTGACCGTCTCGACTCGATTGTGCAAGAGGCCGTCACAAAGGCGATGGAATGCGAACGAGTTAAGCTATGTAGTGACATGCAGAAGCTCGAGAATAATGTGTGAGAAATTTTGGATAAAAAGCTCTGGTATTTACATGATTTGGAAGTGGCCATCGACAGCAAATTGCAAAAACTCAATGATGTTGAGAAATCCGTCTCTGCCAACTCGACCGAGGTCAATAACCTCACAAATCGACTTGACCATCTAGAGCAATATTCACGACGCAATGAAGACGACGCCTGGTGAGAATACGGATGACATCGTGCGTGATGTCGCCCACCGGATCGGCATCACCATCAGCGCCGGAGACATTGATCACTCGCATCGCCTTCACAGACCGGGTAACACTCCAGAAAGGTCTCGGGGATCTTACACCAACGCAACTCGTACTGGCAACACCGTTCCTCCGCCGATTATTGTTAAATTCACCTCATACCAACCGAAGTTCCAGATGATAAAGAACAGAAGAAAGCTGAAAGGCTCCGGCATCGTCGTTGTCGAGGACCTAACAAAAAAGAATGCAAACCTTCTTTTTCAAACTTCAAGAAAAGCAAACGTTAAGGCATCATGGTCTCTCAATGGTCGCGTCTACGCACTTGTCAAAACTACAGAAGGACATGAGATGAAAAGGCACATTACGAAGATTTCCGACCTGTAGGTTTTATATCTTCTTTCTTCTTGTTGTTATATGTTATATATTATATTTTATCATCTTTTCGTATAACCCGTTTCCGGTGGTATATGATTTCTTTTCATAACCAATTTCGTTGATTTTTTTTCCTCATTTTTGTTTTACTGTTGTTTATTGTTAAGTTTTAATGTAATGCCTGACCGTAATTTGTACCAACAATTTTTAAATAATTTAGACTTTACACCACTCTCCGAAAAGTTATCTCCTATCAATGAGGAAATACTCTATATGGTCCGAATCAAAGTTGTTTATTACCTGATGAATTTAATGATTTTGCTAATGCACATAATCTGAATAAAATATTTACCTGTCTTCATATTAATTGTAGAAGCATTAAAAAGAATTATGATAATCTTGTCTCTCTTGTAAATACAATTGATCATAAATTTTGTGCAGTAGGATTATCAGAGACTTGGTTGAAACCAAATGATCCTGTTTATAATCTTGATGAATATGAATTTGTTGAAATGAACGACAAGATCGCAATGGTGGTGGAGTGGTTATCTATACATGCGTAATGATTTTAATTATAATCGTAGACTTGATCTAGACACAAATAATGATTTTGAATCTGTCTTTATTGAAATTAAAACAGATAAGAAAAGTATTATATTTGGAACTATATATAGACCACCTAATACATGCTTTCCATCATTCTTAGAGTCTTTGAATTTAATACTAAACATAGTAAATAAAGAAAATAAACTGATACATTTTGCTGGAGATTATAATATCAACTTATTGAATGACAGTTCATGCCAACAAATAAATTATTTTTTGGATGTCTTTATGGTTAATTCTATGTTCCCTGTGATTCACTATCCAACTAGGGTAACAGTCAATTCTGCAACATTAATTGATAATATATTCACTAATGATATTGAAAATATAAGTAGCGGGATTCTATTTGTTGATATAAGTGATCATTTTCCTATATTTTGTATTCATAATGATTCAATTGAAAATAATTGTGAACTTGTTTATACTAAACGCGACAGATATGAAAATAATATTCGTCAGTTTATTTGTAAACTTGAAACTATATCTTGGCGCATAGACGATGTTAATCCCAATGAAAATTATGATTGTTTTTTATTCCAATTCAAATCTTTGTATGATGAATGCTTTCCTATTGTACGTAGATCCTGTAAAAAGAAGAAAGATAAATCTTGGTTTAATGAACAATTACGTAAAATGTGTATTAAAAAATGTCGCCTATATAAAAGGTTTATTCATAAGCCAACTCTCAATAATGAAATCTCATATAAAACTTTGAGAAATACATGTAACAGTGAAGTAAAAAAGACAAAGAATAAATATAATCGTGATATGTTTATAAATGTGAAAAATGATATGAGGCAAACTTAGAAATGTATAAATAAGGCTATGGGTAAAAAATGAAACAAAATAATATTGAACAAATTACTGTTAATAATCGATCTGTTACTCTTGGTAATGATATGGCTAACAAATTTAATGATTTTTTTTGTGAATATTGGTCCTTCATTGACACAAAATATACATGATCCTCAGTTTTGTAGTAAGAATAACAATGTGCAATATTTGACTAGGAATCCAAAATATGCCTTTTTCACTCCAATATCAGCGAAAGAAATTATTGATATCGTTTGTAATTTAAAGAATCGATCAAGTACTGGTTTTGATGAAATTGATGTATCGATTACGAAAAGAGTGATTCATTTAATTTGTTATCCACTTTGTGATATTTTTAATTTTTCAATGAGTATGGGTATTTTCCCAGACGGGTTAAAAATAGCAAAAGTGATACCAGTTTTTAAACATGGATTGTCTGATTGTTTAAATAATTATCGACCTATTTCTGTACTGCCTATATTTTCTAAAATTTTTGAAAAATGTCTTTTTAATCGACTTCTAAAATTTGTTGATCAGTGCAATATATTAACAGAAAGCCAGTATGGATTTCGTCCAGGGTACTCTACATCCTCTGCTATAGTTGATCTGATTTATAAAGTTACTAATGCTCTTGATAAAAAGAAAATTTTAATTGGTTTGTTTCTTGATTTAAGTAAGGCTTTTGATACTCTAGACCATTCAATTCTTTTTCATAAATTAGAAAATTATGGTATTCATGGTATTCTTTTAGATTTATTTCAAAACTAATCGTAAACAATTTGTAGTTGTCAATGGTAATGAGTCTTATTTGAGTGCTGTAGGATGTGGAGTGCCCCAGGGATCCATTCTTGGTCCACTTTTATTTCTCATTTATATGAACGATATTTGTGCATCATCTCAAAAGTTGGAATATATTTTATATGCCGATGATACCAGTGTCTTTTTATCCGATAACAATATTGATAATTTGATTCGTGATTTTAATGATGAATTGTTGAAAATAAATTCATGGTTGATCTCTAATAATTTAATTGTAAATACTAGAAAAACTCATGGTATGATCTTTTCTAATATGTTTATTGATCGTGACACCTTAGTTGTTTCCTTAAATGATAATGTTATTAATTGTTGTAGCTCCCTGAAATTTTTAGGTGTAACAATTGACAGTAAATTATCTTGGAAGGAGCACATTGATGTTATCTGCACGAATATTTCTAAAGGTATAGGTATTTTAAAAAATATTAAACATTTTCCTTCAAATATTTTGATTATGATTTATAATACCATTATATCTCCTTATTTTAATTATTGTAACCTTGCCTGGGGATCCTCAACTGATCATGCAATGAGAAGATTATTATGCTTACAGAAAAGAGCTATTCGTTTAGTTTTACATGCAGATTATTTTGCTCACACTAAACCTTTATTTCTAAAATTAAAACTTTTGAATGTCCTAGATCTTTGTAATTACAGTTTTGCAATATTTAAGTACTTATGTTTTAATAATTTCATACCAAGTAGTCTTTCCAGCAAATTTTGTCTTAATTCTGCATTACATTCATATAACACTCGAAGTTCATCTAATTTTCATTTAAATAAAATAAGACTAAATATAACTAAGAAATCAATTTTTTTAAAGGGCCACAATTGTGGAATAATATACCTCAAGATATAAAATCTAGTCCATCAATTAACGTTTTTAAACGGAGATATAAATCATTTTTAATCCAACAAAATAAATAAAGATCGATTATGTACACGGTCTAGTTTTTGGTTTTTGGTTTTTGTTCCCCCCCCCCCCCCCCCCCTCTAGTAGTTTTTTTTTTTTTTTATCACCCTCTCAAACAACAATATAATACTGTATTATACTTTATTACTGTTTTGGTGGCAGTACCAATAAAGCCTTTGGCTTTTCTAGCTGTCTCCACATTCATATATATTTTTGTTGTTGTATTTGTATTGTAAATGTTTCTCTTTAATTTGTACACTATGTTTTGTATTTTATATGTTTGTTATGATGTTTTTATGATGAATGAAATAAAGTTCAATTCAATTCAATTCAATACCCTCCCTTTTCTTTTATTCTTATATCTAGCTAATCCTAGGTATTTTGTTTAAGACTTAATTATTCCTTGATATGGTACAACAGTAGGGTTATTCCTAGACAGAAATAACCATCTGATTTGGGTCATTTCTTTAATAAAACTGACATTTGTTGTCATTCCCCAATCGGAGGTCTACTGGAGCCAGACGTAGTCTCAGTGGAACAACCGAAGATTAGAGAGACTGAAGTTTTCGGTCTAGGTTATTCCTTGATATGGTATAACAGTAGGGTTACAACAGTAAAGTAAGAATACTGAAACAAATTATATTAGTGTAAGTGTAACATATCAATAATTTTAGTAACTCCGGGAAGCTCCAACACGGGCGCCGGTGTTGGAGCTTCCCGGAGTTATAATTTTAGTAGAGTATATATCTCAACGGGTAAAATTTTGGATACGTTTCTGAACAAGCGCCGCTACATTAATAGCGTTAAACCAAGGACATGCCAATTGACTTTTATTTACCATGACGTCTGATGACTGAGATCTCCACTAACTGTACTGGACTTGACTGCAACTTGACCATAATATGGGCATGACCATGAGGACTGACGGATAAGCTTTTGCAAAATGACTGACCGTATAAAAGGCCGTACCGTACGTATACCGCACACAACTGGGCGTGGGCACTGACCTCTCCTGGGTTATAATCCCTGGCTGAACTAACTCCGGGAAGCTCCAACACCGGCGCCGCAGGCGTCGGTGTTGGACCCTTCTCGGATGGCTGAACCGGCTGTATACGTATACGTGTAGGGGTGTTTGACAAAGACTATAACTATGGCAGGCCATTCATGCCACTGGTTGCTCTCACCATTGGTCTCTCAATTAATTTTTTCTTTCTTTCAATAATGGACTCCCAGGTCGAAAAAACAGTTGAAACCAGTTGGATTTTCTACTGTTAGCAACTGGATTCTACTGGTACCAGTTGAAACCAGTTGACACAACTGGTAAACTTCACATGCACCAGTATATCCCAGTTGTACGTGCTTCTCGGATGGCTGAACCGGCTGTATACGTACGTACGTGTAGGGGTGTTTGACAAAGACTATAACTATGGCAGGCCATTCATGCCACTGGTTGCTCTCACCATTGGTCTCTCAATTAATTTTTTTTCTTTCAATAATGGACTCCCAGGTCGAAAAAACAGTTGAAACCAGTTGGATTTTCTACTGTTAGCAACTGGATTCTACTGGTACCAGTTGAAAACAATAGGCATTACTGGTACTTCTGCCAGTTGATTCCAGTTTAAAACCCATAAAACCAAAGTGGACAATTTGAGACTAGTTGTTTTCTGTTGGAACATATTGAAACCCATATTATTAGACCATTGTTGTTTGTTCATCTTTATTCAAGAAAGTATACATGTAACATAATAATAAAGATGTGACATAAAACCCAGGACAGAGATTTGTATTACATTAAATGCATCTCATGCAGGGTTGAACAATTACAATACACAAAAACAAAACGGAAAAGAGAACATTATAACGTCAGTGTTTTAAATGAAAACATTAATAATTCCTACCAAAATAACAAAAACAAAAATAATTATTACTTTCTTAGTTAGCAATGCCTCATAATACATTTACATACCGAAAGAGAGAGAAGGGGAGAGAGAGAGAGAGAGAGAGAGAGAGGGAGAGATAGAGAGGGAGTTCCCGTTATAACAATTTATATACGTATCCTAATTTAAAGCAATTACACCGCCAAGTGTTGTAGTGATTCCAAGTGAGTTCAGATAGGCTGTAAAAAACAATATAAACCCACAGAATATACTTTTGAAATATTACTTTTCCCAATTACATAATAATGCCACACCTTACATTTAGGTACCGTCATCATATCTGTCAATATAGTAGCATGCGTAATCAAACCACGAGAACCTGTCCCCATAGAGAGAGGGGGAGATAGAGAGAGTGAGAGAGAGAGGGGAAGAGAGAGAAAGAAAGAAAGAGGGAAAGGAAGAGAGAGAGAAAGAGGGAGAGGGAGAGAAAGAGGCCTCGCTATTGCAAGTCATACAAAGTAGTTAAACCACTTACACTCCCAAGTAATGTTGTGATTGCCAGGTGCGTTCCGACCGGCTGTAAAAAATAACATACGACCCAAACAGTACGGTTTTCAAGATTTCATTTCTCAGTTGTGGATACCTTACTTTGCATTTACTTGTTTTCAACATATCTATAAGTCTTTTCTTGTTGTCAGGAGTTATCAAACCTCGGGAACCTATCTCTATACACAGTAATTTGGGAGTCCAGCCGGCTTCTGAGATATCATGTATAAGTCCGGCGTACCTGTCAAGCTTTCTTTGGTGAGCCTGTTGAATGTTGGTTTCAAATGGAATTGTCAACTCAAATACTAGTATTTCCTTTTTTCTAAAATTAATGAAACATAAATCAGGTCTTTGTTGTGTTGGAACAATGGTTGGGGGAACCGTCCCTCCACTGATTGTCTCCCCTTCCACGTCAGCATATACTTGGTGATCACTTTCAAGGCCGTTCTGTTTGATGCTGTTTAGCAGATTATGTACAATGTTATTGTGGCGCCACGTGTATCTATTTAACATTTCCTGACAATTATTCAATACGTGATGCAAAGTACCTTTGGCTTGACATAAACTACACAAGTCATTTATTCGCTTACCCCATCTATACAAGTTTTTATTACTCGGCAGACTATCAATCGCTGCATTTATTGCAAATTTAATTCATAACTCCTTGTGGTAGATTGAAGATGATGGACTTCCAGGACAAGTCACAGTTTTCTATTTCTAGTACCTTCATGAATTCACCTTGGACTAGGAGAGGTTCTATTTCATTTTTCCACTTTTTCCTGCTTTCCTCTTTCAGGTTCATTTTGACTGATTTTTTAGTATCTTTCCAATTCGTTTGTAAACTGGTTTGATGAATTTGGTGTGCAACCTGAATTGTAGATGACTTTCTGGTCCAGTTTTCCTCTCTGGCCAGTTGTTGATCTAGGGCATGAACTACCATTTCGTCGCCTTTAACTTTCGATCTACTGTAGGCAAGGCAATGAGATGTTTGGTAGAGTTCAGAGATACTGGGAATATTAAGCCCCGCTGGGGCATGAACTACAGCAATATTGGCACCACACCGGGGGATGCCCATCCACTTTTTAATGTATTTGTCTAGAAGTGTATCTAGTTGTCCAAGGTGAGTTGCATGAAGGTCATGTACAGTTAACATATATCTCATAGAGGAGAGAGCATAATCATTAAGAATTCTTAGCTTATACTCGTTTTTTATGTTTACACTATCTATATTCGTGAGGGTATTATCAACCTTATCTCTGATGAAATCATATGTTTCTAAAGTCTTCATCCTGAAAGTAATTTGAGATCCGAGAAATTTAATAGGATTATTTTGTACAGATGCAATTTGTTCCCTAGCTAAGGAAAAATCAATAACTGTTGGTTTACCGCCTGAAATTGATAAGGAACGACACTTCTTAGCTTTGACTGTTAAGCCCATACTACTGAGAAGTTTATCTACTTCTTGAACAAGTTTTTGATGATACCTTTTATTTCCAGTTATCAGGTTGAAGTCGTCGGCATACGGGGTAGTTATTAATTTCTGGCCGGCGAAATCGTAACCATATTGCTGCTTCTGGGTTTCAAGATATTCAATAATTGGGTTGAAGCCCATGAGAAATACAATTGGGGATAGAGGGTCTCCCTGAAAAACCCCTTTCCTGAAAGCAAAGCGTTCCGATTGCCACCCCGGACCGCATACTCTGCCATTCAGTCTTGAGTAGAGAACATCAATGTAACGGGCTACTGGTTGAGGTATTGCGTAACGGTTTAATGACGTAGAGATCATTATTAGACCAGTAATTGATACAAGTTAAAACCAATGGTAATTCATTCCAGCACAGTGACCAAGCTGGACCATTTGATACCAGCTGATTTCAGTTGGAAACCGGTAGATGTTACCACAGGGATACTGTTCCCTGATTACCAGTTGCTTTACCATTTGAAAACCAATAGATGATTACCACTTGAATTACCAGTTGAAACCCGTAGATGATTACCAGATGATTTACCAGTTGAAAACCAGTAGATGATTGCCAGTTGAAGACGAAAATCCGATTGAAACCAATTGAACACCAATTGAATTTTCAATTGGTTTCAATTGGTTCCAATTGGTCTCAATAGGTTTTAACAGGTCTCAATGGGACTTAAATAGGACTTCAGATGGTTTCAATTGGTCCAGATTGTCCCTATTGGACCAATTGGACCCGGCCCCATTGGCCTATATATAGGCCCCATTAGACTTTAATGGGACCCCAATTGGTTTCAATTGGACCAATTGGCCTTAAGTTGGACTTCAATTGGTCCAATTGAAACCAATTGAAAACCTTTTAAAGTCTATAATGGGGCCGATTTTATGTTAATAATAATAATTACATTTTATAGGGCGCTTTATACATGATGTTTCTAAGCGCACAGGTGGTACTGTCTAACTTTTAATTATTCAACATGTTTAATACCTTAAAAGCAACAAAGTAAAATGAAATATTACTAATACAATGCAATACAATTGAGTTGAATGGAATAAACTACTTGTGTGCGCCTCCAGTAAACTATAACTGATTAAAAAGGTGGGTTTTGAGAAGGGTTTTGAATGATTCGATGGATGGGGCATTTTGAATATGTGGTGGGAGTTTGTTCCAGAGGGCGGGGGCAATCGATGAAAAGGCACGGTCACCATAACGGGTTTTTTGTTCGTGGGCCGTGAATTAGTGCATGGATGAAGATGAACGGAGGGATCTGGCAGAAGAGGAGGATCGAAGGGAGACTAGGTCAAGAAGATATTTAGGGGCAAGGTTATGTGTTATTTTGTACGAAAGAAGTAGGATTTTGAAAGTAATGCGAGAATGGACCGGTATAATGAAGTGAGCGAAGAACGGGTGATATATCATATTTTCTACTTAATGTGATCAATATAGCTGCTGAATTTTGGATGCGCTGAATTTTGGAATTTTGGAATTTTGGAATTTTGATCGCCTGTCATCATTCGGTACACCCATGCTATCAGGCGATGCATGTCATCATTCGGTACACCCATGCTATCAGGCGATGTCATCATTCGGTACACCCATGCTATAAGGCGATGTCATCATTCGGTACACCCATGCTATAAGGCGATGCCATCATTCGGTACACCTATGCTATACGGCGATGTCATCATTCGGTACACCCATGCTATGGCGATGTCATCATTCGGTACACCCATGCTATATAAGGCGATTACATACTTTCAAAATCATTCTATCCTTGTTAATTAAAATGATGAGATTCATTGTCATCACAAATACAAAAAACAAAGAAAATGCAATAATTTTTCAATAATTCATTGCATTTTGCCCCGACCCCTAAGATAACAAAATCCCATATGTGGGCATGCCTTGACCCATAATGCATTGCCCTACATAAGAATTTGTAATGTTGGGGACCGGGGGAAAATGAAATGAATTATTGATAATTTATTGCATTTTCTTAGTTTTTTTGTATTTGTGGGGGCGGCGACGTACCCTAGCCCCCGATGCGCACTGTCATGACTCAGTGGCTAAGCAATGGCCTCGTTACTGTGAGCCCCCAGGATCTAAACCGTGTCGATATGCTTTATTATTGCCCTTTTGTGAGGCATTATTCCTCATTACTGTTAAGACGTAGGTCCCCTAGTAGATTAGCATAGTAGCACATGCTTTAGCAGTCAAGCAGAACACACACTCACAA